TCTGTTTTTCACAAAACAGGAAGCATCTTTTGCAAAAGAGGAAATGACAGGGTGTGGCTGAGCACTGGAGAGGAAATGTGGGTTGCAAAGGCCATGCCCACCAAGATTTCGTGATACACAAACACATCCCAGCCTGGTACTTAAGCTGTAAATTGTGGCTTTTCCAGGGGTGTGGCTGGAGATGATTCCCACAAGGAGATGCTTGCAAGGAGCAGTTGCGGCTGTGGAGCCTTGAGAAGGGATGGTTCAGAGGGGATACGAGAGCCTCCTTCAGATATTTGAAGGGATGGAAGGACCTGCCCCTTCCTGTTCTCTCAGTTTCTCATCTTTCCAACTTTAATTGAGTTCTGTACATTTTTGCAGCGATTTGTGGGTTTTGCTTTTGAAAATCTGCATGAAAAATGTTCAGTATTTCAGTGCAAATCTCTCCAAATAAATCTGTTATTGTCTGCAGCTTTTACTAATTCACACATTTTTGCAAGCAATTTTTCCTAATATAAAGCATTCTTGTAGGCTGTTTTCACTAACATCTTCATTTTTGAAATGTTTTGGGTTTGAAAACAGGGCTGCAAAATTCAGAGAATTGTGAATGTTGAAGGTTCGCCTGTGTTTCGGTTCTCATATTGTTTGAGAAGGTGCAAATATGGTGGAGTGTGCTTTAAATGCAAAATGAATCCAATTTCTCTCTAGTCGTCACACTTCATTCTGCCTGCAGGTGGCGCTGGTGGGACAGGAGCCGGTCCTCTTCTCTGGGTCCATATGGGACAATATCGCCTATGGGGTGCAGGATTGCAGCCAGGAAGAGGTGGCAGCTGCAGCAAGAGAATCCAACGCCTTAGGCTTCATCAGTGAGCTGGAAGGAGGGTTCGCCGCAGGTGGGTGAAACCTCTTTCCTCCCGTCTCCTTTTGCCTCTGCAAAACTCCACACTCCTTCCAGAAAGGGCAGCTGGCCTGATTCTTACTCTCTCTTCTCCCCACTGAGATAACATGAATTTCTGTGGCCTACTGAATTCCTCCAGGAAAATTGGTGGGGCTCCAGTCTCTTGTGACGAGTGCGAATTCCAGACTCTGAGCCTCAGCTCCTCTTGTCACTGTGCCCGACCCTCCACCCAACGGCTCACTCCATTCCATCAAATGAACCCAGGAGTTCGGGATCCTCCTTTACCTGCAACTCGCCTTTTGCACCCTGCCACCACTCCCACTCCTCTGGCAAACAGGCTTTCTTTAGTCTGGCGGTTTTCCCCCTCTTCCCACCCCTTCTCTCTCATTCCTGCCTCCCTGCAGATGTCGGGGAGAAGGGAGGCCAGCTGTCCGCAGGGCAGAAGCAGCGCCTGGCCATCGCCCGGGCCCTGATCCGGAACCCCAAGGTCTTGGTGCTGGATGAGGCCACAAGTGCTCTGGATGTGGAGAGCGAAGCTGCTGTGAGTGTCGGGAGGGGGGGAATTGTGGTTGACATGAGAAGCATTAGCCATGAGTGGGTGTTGTGGTTTTATATTATTGTAGGGACACGGGTGGCGCTGTGGTCTAAACCACTGAGCCTCTTAGGCTTGCCAATGAGCAGGTTGGCAGTTCGAATCCCGTGACGGGGTGAGCTCCCATTGCTCGGTCCCTGCTCCTGACAACCCAGCAGTTCAAAAGCATGCCAGTGCAAGTAGATAAATAGGTACCGCTTCAGTGGGAAGGTAAACGGTGTTTCCGTGTGCTCTGGTTTCCATCACGGTGTTCTGCTGCCCCAGAAGCGGTTTAGTCCTGCTGGCCACATGACCCGGAAAGCTGTCTGTGGACAAACGCCGGCTCCCTCGGCCTGAAGCGAGATGAGCGCCACAACCCCATAGTCACCGTTGACTGGACTTAACCATCCAGGGGTTCTTTACCTTTGCCTATGTTATTGATATTTATAATATTAATAAATGGACTTGCATTTTCCAGTGCCAGTTAGCTTTTAGACCTTATCCTTTCAGTTTCTCTATCATTATTTTTCCAGTTTGGCCAACCTTAGGATGACAAAATTATATCTATCCTGGACTGCATGCTATTCTGCCGCCCAAATTCTGGGCTACCTAACATGGGCAGGGTAATAATAATAATAATAATAATAATAATAATAATTAAAAAAAATATGTGGCGCACTCAAAGTTCTATGTCCTTGTGTGGGAAAACAGGAGGATTCATAATGCTTACAAACATCTCTCTCAATCTCTCTCTTACACACACACAGCCAGTGGTTAGTGTGTTAGACTGGGACGCGGGTTCAAATCCCCACTCAGCCTTGAAGCTCACTGGGTGACCTTGAGCCCATCCCTGCCTCTCAGCCTAGGCTACCTCGCAGGGTTGTGAGGAAGAGCCCCATATACGTCACCTTGAGCTTCTTGGAGGAGGGCTGGGATAGAAACCTAATAAATAAATAAAATAAATCTAATAGGGGTTTCTGGCTTCTTCCCCCAGATCCAGCAGTCACTGATGAGCGGCCGGGCCAGGGCGGTGCTGGTGATCGCTCACCGGATGCAGACGGTGGAAAACGCGAACAGGATCGTCGTCCTGGAGGGTGGGGAGGTTGTGGAGGAGGGGACGCACTCTGAGCTGATGAGCCGGAGGGGCCCCTATTACCGCCTGGTGCAAAGGAGCCAGGCTGAGTGACTTCCGCACAGGCTGAATGGTCTTCTGGGGTCCCCCTCTCGAGGTGGTCATGTGTGTGGCATAACTGCGTTTAGAAGGGGGTCTCTGTGCCTTCTGCTGAGTGGGACCTTGGGCCACAGCCCCAAAGTCCTGCCATGATGGGGCTACTAGGAGACTCACCTAATTGGCTGATCCTTTCTGAGTGCAGAAACTCTGGCTTAGCAAGAAAAGTGGATGTGAACCCCACTTTGGAGAGCAATGAAGTGGGGTGCAAAAAGGACTGTGTAGCACCCCTTGTAATCACGATGCAGCTGTTAAATAGCAGACAATTTGGAGTATCAGTATTTGCCCCAGGAGAACTTAAGCTGTGATTTTGAAAGTCTTGTTCCCAAGCTCCCATTTTTGAAGCCCCCCTCCCCCAAAGCTTTCCAAGTAGCCTTCCGCTCAGAAGCCCTACTGAGTTCAATAGGGCTTACTCCTAGGTAAGGATTTCATCTTGAGTTGCTTAAATAAGGAGTCTGGTGTCTTTCCCTATCCTGTCTCTTGGTTCCGTATGTCTTAGGTGTTTCTGAGTGTGTTGTAAAAATATCTTAAGGCACTTTTGGTCTCTTGCTGTTGATTCTCCAGGACTATGATGGCATGAAAGTGGCATTTTGTAAAATAAAATGTGTGCATGTGATAACTCTTTGAGGTTTGAAATTTTGTGTCTCGCAGGGGTTGCAGAATGATGCCTCTTTTCGGGTATGGGAACACAAGGCTGCTGGATTAGGCCAAAGGGGGCTCCTCTTCTCCAGGGCTGGATCTACACAAGATCTGAGTGCTTGAGGGACACCTTGGCCTGCCAAATGGCTGCCAGTTTCCTCAGCAAGAGAAGGTCTTGCTTCAGGGGGAGAACACTGTGCCTTGTACAGAGTGAGGCCATCTAGCTCAGTGTTGTCCACTGACTGGCAGAGGCTCTCCAGGGTTTCAGGCAGGAAACCCCATCTCAGCCCTAACTGCCTTCGTCTTCTCCCACCACCCCCTGCCCCAGATCAGATATCTGCACATTCCTTTTATTATATTCCCAACCCTCCTTTCTTCCGTCCTGGAACCAAAGGCAGCATCCAGGTGGTTCCCCAGCCAGGCCCTGAGCAGACTTCACACCCTCTTGGCTTCAGCAACACAGCGGCCTCATGTAACTTAAGTGCACCCCTGCAAAACCACAGATTATGTCCCCATCTCGCTTTGGACACTAGTTCTTCAGTCACTTTGCAATGGAAGACCAATTATTGGCACCTCCCTGCCAGAGTCTGTGAATATTCTCAGAACCTCAAAATCTCTGGAACTCCTGTGATAAGAAGGCAAGAACCACTAAAGAAGAAGGGGGTGCACTCTTATTTATTTCAATCAAACAGAAATTACAAAAGGAGTAATGATAATAATAATTACATCCAGTGTCTTCAAAGCAAGATGCAGCAAATCCATTGGGTTGGGCAAGAAGAGTCCTGCGGCCCCTGGAGGTCTAAAAGAGTTATTGCATTCTTATTTCTATGAAAGAGTTTCCTGAAGGAATGCCAGTCTATGAGCAGGGAAGAAAGATGGCGGGAATCATATGGAGGGAACCGCAGAGAGGCAAAGTATGATCCTCAACCGACTACAGGTGAAAAAGCAAGAATGTGTGAGATAACACGCAAATTGAAGGCAACAAAACTAGTTTACTTGGAAGAGTTCATGTGGTCCCACTCCCAGTGGGTCACCCCTCCTAGAAGGCTGAGGGGACCAGGCAACAAGTCTCATGAACTGGAGGCCTGCAGCCAAAAAGAAGGGGCTGCTTATTTCAGATCAAACTCTGGCCATGAAGCTCCTGACCTGCCTCTCCTCCTTGCTGGCTTCCTCCTTGGCTGTCAGCAGTATCAGACATGACATCCGTTTAGCCAAAGGCTAAACCTGCCCAAGAGGCAGGAACAACTTAGCCTATTTCCTGCATAATACCCCTAAAGCAGCTCTCAGATGTTGTCTTTCCTTCAATTTGGATGGCAAGCGAGGGACACAAGGTTGGGGAAGGGATTGTAGAGGGAAACACAGCAACAAAGAACCAAGAGAAACCATCAAAATCACTGCAAGACATGCTCAATCTCCCCCACCCTTTAAAAAGCTTTTAGTTGTGTTTATATGGCACATTTCTGATTAATACAAGAACATTTCTGAAAATCAGTTGCAAAGCAAAATTGGCCAAAATCCATCCGAAAAACATGATCATCCTCAAATACAAGTTACAGCTGAAGTCAGAGTAGATGACTGAGAGCCAGGATTAAGGAATATCAGAAACAGCATTAAAGGACAGCAGGAGCTCTGAGCCTCTGCAATTCACAGCCAAATTTGGGCAGGCTCCTTCTGGTCTCATCTCACACACCAGCTGAAGGGAAAAAAGAAAAGGAGTGTTTCAAAATTAAGCCAACATCATGGTGTGGGGACATCAGCATTGCAGAGCTAGTGGGACCCCAAAGGCCGTCCAGACCAGCCTCAATCAGACCTAAGATCTGTTAGGAGCAGCACCAAAATGGGCCTGCAGAGCAAATGTCTGCAGAGGGCAGCTCGAGCAAGTGAGCCAAGGTGCACACTTTGGGGGAATACCAGAAGGACACACAGCAGTCCTGTTGGAAGGAGAAATCCCTTCCAGCACCCATAATGTGACTCTCATTCAGAACCCAAAATGTGACTCCCAAGGTGGGTAACAGGAAAGCAGAAGCTTTTCCCCATTTGGGGATGTTCCCCACGGAGTCTCATGCAAGAGCCCCACTTTGCCCCCACCTGCACCCCCACTTACCCCTGGCAGAGCTGTCAGACCCCTGGTCGCTTGCTGCAAAAGGAAGGAAACATAGGAGTCAGGATCCCGGGGAGGGAGATCCCCCCCCCGCCCTTCTCCTCCCTCCTTCCAACCCCCATCCCAAATCAGTCTCAATCTGGGGATGTTCAGGGACAGGCAGCCCAGAGGCAAGGGGACTCAAGGGACCCCTTGCTGTCCACAGACTGGCTGAGCAGACAGGCTGAAGCTTTCCATCAGGGTCTTGGGCTTCAGGACCAGGCCACCACCAGGTTTAGTTTAGTCTGTTTGTAACCTGTTCCTGATCCATATTGGGGGAAAATATGTCAGACAGAGAGAAGGGAGGAGTCACTCACTTGAGGCTGCTTTGTAGGCTGGTTTCCCTGTGAAGACAAAAGCAGAAGGTCAGAGCTGGAAGGGACCTCCAGAGGCCACACAATCCCATTTCAACCATTTGGCTCTCCAATGCTGAAACCTTCCCAGCAGATGCTTCTCTTGTCTCTTCCAAACACCTCCAAGGAAAGTGAGCCCAGAAGGTGAGCTTTTCAAGGAACTCATGTTACAAAGAAGTAGAAAAAATTGAGGAAATTAAATCAGAAGATCAACACTGGGAAACCAGGCAGTGGACAAATTCCAAGAGGTTGGAAGGAAACATTATCCAGTCCCTTAACTCATTCATATTCGGATTATTTTGGTGATTCTCCAAATAAAAATACAAAATGAGAGCACAGAATACATAATAAAACAAAAACAAACCAGTAACTCACATTTAAAAAGCTCAAGGCCTGGTTTGAGAGAAACGTTTTTGCCTGGGGCCTAAAGATGTGTAAGGAAGGCTCCCTGCTAAGTGTGCACAGGACTGAAGGCTTAGGATGGATTAAAACTTCAGGTGGGAAGTGAACTTCCTGAGCACAGAGTGAGCGCAAAGCAATGACCAACAGGACTTTTGGTTCATGTTCAAAGGGTGTTTTATGGGGAGGGGTCTCTGTAGGGATGCCAGTGACAATTGCCAGGAAGATCCACCAGCACATTCCCAGTCGGAGGCCGAGACAGAAGGACACAGGAGAGGCAGCAAACGCATCCACTGTTTACTTACTGAGCTTCTTGATGGTGAAGATGATCCCAGAGACCAGCAGGATGGCCGCCATGACACCCAAAATGGCTCCCACAATGAGCCCCAGGTTGACTAAAAGGGGACAAGAGACATTTTTATTCAGACTGGCGGCAGCAGCTCCCCAAGGCCTCAAGCAGGAGACTAGAGTGGAGGTGCTGAGCTATGAGCCCGGGAGGATTTTACGTGTGCAAAGCAGGCCCTCTTTCTCTCTCTCTCTCTCCTGACAGGCCAAGGTCCTCTCTGTAGTGGCCCTGATACAAAGGAGATTTTTTTCCACCAGAATCCAGCATTAGAGGTCTTCAAAATAATCAATTCATTTAAGGAAGACAGTTGACAGGCACACCTGTTTCACCACAGACTCAAGACTTAAAAGCAGATCTCCACCTACTCATGTGCTTCAGCCTTCTCTGTCCTGACCCTGAGAGGAAGGGATTCCCTCCCCCCTGAGACCCCCCAGAGCTCAGCATTACAGGCCTTCAGGGAAGGCACAAACCCTTAGGAAGAAGCATCTTGTGTAGGGTTGCCATACGTCCGGTTTTTCCTGGGCACGCCCTCTTTTTCAGACTTAAAATGTCTGTCCAGACAGATTCTTAAAATGAGGCAAAATGCCCAGGTTTTTTTGTTTGGGTGGAATCTCTGAAGTCCGTAGCGCTAGTGAGTGAGCCCTGGTCCCCTCTCCCCTGCCTGTGTGAGTCTTTGGCTCAGGGGCCACTTCCATAATCCCCGCTTGCCTGCCTGTGAGAAGGAGAGTCTGGGGTGTGGGTGGGGATGTGCGTTCATGTGCTCCTGCTGGGGAAAAGGGAGTCTTGCTCTTAGACATTCCGCTTTGGTTCCTGCAAGCGCAGCTTCCCTGGCTGAGTATGAGAGATGAGCGTTGTTATTAAAATTCCTGCTTGCTCTTCCCAGAGGTGTTTGGGCTGAGTGGAGAGGAGTATCAGTTTTTCTAGTGCGAATGTGAGGAGGAGCAAGTGAGAATCTTTTTCACTGTGAAGGACAGTCAGTCCCGGGCTCCCTCTTTTAAGTTCACTGCCCCTTTTTCAGTCACAGGGAGTGTGAGTAAGTCAGCCATGTGGAAGAGGTCGTTTGATTTTGAAGAAATAACACATCTGCCAACATTCTGTGACATCACAACAGCTTGGGCTTAAAGGCAAAAAGGTGACAGCCAGTTTTTACCTACGACATCCAATTTGAGTTCAAGGCCTATGAGACCCTTGCCAGAAATGGCTGCAACTCTGTCGAAATCTACCAGCTGCTTCCCTACAGAGACGTAGACAGGATCCAACTGGGGTTCCCCATCTGAGCTGTGCTGCTGCTGAAGGGAGGAGGTGGGTGGAAACCCCCCTCCCAGAGCCCACCCCTTCCCCTCCTGTCTGTCTGTCTGTCTGTCTCTCACCAGGCTCCTTCTCCCAGGCCACGTCCAGAGGCTTCTCCAGGCTGTCATGCTCCACGCGACACCGGAAGCGCTCCCTCTCCTCGGGGTCGATCTGGACACTGAGCAAGAGATAGTAGGTCCCGTCCGAGTTGGGGGCGACCAATCCTCGGAGGGTGCCCTCCTGCCAGACCTCCCCGTCCTTCACCCAGTTGGCCTCAATCTCCTTGGGGTAGAAGCCGTGGACTTGGCAAACGAGGGTCTCCAGGCCGTCATAGTCTGCCTTCCTGGTCACCTTCACCACCGGAGCCTCTGCAAAAAGGGCCGCATTGGGGTTAACAGAGAGACATCCACAACGGGAGCCTGGAGGAATCCTGTATTTTTTAAGAGCAGAGGAGCAGGGACCCAAGGAGCAACCTAGTCAGAATCTCACATCTCCAAAAATTAAAAAGAACTAAGTATAAATGGGATTCCTCAACCTCCCTTGGCATCTTCCCCAGTCAGTGTCTATGGTGGAACAGTTTTTAGATGTTTTATCCTTTGCTTGCCAAAGCAGACTCCTTTGGGAGGGAGGACTAGGCACAAATTAATTTATCATCTTAAAAAGCTTTAACACAACTTGTGGTTCCAAGATAGTCCCAGGAAGCCGCCTCTAGGCTGAGGGGGCAAATTTCACCAGGTCCCCAATGGCGGGATTCTTCCAGATCCTTCCAAGTTGCAAGTCATGAACTGAGGGCAGCTCAGGCTGATCCTGGTTTCTCTCTTGAGGGGGGAAGAAATGCTGGACTCACTGCTCTCTGTTCTCCAGGACTTTTCAGCCCAATAGTGAACAAAGCCAGCAGCCCTGGGAAAGACAGAGCTCCTTTCTAGTTCTCCCGCCTGCCCTGAAAGGGTCCCTTGAGGTTGGAAAGGGCCCATCTCCCTTCTCCACGGCAGCCTCCCCTGGAGTGGAAAGGGCAGACCAGGAGGCCCAGTAAGCCAGCAACTTACGCACATTTAACTTGTGCACATTCAGCTTTACGCACTTGCCAAAAATATTCTAAAAAACAAAAAGATGGTGGGAAGGGGGTGGGCGTACTTTGGCAACCCAATCGCCCTTGAATCCAATGTGTTTTGACTATACACCATTTTGGCTTGAGGCACGATTCACAGAATGTAACCCTTGTTCAAAACCTGGCTCCCTGGGTAGCTGTTGTCTGAAGGGGCTGTTCCAGGATCCCACCCACTTTGCAGTGCCTGGACTGGAAACTCGGTCTAGGAGGGGATGTGACTCTGCTGGGGGGAGCAGGAAGGAAGGAAGGTCAAGCCCTTTCCCCATAGAAACCCCAAACAAGACCGCCCCACCCCACCCACCCCCTCACCTGACCTCAGCAGAACCTCCGTCCCAAAGAGGATGATTCCCAGCCTCCTTTGCACGTTGTCACCCTTGAAAACGCTTCATTGTGGCTTTTGAGGTGAAATCCTCAACCTCAAGAAATATGCTCAGTGTCTTTGGGGTGAATTATCACCAGGCCCTATAGATGAATTTGCTCAGATCTCTCTAAGCACGGCTAATACGTATGTGTCATTCCTCAAAAAGGAAGGGTGCTAGAATTATTTCATTTTTAATTAATGTTCATATTAGCAAAGCTAATAGAGACAGGAAGAAAGCCTGTCAAAATACTTGATCATTTGATTGGCCCCTGAGCCAGATTCCTGAAGGCGGAAGAGTGGACTGTACCATTTCAAGGCATGGGGTTGGGGAAGAGGACACTTCTGAATGTTCCCCATGGAAAAAAGTAAAATTCCTCACAAATAAAAAATATAAGAAGGTAGAAGAGGGAATTTCCATACTCTCTCACTATGTGCAGGTTTTCTGCTTCTAGGCCACGAGTGGCTAACCTACAGACTTAGTGAGGGGGCCACATTTTCTATTTAAAAAAAGGTTAATTAATTAATTTTTAAATACTTTTTAGCGGGGCCAACTAAAAAATTACGTGAAATGTTAAAGTGTTCCAATGCTGTTTTTCATCATTTAGTTAAGATTTAAAAATAACTAAGGTAAATAATCAGTAATCAGGATTACACGTGATTTTTAAAAAGGTTCAGTGGTTTTATTAGAAATTGTTAGTTTTTTGAAAATGTCCACTGGGGCACTTTGATACACTCTAAAAGTGCCCGCTCAGTGTACAATAGTGCTCCAATATACAAGTTTGCATGAAATCTCTAAACTAATTTCCTACCTATGAAATTTGAAAAGAAAAAAACTGTTGTTGACTATGTGGCCAAAGTCATTTCTAAATATAATATGACCTATTATCAAGTGTCATATCTGAGGAAATATCCAGGATCTTATATATTTGTCTTCCCCAATGTAGAAGATAAGGCAAGCGTTGATTTCAAGGATGTTGTTTTGCCAAACCAAATTTCTCAAAGGACACATCTCCAACATCATCTCTACACTTTTCTTTTAACTTCAGTGGATATAATGGGCAATAAGCATTTTGTTTAAATTATAAGCATTTTGTTTAAATTACTATTTTTTGACTACCTAATGTAAGATCTTATACTTTTTAAAGGGCTGATTATGATCTCTCACAATAAAATTGTTTTTTTAATTAATTTTTTGTAAATAATTGCCATTCTCATACAATTTACGCTTTGCATCAAAGTGCCCCATGCACTATATCAAAGTGCCCCGTAGTTGGGGCAGAATGATACAAAACCCATTTTTTACTCAAGTCATTATATTCTCATTATCTTCTAACTTTAGTGGTTCTTTTGATTGCTATTATAATATTAATTATAATTAATTTATGCCATGCATAAAGCAATTTTTAAAATTATTTGAATCCTTTTGGCACATAAAATATGAGATTGAATTTTTCTGCATCAATCTGCCCCACTTTCCCCATCCCAAGTGTAAAGGCAAAAGGTTTTTCTGTATCCCGCCTCAAATCTGTCCATTTCAATTTTCTTTTTTTACTAAATTTAAAACGCATTTTGCTTTCCTGGCCCCTTCCCTGCTGTTTCTTTGTGTCCCCTCCCCGATTTGTCTTTTGCCATCCCTTAGTCTAGGCATGGGGGGCTGTTTATAAGCATCTCCCCCCCCCCATCATACTCTGAAGTGACCCCTTTTCTCCTCCCAGAGGCCCAAACTTATTTCTGCCACCACCACCAAGAAAAGTGTTTGCTGTTTGGTCCAGAAAGGAAGACTGTAAAGGGGGGGAGGGGAGCTTGAAGGGAAACTGCCCCACTGAGCCCCCCTCCCCTCCCCACTGCCCCCCCTCTTACCTGTCCTCAGCAGAGTCTCCTTCCCGTACTCCAGGTATCTCTGCAGCCACTCAATGCAAATCTCCTCCAGGTAGTGCTTCTGGCCCTGGTTCCAGGCCATGTTAGCATCCCACTTCCTCTTGGTCACTTGGGCCCCTGTATCAGCTGCCGTCCAGGTGCGGGTCTCCTTGTCAAAGGCGATGAAGTCCCTCCCGTCGTAGCCGAACTGGTAATGCCCTCCTCCTTTGCGCCCGTCTGACCTCAGCTCACAGCCGTACATGAACTGAAAGGTGTGGATCCCTGGAAGGACCAGAAGAGGCCCAGGAGGTCAAGGGGGGTCAGAGCAGCCCCTCCCCCATCAGCAAAAGGGTCCAGGAAAAAGGATTTATTTGCCTCAGACTCAGGGAAGAGGCAGCAGTCAGAGGGGAGAAAAATCAACCAGCATTGTATCTTTCTGAAGGCTCATCCGCATAACACGTTCACTGAGGGAAACGCTACAATCCTGAGCCTATAAAACCCCCCTTTAATTGCCCTCCTCGCCTCACACTTTCTCCCCCCCCCAATTCCTAGTGGATTCTCCCAACTCCCTGGAGGCGGGGGAGGGGTGGGGAGCATCCCTTGCAGGTCGGAGGTCACAGTCTGTCCCTCTTTCCCCCCAGCTCTGCTCCTCTGGATCTTGCCCCTTTGGGAGGGACGCCTCAGATGCCCCCCGTCCCCCCCCAGAAAGAAGAAAGGGGCAACATGGAAGGGGGACACCCACACATTGGGGGCCCTTTCAAGAGAGTAGGGCTCCTCTTCCCCTCCATCTCTCTCCCCCCAGATTCTCAATATCAAGGACCTTTTCCCTAAAAGGAGGGAAGTCATGGAAGGGCCTTCGGAAAAAGAAGTTTCCTCATAGCCTGGGTGGGAAGGAGAAGCCGCAAGGGAGGGTTGCCCCATTTCAGAATGGCCCCCCTTCTCAGCAGAAGCCAGGCTGCCCTTGTCAAAGATGGGGGGTCCCTGCATCCTCCTGCCCACCCCAGGGGGCTAACACCAAATCTTCAAAACAACAACAACAACAACATTAGAACAATCATTTTGAAGTCCCATGATCCCTAAATGGGACAGATCATTTTGATTCTCTCCTTACATGTTTCATATATTTGTCTTTGCATATTTACTTGAAGGTAAGTCACACTGAGTGGGCTTGGACTTACTTCCAAGTAAACATGCAGAGGACTGAGCAGTTACAATTGGAAATTAAAATAAAATAAAATCTGTTTGTGATCCTGGCTGCCCACACACCAGACGCCTAAAACCAGCTGGGAAGAATGTGACTAGCCCATTTCTGAACTCTCTTGTTGAAGACTCTTTCCTGGCAGTCAGTTCCATGGGGTAAGGCAGGTTTTAAAGAAGAGCAACTGCCAGATGTGGGGCCCCGTTCTCTATCAGCCCCCCAGCAGGTGGAGTGAGCAGTCCAGACAACCTGATGGATTCTGAAAGGCTCCAAGGAGAAAGGGGGGCTGACAGCCAGCATCCCTGTGGGGCCCCCATCTCCCTATGGAATATGGAATAGGGACACTATCCTTCCTTCCTGTCGTCTCCAGCACTGCAGAACCCGGCCGCCCCCCACCCCCAGTTCACCAGGGCAGTGGGGAGGATGAGGAGGCAGAGGGAAGAAGTTTCATGGGGGGGGGGACTCATAGCTGTGCTTATTCTGGGGTCATGATTGCAGCAGACTGGGGGGGGCATATTGGCACCTCAATAATGCAGCTACAATAAACTTGCTGCCTGGGACAGGTATTAAGGCACATGAGCACAGAGTCATCAAAGTTTCAGGGAACCCCCCCCCCCCCATTTCAAAATTGGCAGTGCCACGGCTGGATTTCCAACTGGATTCCCAGCTCTTTGCTCTCTTCCAGGATCCCTCCCTATTATTACTTTGCCACAAAGCCAATGCCAACAGTGCCAGGGAGAGAGCCAAGCGTCAGCCGGCATCCTTGTTTTGTGCCACAAATAACAGGCATGGGGGGTGGAGGGAAGACATCTGTGCCTGCCACTGCAGAGTCTTCTTCCGTAGAACTTTCCATTATTGTGTCCCCTCTGCCCTGCAATACAAGTACTTTTGTACACTGGTGCCTTGGTTCTCAAACACCGAAAACGCAGGGAGGCCTCACTTCGGACAACCGTAAGTCTGAGTATGGGCTGAATGTAAACTCCTCGCTCTGGATTAACCTGCAGTCTTCAGATCAAGTAATTCGCTTATTTAGCTTATGTGGGTAGCAATTTAAGATTTTAAGGAGGTTTTCTCACCACTGCTGTATCGCAATCACCATCTTTTTCCCCGTGTTAAATCTTTTTTGCAGTTTCTAAATGAAAGGCTGTGATATACAGCGGTGCTTTGGTTCTCAAACGGCCTGGTTCCCAAACGCCAAAAGCCCAGAAGTAAGTGTTCCGGTTTTTAAATGTTTTTTGGAAGCCGAACATCCGATGCAGCTGTCGGCTCTTGTTTGCGGGGCACCTGCACCAATCAGAAGCTGCGTCTTGGTTTTCGAACATTTCGGAAGTCAAACGGACTTCTGGAATGGATTCAGTTCGAGAACCAAGGTACAACTGTATTTGGCGCTTTTGTTTTTGCTACAGTGGTACCTCTGGTTGCGGACACGATCCGTTTCGGGGTGCCGTTCGCACCCGAAATGTCCGTAACCAGAGTGGCACTTCTGCGCATGTGTAAATACTTCCGGGTTTGCCGTGTTCTTAACCTGAAAAAAACGCAACATGAAGCGTTCGCAAAAAGAGGCATTTATTTTGCGTTTTTGTGGCTTTTTCGGTTAATTTGTTTTTGTTACTGTGTGGAACCCAGTTCAGCTACTGATACGATTTATTGACTGTGTGACTGCGGAAATGGATAAAAGCCCCCCATCCAAACAACGACTATCATCAGTGCAGGTAAGGAAAAAAGTAATAATTTTAATTTTTATCATCTACAATACTGTCTTATTTGTTTTATAGTACAGTACATTGATTATTGCTTTCATTTTAATGGAATACTCAGGATGCAACGGTGAAATCGGCTATGATTAAATGGGCACAGGACGTTGGTCATAACATTATGTTTGCTGACTGGGAACAGTTATGGACCACAGGTATGAAATTTACGGCATGTAATGCCTTAAGAGAAAATATTATGAAAATGATATACAGGTGGTACATAACCCCAGTCAAGCTTGCAAAAATCTATCATGTGCCTGATAACAAATGTTGGAAATGTAAAGAAACTGAAGGTACATTTTTCACCTTTGGTGGACGTGCCCAAAGATTAAGGCTTTCTGGGAGATGATATATAATGAACTAAAAAGGTATTTAAATATACCTTCTTGAAGAAACCAGAGGCCTTTCTCCTGGGCATAGTCGGCCAATCGGTGTTAAAAAAGGACAGAACTTTCTTTATGTATGCTACAACAGCAGCAAGAATACTCATTGCAAAGCATTGGAAGACACAAGATTTACCCACACTGGAGGAATGGCAGATGAAATTAATGGACTATATGGAATTGGCAGAAATGACTGGCAGAATCCGTGACCAGGGAGAAGAGTCGGTGGAAGAAGATTGGAAGAAATTTAAAGACTATTTACAGAAATATTGCAAAATTAATGAATGTTAGAATGATGTTGGATTGAAGTTAAGTGGTTTCTAGCTGTATAGGTACAAAAGAATATGGAAAAATTGGTTTTTAATATGTAAAAATCTAACGTTACAATATATCAAGACTAAGAATTAGGATTAAAAAGGAGGGAAAGGAATTGTTGGATTAACAAATTGAATTGGAATACAAAAGAGGGAGGTATGAGGAGGTCCGGGAAACAAGTAAACGTAAAAGAAGTGAGGAAAAGATGGAATTGTTTTTAACTGTTTTTTCTTTTTTTTCTACTTTGTATTTTTCCTTTTTATTGTTAATTTTTTTTATTAATGTGATTTTTTTTCCTTTGAAACTTTAATAAATATTATTTTTTTAAAAAAAAAAGATTATTGCTTTCATTTTATGGACCAATGGTCTCGTTAGATAGTAAAATTTGTGTTAAATTGCTGTTTTAAGGGTTGCTTTTAAAAGTCTGGAACGGATTAATCCGTTTTGCATTACTTTCTATGGAAAGCGCACCTTGGTTTTGGAACGCTTTGGTTTTGGAAAGGACTTCCAGAACGAATTAAGTTTGAGAACCAAGGTACCACTGTATAATATTAAGCAAGTGATGCATTTGAGGGATTTGAACCCAGGTTCAAGGACAACTGAAAGGTAACTGTGCTCATGGAGTGGAATATAAAGATATAAATGATGGAACAAACAGATGTTTGTAAATGTGTGCCTAAACACACTTTGGCTATATACTAAATTCTTTGCTCCTGGTGAAAATAATTAAATGCTGATGTTAAGCCAACTTGTTGCTTTTCAAAAGGCCATGCCTCTTCCCTTTGATGCTCAGCACCATCAGGGCAGTCTATGCTGTGAAGAGCTGGGAGCTTTCCTGGGGAGAGGACAGAGCTGGAGGACAGACCTTGCTTGGCTGCTCTTGCCCCCAGAGCGGAGTGCCCTTCCCTGCCCCACCTCCCTCTGCTCCTGCAAGGGCCGCATCCAGAAGCGCAGGAGAGAGGAGGAGAGACCAGGAGTCTGTGTCCTGTGGCTCCCAGGCCAGAGAACTTGGAAGTGAGGCCTCAAGGGGTCTCCTGGGGGCACAGGGGAAAGAAGGGGGCACAGCATGTCTGCCAGGATCTCAGCCAAAGGCAGCCTGGGGAGCCGGACATTCAGACAGAGCAGTTTCCTCGCGGCTCACTTTTCAGAGATGGCACTTGGACTGGATGCATCATCCAAGATCTGGGGTGGTGGTATCTAATGCAACCCCTACTCAGAGTAGACCCACGGAAGTGATTTGGCATTTCTGTTTTTAATGCACTGATTTCAATGGGTCTACTCTAAATAGAACAGTATTGGATGCAACCCTGTGTGTACTAAAAATGTCAAACACCTGCCCTAGCTCTCACTTTCAATAAATACTGAATTTTTGGTACCTGCTAAAAAAAATCCTGTTTAGACAAGCCTACCCGGATGCCTAGAAAGTGGAGGTAATTCTAATCTGTTTTAGTAGTTTAACTTCCTGTGTTTTCAAGTATGGTTGGGAGTTTTTCTTAATTTTACTGGGGGGGGGGCTACAGTCGATAAGTGTATGTATTTAAATAAATAAATAAATAAATAAATAGATAGTATTTATTGATGTCTTATGTACATTCTATGGATTTTTTCCCTGATTTTTATTATAACTTTCTAGGTTGTATACTATCTTGATACAGTTTTGTGGGAAATACATATTGTAAATACTTTAATAAAACCTTCAGTCGATTGATAATAAAAGAAGAGCTGGTTTACATTAGCTAGTTGATGTCCACCTAATAAATCCTTCATCAAAGAGGGCATGATCCTTATCTCTGCTACTCTTCATGCTGCACCTCCAGTGTCCCATTTTACAGATCCACAACGTTAATGCTCGTGGCTTTTGAATGTGCTCTTCAATTTCAGTATCTGAAGGATTGATCTGGTGTTTCCACTTGGCAGGTGGCATCACACAGGCCTCGATGAGACCCCTGGCAGGGCCCACGGGTGCTGAGGACCCCACCCTGTCTCCTCTAGGCCAGCCAGCAGGGTCAGCAGACAGCCATTTGGATTTCCCACAACAAAACCATGGAGAGAAGCTACGTCCGGCACCCCAAGACAGGATGGGAAATGGCAATGGCTGCTCCTGGCCATGCACAGAGTTCTGCTGCTCTTATTAGAGGTTACTGCCCCCACACTTCCGCTGCACTTTTACTGCTTGTGTGGTGGCATCTCAGTCAAACCACTTCTGACTGTTTGTAGCAGAGTTTTCCCCGGAGGCAGAGGACAAGAACAGGAGTCAGACTCAAATTCACAGTCAAGAGCTTCTTTATTGCTTGACTGGTTGCACAAGCATGTCTGTTACTATTAGATACAAGCCACTGACATTCCTCCTTATATCTCCAGCACAATATAATCTCAGTCCAGTAATTAACAATCCTGACACAGCAAAACTCACAGTATCAGTAGCACACATTGTCTTACTTCCAACCTTGTTGTCAGGGTGCGTGCTGAGTGTGAGTGTGAGTATGAGTGTGTGTGTGTGTGTGTGTGTGTGTCTTTTCCTTTTGCGGAAATTGCAGCCTGCAACTTCCTCCCTTTATTTGCACCTCCAGCTGACACCAATCAAGCCTAGAGTGCCACTCTTACATGCTAAAGAAAATTCTGGAACCTTCTTGAAAGCTTCCAGGAACCCTTATCTGTTTCTTAAAGAATGTTTTCCTAACAGCTCTTTGTGTTTCTGGGTAGCCTGAGGGAGCTCAGCAATGGAGAGGCTGTCCCAGAGGACACCAGGCTGCTCTCTCTTTAATTCTGGCTTCCTCTTTCACCTCAGGAGCCTTTGGCTCACAGCTGAATTGAGTTGGGGCATATAAAGCCCTGGATGAGAGCAGCCTCTCTGGAAGGAAATCCTGCTTTTCTGGGCTGGATTCAGCTAACATTGTTAGTCTAGCGGGAGCCAGAAGGAACAAGTCTCACTCACACAACTGGGGCTTTCTCCCCATCTCCTTCCCCACAAATCAGCTTGGTGGGGGGGTCAGGAGAAGCCCCAGAAAGGTGTGCGGGGGTGGGGGGGAGGAGAAGGGAGATTGCTCCCTCTGGCAAGTAACAGATTGTAACAGAACTACTACTTTATAGTCCTCCCTCTAGAACTATTCAACATATTTAATAATAATAATAATAATAATAATAATAATAATAATAATAATATAATAATAATAATAATAATAATTAGTATCTCCTACAATACCATGTCCCAAGGTGATATAGTTCTTTTTATGCACTCAAACAATGGTTTGTGGTTGGCCTACGAAAATAAACCAAACCAAACCACAAACCCCACCAGCTGGTCTGGATATGGAGCTTTTGCTTGGAGGGAAGTTGCTTTGTCTCATTGCTTCTTCAGCATAAGTTGCTTTCTCCCTCATTTTATGAATGAAGCTCACTCCCCTCCCGTTTCCTCAAGATGTTAAGTGGGATCAATCCCGATACACCTATACCTTCAACATTGTTTTTAAATAGAATCAGATAACATTTCCAGGGCTGTCCGTGGCACCTTTAAAGTGGCCACCTCATTAGTTTGGGATTTTCTGAGCTAAGCAATTGCAAGAAATGATCAGGAAACGAGAGGCGCCCCTTGGTGACATTTATGGGGCATTTTCCATGGATAGGTGCAGGGGCTCAGGAGGGACCCAATCCCCCTTTTAAAAATGGGGAGAAGCAGAATTCCCAGGAGCCCAAGAGGAAGCCTGCAAGGCAAGGCCAGGCCTGATCCCACGGCAAGAAAAGCAGACCTGCCCATTGCAGCGCTGGCTTGGTCTCAGCTGACCCCCTGGGTTTCTTCCTTGCAAGCCTGACAAGGCCAACGAAGGCCCCAGAGGGCTCTGGACACACTCAGGCTGACCCCTTTGGCAAGGCTCCTTCCACCTCCATTATTCTGTGTCCCAGGTGGGGAATCTCTTTGGCTTCAGGGCCAGATCCTGATCAGGATTGTCCCCCTGGGCCAAAAGGGGCAGGAGCCTGAAGCTGACATCACAGCATAGCCCACCGGTCAATCTCACCCACCTTTCTACCCCTCCACTGCAGTTATTGTTTGAAGTGCTGGGACACCTGTGGTGCTGTTAGGGGCAGGGCTAAAGTCCTGAAGCAGGGAGCCTGCTTAGGAAGTGAGGGAGTAGAGAAGCCTGGAAGGTAAAGGTGCAAAATCATAGAGAGATCTCCCTCCAGACCCAGCAGAGGCTCCTACTTCTGAAGTTCTGCTCCAAAATTGAAATTAGAGGGGGGAGTCACTCAACTTTGGGGCTAAACACAAATGCCTCCTCCCACCCTTCCAGCATGCTGGCTCCTTTCACACAACTAACGTCTCAAAAGGATGAACATCTTTTGACTCATTTCAGAAGGAAGTTTAAAAAGCAAAAATGTGTGCCAAGAGGCTTTGGCCAGAGGTCTACCAGATTTTACTAAGTTTAAATGATTCCTGTTGTAACAGTTCCAAGGCTGGATGAGGAAGGGGGAGGAGTGTGGCAGAAATCATCATAACTGGACAAAGGGGGTGGAAGACCTTTCTAAAGGTCCTGCTATTCTTCCCTAAGTGTAGACCGTTAGAGAATAAAGTAAGTACTGGAGGAGTGGGGGCCTTGGGGGCTCTGGTCTACCCCTCCACTTCAGGTGCCCACCCTGCTTATGGTTTTAACCATGTATTTGCCACTCTGACCCCCCAAACCCAGTCCATTTGTGTTCCTTAAAAAGGCTTCTCTTTCAACACTGTGCCAGGGAGTGGGAGGGGCTTGGTGATGGTCAGAAGGGTCAGCCAATCAGCACCTCTGTCTGGGCAGCTGGCTTCTCCTTAAGCAGGACCAGAACTCAAGGCTTGCTTGTCTCAGCCTCAGGATCCCCTCCCTTCTCTTCCCCTCCCCCCCAGAGGAAAACAAACTAGACAGATTTCCACCTCAGAAGGCCTAAGCCAAGCCTAGCATGGAAGGAAGGGCAGGCAATGGAGACATTTCCCTGGTAGGATGTGCAGGACCAGAGAGGGTCATACTGGGGGGGGGGTCTCTCCCCTCCAAGTCTTGTTCTCTGTCCTCCCCACCCCACACCATCCCAGCCCCCATTAAGAACTTCATTAAGGGAAGGGGAGATGCCTCTGCCCTGGTGGAGACCCCCACCCTCCATTTCCTTTCCCCCTAGCAGCCCCCTCCCTGCAATTCTGGCCCTTGGAGGAAACATTATTGGGGGGGAGAGGTGTGACTCTGTGCCTCTCCTGCCTTCCACTCACCTCCGCTCTGGTTGTAGCGATTCCTAGCAATTTCCAGGTTCTCCCTGAACCGCAGCTCAGAGCCCTGAGCGACCTGAGTCTGCTTGTGCCAGTACTGAGGATCCTCCTTTTCCACCTTCCTCATCCAGGAGACGCGAGGCAGCGCCTCCTTGGTGTCACTGTCGTACTGATCAATTTGCTGGTCATCCACGTACCCCACAGTAATGAACTGGGGCAGCCCCTGGCCAGGCTCAGACACGGCTGTTTCAAAGTAGCGCAGGGAGTGAGAAGTGGAGCCTGGAAAGGAAGAGAAAAGGGGGCAGAGAGTTAGGGGTCCTGCAGATGAAGGCAGGACCCCTAACTGTATCACAGGCAGCAGCCCTGAATCAGGAGATCCATGGACTATATGGAACTTGCCGAACTGACTGGGAGACTCCCAGACCAGAGAGATGAGATGGTGGAAGACGATTGGAAGAAGTTTAAAGAATATTTGAAAAAATATGCTAATATTTAAATCTTAGAATAGTTTTGGAAATGGATATTTCTAGAAGTAGAACATAGTGTCTTTTAAAATAGTATTACTTGTAAGGGATAAAATGTCAAGATTTTTATGGTAAAACTAAGTGTGATTTAGAAAATGGTTAAAAATTATGATATATGTAAACTGCTAAAGATGAGGTAAAATGAAAATCAGATACAGGGGACTTGGGGAAGTTCACCTAACAATGTTTAGAAAAAATAAGGGTAAGGCAAGAATTTGTTTGTATTGTCTGTTTTTCTGTTTGTGTTGTTCAACTTTGGGGTCAGGTCTCAACATGTGGACCCACATCCCCTTTCCCCCCACTTGCCCCTTCACGAGGTCGAACACAGGAAGGGGGACAGAGCTCTGGCCACCAGGGGGCCTAACGAGTCTCCACAGCAGATCCCCATCAGAAGCAATTAACTTTTGTTGACGTCCATCAGCAGATTTTGCTGTTTCTGCTCACTCCCCACACTCCTTAACCCTCTTCCCAAGTCACAGTGAATGTGTACTAAGGGGGCTGTGTGCCTCCTTTGTGCATTGGGAAAGAGCCAAGGCTCCATGGTACTTCTCTGGGGCCACCGCTGTACAGGGTACAGGATGAGCCCCACAGAGAGGGCCCCCCAAGACAGCTGCAGCCCCTTAATTCCCACCCTGGGCTCCTTTGGGAGGAAGGTGGGGATATAAACTCAATTTTAAAAGATGGCTCTGTCAGTACCAAGAAAGGCCTCACAAATTTGGGCGTAAGGATGAGCCCCTCCTTTCCAACACCTGTCCCATTCTCTGCCTAGAGATTATCCAAGACCCACAGAAACAGCTCACAAAGACTTGGGGAGGGAGGGAGCTGATCACAGGCTTTCAGCATCATACCTGGGGCTCCTGCCCCCACCAGGACACCCCCTCAGAGGGAAAAGCTGAGTCGAGTTCAGCGAGAGATGGGGCATTTCTGTGGGGAAAGGTAGAGGGCACAGTGCTAAAAGGGGAAGAGGAGGCTATTCTTATTTTGCCTCAGGTAGCAGAAATGGGACATATAATAATTATTATTTATTTAATTTATATACTGCCCTATACCCGGAGGTCTCAGGGTGGTTCACAGAACAAAATCAAAATATATAACCACAAAATATTCAATCATTAAAAAAGCCAATTACCACCCCCCCCCAAAAAAAACCCCTCACACTTTTAAAAGGATGTCAATCAAATCAACCAAAGGCCTGGTAAAAAGGGATTGTTTTTGCCTGACTTAGTCAAAAGGTGAATAATGAAGGTGCCAAGCGAACTTCCCGGGGAGAGCCTTCCACAGACAGGGAGCCACTGCAGAGAAGGCCCTGTTCTCGCATTGCTGCCACCCTCCGGACCTCTAGAGGAGGCGGCACAGGAAGGAGGGCCTCAGAAGATGATCTCAGGGTCCATATAGAAAGAGGTGGTCCTTGAGGACCCTGTGAAAACTGTGTTGAATGCACTTTGGACAACTTCACCCTCAAGGAAGAAGAAGCCCAGCTTGAGTTTGCCCAGTGACTCATCTCAAAACAACTAGGAAACTAAAATAAAAACCACAGACAGGACTCTGAGGGTCCAACCCCCCTGCGATGCTGGCATCTCGACTGTAGCATCCATGGCAGATACAACCTCTGCTAACAAATCTCCAAGGAAGTAGAATCTACCACCTTCTGAGGGAGATCCACTGTGGAAAACAAAGTTCAAGGAAGCGAAAACCTGCAAGATGTGTTTGCTTGAATCACATACACCGTGATGGTGTGTCGACTCTGCTAACTCCCTCTGGCTCGGTTTCCTTTCAAGCAAGATCAAATGGGACCCACTTCTAAGACCCTCCCCTCCCAGAACAGGGGCTTCCCCCACTTCAAACCACAAGAGCTCAGAGCAAGGCTGCCTCTGGTTGTGGCATCTGGCTAAACAACACAGGCAGTTCTGCTCAGTGGTCGGGAGACAAAGAGCCACAAAATGAGTCACACGTGAGACCCCAAAGTGAGGAGGAATCTGAAGAAACCAGTGGTCTCCGCCACCCTTTGCCCAGCCCTGTAGCAGACACAGTGAGGGAGCAGCCCCCCATATGGAGACAGTTCAAGAGAGAAATAGCAGGTCTTACTCTTTAGTTCTTAAAGCTTTTAAATTACTTTGAGAATTTTTATGCAAAAGCAACATTTAAACTAAAGATAGTATTATATTCATACCATTATCCATTAGAGAACCACAAAAGCCATTTACAATCAAGATTCAAGTAGGTAGCCATGTTGGTCTGACGCAGTCGAAATAAAAAAATAAAAAAAAATGTCCAGTAGCGCCTTAGAGACCAACTAAGTTTGTTCTGGGTATAAGCTTTCGTGTGCATGCACACTTCTTCAGATACGAAGTGTACAAAACGTAGTGAAAGGGGCTGTACAAAAATAGCACAGAGGAGCCCCCTGCATAATTTACAAAATCTACATTTTTGACAGGCAACAGGAAGGGGTTTTTTGGGGGGTGGGGGAGTTACAATTGTAAAACAGGAGAACCAGATTATGAATGTGCCTGTGAAAGGGAATTCCTGAACAAAACAACATTGGGAATTGCGGGTGGGGACCCCTTATTCAGACGTCCCCATCCCCCCCCATAAAGACTGCTACACGCGTCCAGCTCCCACCTCCAGGCTGGTCTCCAGAGTTTTTAGCTGAGTTTTCAGAGCGGCTGAGGGTTAGAAGAGGGAAAGTAAAAAATAGAAGAGGGAAGACCTGTACTCTGTCTGTCTGTCTGTCTCTCTGTCTGACACGCACACACTCACTCACACACAAACAAACCAGAGTCAACACGAAGCTGCGGGGGGCGAGACAGGCGAGTCACTTTGCCCCCCATTAATCCTGCCAACACCTTCCAGCTTTGTTTTGTTCTTTGCTTGAGCCCCGAGCCAAGGAGTGAAGCGGCCCCTGCCCCGGGCGGCATACAAAACAAGCCCCAAGTCTGGGAAACAGATGTCTGGGAAGGGATCCGGCTCCACTTCGGACAAGAAACTCCCCGATCGCCCTTTCAGTGCCCACGAAATGCAATTCACAAAGAGTCGTGTCCCCCCCCCCAAAAAAGGGGCTTAGTGGAAATTATTTTCTCCCCCCGCCCCAGAGCAGAGTCCTTACCTGCGCAGTCCAGGAGCAGCAGCAGGTGGGCAGCCGCCCCCAGGATCAGGGGGGGCCAGCGGAGGAAGACCCCCATCTCCCCCCAAACGAAGCTCCCTTTTCCTCTTCTTACTCCAGCGACGTCCTTCTCCCTCCGACTCAGAGACCCGCTCTCCGCCCCGCCTGCGGAACCAGCAGCAGAGCGAGCCGGGATTGGGCGACGGGGTAATATTCCACCAATCGGAAATCTGCGCGCAGTTTACGGCATCAGTCGCCAGGCAGAACTCGAGGCGCAAGTTTGGGAGCGAGGCTGGCGAGGGAAAGAGAAAGTGGTTGCAGCTCCTCGCTGGGAGTCGCCGCCTCCCTCCCTCCCTCCCTTCCTCCCTCCCTCTTTCCCCCGGCAGCTCTTCCTGTCCTGCCCTGCAGGGAGGGCGGAGGGGGGTGGCCAGGGGAGGACCCCAGGTTCAGTCCCCGCATCTCCTGGGGGGGGGGTCTGGGAATGCCCCCCTCTCTGAAACACAGAGAAGCGCAGCAGGTGCTGGGAGACTGACAAACAGGTTTGCTATCAGCACAGGGTCAGGCCAGAGCCCACTAACGTGCCACAATTTCCTTTCCCCATGTGGTTTTTAAAAGGGCATTTTATATCTCCACATATCTCTGCTTCCTCCCCAACATGAGTTTCTCTCCCCCTGCCTGGGACCCTCTTAATCCTGCAGGCCCTGGGTGTTGGGGTCAGGGAGGCCCCCTTTGCACAGCCAGCAAGACCCAGCGGCTGCCAAGCCTCTTCTGGAAGGCCCTGAGCCAAGGCTGGGTGCTTGGCCCAGAGAGTGCTTGGCCCACATCCCACTTCCAGAAGCCTGAACGTTTGAAACCTGAGCTAAGCATGGGACACAGCAGAAGCTGCTGCCTTTTCCAAGAAATCAGGAGAGAGACAAGTAGTGGCCGCTCCTTGCCCAGGTACAAGGAAGCTTTTGGCTTAAGGGGGGGCGGGCTGTGAAGTCGGAAGAAGCAAGATCTCCTGCGGGGTGAATGCTGTGAGCCCCTCCATCGAAGGCTCATGTGGTCTATAGGTGCAATTAAACCCCACACCCTAAAGACACCTCCGTCTCTTCCATCCCTCATTCTAAAGAAACCCAACTCTCTGTGTAAATGCCTGGATCCCCTGAAATCTTGCCCCTCTCGGAGACTGGGGTGCTGTGTGACAGTATAGTCCAGGCATATATGAAGAAAATAGCCCCCATAATCATTTGCAGAAAGGCGGAGACTGGGGGGCAGCTGGACCAGCGACTAGAGTCAGTGATGGGCTGGATGAGGGTCAACAAACTGAACCTCCCTTCCCAAACAAGGCGCAAATGCTGTTCAGGGAGATGCCATTCGCCCCGTCCTAAACATTGACAAACGTGACAAATAGCTCATGTTTTGTTCTGTTGCTGCAGGATATCTCTTGGATGGCTTTAAAAGAGGTTGTGACTAATTCATGGAGGAGGAGGAGAGGGCTATGGATGCCCCCCCAGCCATGATGGCTCCGCTCTTGCTCCCCCTTTGGAGGCAGCCATGCTTCTGGATCCCCATTTCTGGAAGTCCCAGGAGGAGGGCAGAGTGGGGCTCTGGCGCTTAGGGCCTGTTTTGGGGCTTCCCAGAAGAGGAGGCATCATCCGGTCGGCCATTGTGAGGACCAAAGGCTGGACTCGAGGGGCCTTTGGCCGGATCCAGCCAGGCTCTTCTTGTTTCCCCTGTTAAAGTGACTCTCTCAGAGTCCTTCTCTTCTTGGCCATTATTCACAGCGACAATTCGTGGTTGCAAGATAAGCTCCTGTGAAGAAGGAGGCTGGCTGTTTTGAGGGGGGCTCTCCAGGACCCACTTTTGGGACTCAATGGGCTCAGTCACCTCAGGGACATCATAGGCTTCACTTTCTACCTGCTCCATCTAGTTCACAAACTGCAGGTTTTCCTGGACAGGGATAGTCTGCCCACAAGGATCCATATTCTGCTCACCTCCTGACAGGATTATTGTAATAGATGTTGTTTTTCCCAGAGAGAATATTATGAAAATGATATACAGGTGGTACATAACTCCAGTCAAGCTTGCAAAAATCTACCATTTGCCTGATAATAAATGTTGGAAATGTAAAGAAACTGAAGGTACATTTTTTCACCTTTGGTGGACGTGCCCAAAGATTAAGGCTTTCTGGGAGATGATATATCCTGAATTAAAATGGTATTGAAATCTACCTTCGTGAAGAAACCAGAGGCCTTTCTCCTGGGCATAGTCGGCCAAACGGTGTTAAAAAAGGATAGAACTTTCTTTATGTATGCTACAACAGCAGCAAGAATACTCATCGCAAAGTATTGGAAGACACAAGATTTACCCACACTGGAGGAATGGCAGATGAAATTGATGGACTATATGGAATTGGCGGAAATGACTGGCAGAATCCGTGACCAGGGAGAAGAGTCGGTGGAAGAAGATTGGAAGAAACTCAAAGACTATTTACAGAAATATTGCAAAATTAAAGAATGTTAGAGTGATGTTGGATTGAAATTAAGTGGCTTCTAGCTGTACAGGCTTTAAAGTTAAAGATAGATTAAGATTAAGGATTAGGACTAAAAAAGTCAAAAGAAATGGAAAATTGGTTTTTAATAGATTAAAATTCAATGTGACATTATATTAAGATTAAGGATGGGATTAAAAAGGAGGAAAAGGAATTGCTGGACAAACAAATTAAAACGGAATACAAAAGAGGGAGGTATGAGGAGGTCCGGGAAATAAGTAAATGTAAAAGTTGTGATGAAAAGACGGAATTGTTTTTAACTGTTTTTTCTTTTTTCTTTTTGTATTTTGTATGGTGTTTTATTTTTATTTTTATTTTTTAAATTTCTTTTTTATTAAGATGTTTTTTCATGTGAAATTCCAATAAATATCATTATATATATATATATATATATATATATATATATATATATATGTTGTTTTTCCCAATACAGTAGGAATGCTTCAGCTGCAACAAGATAAACCTGACAGGATTTTCACTGCCGCACCTCATTTAAACCAAATCTCACCAGGGCCAAAAGACCCTCTGCCTGTTTGTCTGGTTCTGAGTTCGATCCAAAGCACTAGTCTTGTTTTAGAAAGTCCTCGGTGGCTTGAGGCGCCTTCTGCCCCCCTGCTCTCCTCTGTGGAGGCTTTTCTCCCTCTCCTTTCCCCTCTTCCTGGAGTGAAGGGGGCGGCGACAACAGCAACAGCAACAACTAACAGCCAGAAGGAAAATGTTTGTTCTTCACAGACTTTTTAAAAAGTTTACAGGACTTTAGACATTAATTTTTTTCCTGTTCTTGATATTGTGTGGAAACAGCAACGAGTCTTCTTGCCCCTTAAAGGCTAGGAAATAAATTATGGCATAAAAACGTCCTTAGTGTGGTTCTCCGTTCCAAACTGGATTGTTTCCCAGGAGACTTTGCCCCTTCTGCCTCTGAGTCAGGTTGGAAAGTCCCAGGGCAGTTCCCAGAACAAGGCCAGAATGGTTCGGACTCCCTTTTATATGTTTTGTTTTCCTTTTTACTTCTAAGAAAAATAGCTGAGGGTGCAGTAAACATTCTTTGGCGAGTTACAATAATCTAAATTTCGTTTGCATGCCAAGCTAGCAAAGGAATTTCAAGGAACCATCTCAGGCTGCTTGGCTTACATTTCTCACAGGAATTGAAGAACGGAGGCAGATTTTGCTGAGAAAGTACTCATCCTCCATTAACACTGGGGTGTGTTTGTGTTTGTTTCCTTCCCTCCTGCTCTCTCTCTGCCACAAGACACCCTCACCCATTTCTCCACAGTCCCATTTGTCTTTTCTCGCTTTCTCATTTTCTCTATCCTCCGCTGCCCCCTGCCGGCTGTTTTCTTACCCAGCTGAAATGGAAATCAGGTGATTTCTAAGAAATCCTTCAAGGGACCAGTTGAAGCAAGTCACGGGTTGCAAAAAAAAAGGTCAAGGTTCCCACATATATCAGAGATTTGCAATTGTTGAAAATGCAAGACAGTAAGAGCCGTGGCAAAATGATACCGGCAACTCCCCACATGCACGCAATATACTTGCACACAACCACAAGGCCTTCTGAGCAGACCCTCCCCAGAGCCCAAAGAGGATGTGTGCTCAGGCCAAGCCAGCCACTTCTTCCTTGGAGGGAGGGCAAAGTGCCTGGTGTGGTTTCTGCGCTTGATCACCATGTGCCAAAGTCAGGAAAGACCAAACACTGTCCTTCTGAAAGACGTTTCTGGGTAACGATCTCCCCGCCAGGCTGCAATCCTGAAGGGCTGTTGTGGCTTTTGGTTTGTCACTTGAGGGGAAAGGGGGCATTTCTCAGTGTTGTGGGGCTTCAACTGTTTAAGGCAGACCTAAGCTACTTTTTGGACTTCTAGTCAGTTTGCAAAAATCCAGCCTGAGACTTTTAATAATCTTCAGGCTGCATGGCATGATGTTGTTGTCATTGAGCCAGGAAAGAGACGCACCAGCGAAACACCACCATTTTGTTTCCTCTTCTCCTCTGCAGCCTGGCCTTCACAAAATGGCTTCCGTTCGTGGCAGGAGGGTGGGGACCTGCCTTGCCCTCACCACTTTCCTCCCTTCAGGGGAGAGGTCTGTTCAGGGTGAGGCTGGCCAAGGGAGGGAGGGAGGGAAAGCCACAGCAGCTCCCACCATAACACAGCCCAGTTGAGAGGAATTAATATACAGATTTGGCTGTTTGTCAGGTGATGGTTTTGTCCCCCCTCACAATGAGTGACTGAGGCTTGTTATGTATTGAAGTACTCACCCTGGCCACCAGGGGTATTGTGTATATAGTTTTCACTCAGGTCAATGTCAGTTAATTTAGGCGGGAAACCCTGGGTTGTTGCTGTTACAAAGTGACAGCCGGCTGCCTATAAAAGCAGGCCGGCTGAGCTGTTTGCTGTTCAGTTCAGTTCCAGCTTACTTATAAAGAACTACTTGGAGGAATCTCTGTGTCGTCTGCTTTGTCAACCCACTATTTAATAGGTCTCATCCACTCTTCCACTTCTCCCACCTCTTTCCACTGTAGAAACCGGCTGTTCACGGCTGAATCGGAGCAAACATCAACCAGGTCTGCTGCAGATTGACGTTTGCTCCAATTTAGCAGTAAAGAGTGGATTTTCGGGGGGGGGAGCAGCAGGGCAAACACAACATGGCTTGGGCCAGGGCTTTTTCCAGCCAGAACTCAGTTCCTTCACCTCTCAGGTGGGCACCTTTGCCATCCTAAGAGAATAAGGGCAGCCTTCATGGCGAGTTCCAGCAATCCTTTTTCTAGAAAAACAGCACTCTCCCCAGGGGCCCTAGAAGGCCTTCACACTCCAACAGCCCCAGGAAGCTTCAACCACCTCCCAGTGAGACCAGACTCTCCCAGTGGCACCTGGTAGCGGCATTATGAAACGGATGTTGAGATTCCCCCTCCATCCAAATGCTGGACCCCATCTGGCGATGGTCCTTCTGCTACAATGCCATGGTCCCCCTACTCACCCGGGAAACATAAATCACCCTTTCACCATTTCTTCAGGGAATCCACTGGGGGCTGGCCATAGTCCGAGCCCGAGCACTTTCCACAAGAAATGAAATGCTGTTATGATTCATTGATTGATTGATTGATTGATTGATTGATTGACTGATTTCACAAAATGTATGTGCCGCCTGATGCCTTCTCAACTCACACATTTCAATCAAAGGGGAGGAGGAAGAGATATTCCAACGCTGAATTTATTGACATTGAAAACCATTCAGTCATTCTTTTTTTAAGAAAACACTTGTTAGAACTTGGAAATGAGCAACATAAATGCAACATGCAAGGAAAAGTCAAGTGTTACCTGCATTTCACCAGCAGGCCCTAAAATTCAACAGTAAAATCCGTTTTTAAAATCCCAGTCACAGTGGTAGTGTGGATCTCAAAAGGACATATCTCAGGTGCCAAAGGGCAGGACAAAGAGGTGTGTTTTTAGCAAACAATAGCAGCTGTAAAGTGAAGGCGTCAGACCCACCTCTTTTTTTTTTTTTTTTTTTGCCAATAAATTTTTATTGATATTACATATATATACAAATAAACATATACCGAGTCCATTACATAGCTTACACATGTTATATCCGTTCCATAAATCATGTGTAAATTACACAGTTAAATTAGGCTCTACTGAGCCTTGAACTTCCCTCCACTCCTTTGGAAAGTATCAAATAAATTTTATGATCACATATTTTATCTCTTTTGCATAGTAATCATTTACTGTTAGAGTTATTCCAACCCCGCCAGTGTCGTCTGAAATTTAGTTCCAATATACATCAAATATTTATTCCAATTATCATGAAATTTCTGTTCGTCTTGGTCCCTTAATCTTCCTGTTATTCTAGCCAGCTCGGCATAATTTATCACTTTAACCTGCCAGTCATTTATAGAGGGTATTACCTCCGTTTTCCAGTTTTGTGCTAACATAATTCTTGCGGCTGTTGTGGCATATAAGAATAATATTTTATCCTCTTTTTTAATTTCTTTGCCCATCATTCCTAACAGAAAAGCTTCGGGCTTTTTGGGAAAAGTGTATTTAAAGATTTTTTTAAGCTCGTTATAGATCGATTCCCAAAAGCCTTTCACTTTGCTGCATGACCACCACATATGGTAGAAGTCTCCTTCTACCTCCCCACATTTCCAGCATTTTTTGTTCTTCAATCTATAGATCTTAGCTAGCTTCACTGGTGTGTGATACCACCTGTCGTTCATTTTCCAGAGTTTTTCCCTTAATGCCATACATGCCGTGAACTTCATATTGACATTCCATAATTCCAGCCATCTCTCAAAGTCAATGTTATAGCCAATGTCTATTGCCCATTTAGTGATGACCTCCTTCACCTCCTCGTCTTTTGTATACCACTCCAGTAAAATATCATACATCCTGGACAATGTTTTATTTTTACCTTCTATAATTTCCACATTAAATTTAGATTTTCTATCTTCAAATCCTAGTCTCTTTTTATCTTCTTTTAGCAAGTCATTTACCTGGTGGTATTGCAGCCACCCTGTAAATGCATTCTTTATCTCTTCATAAGGTTTAAGTTTAACGCCTTGTTCAGTTTTCCGCGTAAGTTCTTCGTAAGTGGCGTTTTTCTCTTCCATATTAATTTTTTTAATAGTTAACACCTCTATTGGTGAAATCCACCAAGGTGTCTTCCTTTCCAATAGATTTTTATTTCTTTCCCATACTTGGAATATTGGTCCTCTAAATATATGATTTAGAAAGCCTCTATGTACTTTCACCTTATCATACCACAGGTACGAGTGCCACCCGTACCTGTTATCGAAGCCTTCCAAATCCAAAATGTCCATGTTTTCTAATCTTATCCAATCTTTCAGCCACGTTAAACACGCCGCTTCATAGTATAAGCTTAAATCCGGTAGGGAAAACCCCCCTCTTCCTTTTTTGTCTACTAATATTTTCATTTTTATTCGCGGTCTTTTCCCCTGCCAGATGAATCTCACCAAGGCTCTTTGCCACTCCTTACACTGCTTTAACCCTTTGAGTACAGGAATAGTTTGAAATAAAAATAACATTCTGGGCAAAACATTCATTTTGATAACCGCTACCCTCCCCAAAAAGGATAGTCTCATTCTCTCCCAGATTTCTAAATCTTTCTTAATATTCTTCCACGTGACCTCGTAATTGTCCTTATATAAATTAATATTTTTAATCGTGATCCATACTCCAAGATACTTCACCTTCTTTGCTGTCATAATTCCCGTTTTTTGTTCTAATTCTACTATATCTTCTTTAGTTACATTTTTGGTCAGCATTTTAGTCTTATTCTTGTTGATTTTAAGGCCTGACACTACACCAAATTCTTCAAATTTTTGTAAGGCTTCTTGCACACTATTCTTAGGGTCTTCTAATGTTAGTACAATGTCGTCCGCAAAGGCTTTGATTTTGTGTTCCTTAGTCCCTACCCTGACTCCTTTAACCTCTGTTGTTTCCCTCAATCTCTTAGTAAGTACTTCCAATACTGTTATAAATAATAAAGGAGACAAGGGACAGCCTTGTCTAGTCCCTTTGGATATATCAAAAAATTCTGATGTAGTATTATTTATTACAAGTTTCGCTTTTTGCTCATGGTAGATAGCTTCAATACCGCTTCTGAATCTTTCTCCCATTCCCATCATTTTCAAATTTTCTTTCAAGAAACGCCAAGAGACGTTATCGAATGCCTTTTTGGCATCAATAAATATCAAGGCCGCCTGCTTATCTATTCTGCTTTCCAGGTATTCAATAATATCTATCACATTTCTTACATTGTCCTTTAGTTGTCTCCCCGGTAGGAAGCCCGTTTGATCTTTGTGGATTCTTCTGCTTAATACTTTTTAAAATCTTTCTGCCATTACATCTGCGAACAGTTTATAGTCGTTATTCAATAACGAAATCGGCCTGTAGTTTTTCACCTCTAGGGCATCCACATCTTTTTTAGGGATTAAAGTAATGTAGGCTTCATTCCAGGTGTTCGGAATCCTTCCTTCTTTTAGGGTGTTATTCATCACTTCACATAATATTGGACATAGTTGGTCACTTAATGTTTTATAATATTTGGCCGGTAAGCCATCCGGCCCCGGCACTTTTCCTATTTTTTTTTTTTTATTGCCTTTTTTTTATTGCCTTATTGCCTCTCTTCCTCTGTAATCATCTGGTTTAATAGCTCTTTTTCTTCCATAGCAATCTGTTGTAAATGATGTTTTTCCAGATAGTGCTCTATCGCATGCTCTGTTTCCTCCTCTCTCTTATATAAGTCCTTATAATATTTCTGAAATATCCTTTTTATTTCTTTTGGATCTTCCACTATCCTTTCTCCGTCCCTTATCTTGCAAATCGTATTTTGTTTTTTTCCTTTCTCTTATTTGCCACGCCAGATACTTCCCTATTTTATTAGCTGATTCAAAGCTTTTTTGTTTCATCATTTTAATTCTCCACTCAATTTCCTGGTTTACTATCATAGAAAATTGAGCTTGTAATATCTTTATATTTTGTTTTATTGTCTCCTCTCCTGGTTTAATAGTTAATTGTCTTTCATTCTCCATAAGCTGTGTTAGAATCTCCTCTTTCTTTTTCTCTTTTCCTTTTCTTAAGTGGCTATTTTTCTGAATTAGGAAGCCCCTCATAACAGCCTTTCCTGCATCCCAAACCGTTTCTATAGCCATCCCTTTGTTTAAGTTCCACTTAAAGTATTCTTCAATTGTTTCTTTTGCCTTGCTTACTATCTTTTGATCATTAAATAGATACTCATTCATTCTCCATCTGACTGCTCTGACGTCTTTACCCTTTATCTCTATAAATACTGGATTATGATCGGATATAGTTTGTGGGAGGATTTCAGATTTGCTTAGACTCCGTGTCAATTCCTTCAATATCCAAATATAAACTATTCTCCCCCAACTCTGATTTGGGTTTGAGAAGAAAGTATACTGTTTTGTAGTAGGATTTTTAAATCTCCAAGCATCAATTACCGTATTTTTCGCTCTATAACACGCACCCGACCATAACACGCACGTAGTTTTTAGAGGAGGAAAATCCGTAGGCATGCCACCCGTAGGCATTCCCTCCATAACACGCACAGACATTTCCCTTACTTTTTAGGAGGAAAAAGTGAGTGTTATGGTGCAAAAATACGGTAATCCCATGTTATCGACCAAATCGAAAACGTTCGGGTAACTTGCCATCCTTCATCTCTTGCTTTTTGTTGATCTATCTAAATTTGGCAACACCACTCCATTAAAGTCCCCCATCAATATCATTTTTGGTCCGTCCACTCTAGTAACTTATTGCCTAATTCAGAGAAGAAAGCCGATTTTTATCATTAGGCGCATATATTCCAGCAACAATTATTTTTACTCCTTGGAATGTAATCTGTACTACTATCATCTTTGTACAATAATTTTGGGTCAAGTTTTTCCTTTATGTATAATACCACTCCTCTTTTCTTAACCCTATCCGATGCCACGAAGTCCAAGCCTAATCTCTTATTACTTAAAATTCTCTTGTGTTTTCTTGTTATATGAGTCTCTTGTAAACAGATTAAATCAAGGTTCTTTTTCAATAATATATGAGCAATCTGATTCCTTTTATTTTTATTGTTAAGCCCATTCACGTTCCAAGACAGTATTTTTAAGGCCATAAATTATATACGGTTAGTGAGTTGTCGAGTCTGGGTTAGGTCTACTGTTCTTTGTCGTCTGTCTCTTCCTCTTCCCTTTCTTCTCCTGAATTTGTCTCCCTCTCCACTCCCCCCACCCCCCTCCCCCAACCGTTCCCCTACCTCCTCCCACCCACCTATCTTTCCAAGTTCCTTCTCGTATCTTCTTGCAAATTTTTCCATTTCTGAGGGACTGGACAGTTTAAATCTTTTCTCCTGAAAATAGAATGAAATTCCTTCCGGGAATTCCCATCTATATAAGATCCCATTTTTTTCCAACTGGTTAGTTAATTTTTTATAAACATCCCTCTTTCGAAGAAATCTCGAAGGGATCTCTTTAAATATAATAATTGGTTTTCCTTCAATACATAACTTTTTGTTATAGTTCTGTTTCAATACTTCGTTCCTAATATCCAACGAATTAAACATGACTAATACATCTCCTGACAGTTTTTTCCCCCTAGCTTTAGCCGATTTTGTTTTTATCCGAAAGATGTTTGCTATTGAGTATCTTAACTCTTCTTCCTTCATATCTAACCAGGTTGCCAGTTCTTTAACCATTTTAGATCTTATATTTTCATTTGGGTCCTCTGGAATCCCCCTGAACTTCAGGTTTGATTGATTCTGTCTCATCTGAGTCACTGCCATGCTGTCCAGCAATTCTTCCTGTACCTTGTTTACCTCCTTAACCTCTATTTTAATCCTGTCCAAATCTTTCTTACTGTCCTTCGTATCCTTTTGCACCCTTTTCATTGAATCCTCTAGTGCTTTGGCTCTTACCGATAAATCTTTAACTTTTCCTGTTAATTCTCCCACCACCCCTTCCAATCTCTTATCCAATGTATCCTGTACTTCCAATAATTTTTTCTCAATATAATATTCATTATGTTTAAATTCTTTCCTTATTTTGGCCATCAGACTATCATAGTCCTTAATTTCCCTCCCCTCCTTCCCATCTTCTTGTCTAGATGGCCTCCTTTCTGCTGGTGTTCCCACCCCCTTTTTCATTTTATAAATCAACTTATATTAACTAATTATTGAAAGCTCTTCCCCCCTTAAAGGTCACTAAGTTAAACTGCTGGATTCCTCTGTTCCTCCCGTTGATTTCCTCCGATGTAATTTTCCTTTGTTCCCACACGGTGGCGCCTTATTAGCCTTCCGAGTCTTAATTCGTTTCTCTTCCGTGAGACTCCTCAATTGGATATCTCACTCCAATCACGGCCAAGCAGCTGATCTCGTGTGGCATTGAATATCACACAATTAGGGGAGAACCACAGACACACACAAAAATAAAAAACCAACAGAGAGGAAGCTCAAGGAGGAGATAAAAAATAATTAAAAAAAGGAAAAAAGAAGAAAAAACAGGCGGGAAAGTCAGCGTTTCAAATGATATACCAACGAGGGGAGGGAACTAAGGAGAACAAGGAAAGAGTAAGGGAAAAGAGAGCAGGGGGGAAAGACTGCCGAAGTTACAGGAGCGGGTGAGGGAGATCGTGTAGCCAAAATGTTCTCTGGAACTTGGACAGAATATGGGGTGAGTCTCAGTCCGAGGGCGAGCACAGAGGAGCGGGGCGGGACCAAGTGGGGAGACACTCCAAGGGGGAGAGAGACTTCCGTAGGTAACGGAGAGTCCTGGCAAATTGTCCTGGTTAAGCCTCTTCCTTTTCCAAAAACACCCAGTCTCTTTCCGTTATAGCTGTAGCTCGGTCTAAAGCATAGCCTCCATCTTCTCCTGCTTGTATAATGAGATATATCTCTTTAAGACAGAAAAAAGCAAGGAACGAAATGGCGGTGCAGAAACCCCCTGTGTTCTCGACTTTCTCCCAAACGTTTGTTTTTACCTTCCCAAACCTCCCCTCCTCCTAATATCAATTTAGTTTTCAATCGTTTAACTGGCCCGGTAATATACCAGTCTTTGTCCTTTGTTCAAACGTAGAATGTAGAAGGTAAAGAGGGTAAAATGTTCAAATGTTGTTTAACTCAACCACTGTTCAAATACGGCAACAAAAGAGCTGGTCGCAAAAACTCTCCCGTCTATCCCAAACCGGTTGCTGGCACAACGCTCTCCGACCAGGCAGAACAAAAACATTCCTTTCACTTCTCTCTAGTCCATGAAGTTATTTTCAACCATTACCTTGCCTCAGAGTCCTTATACTTTGTATCTGAGGTCTCTCCTCTACACCCACTTGGCGGCAACTTTGTTACTTTCTCTCTCCCAGTCTTCTGCTATACTCCATTTTACTCTTACCGCCGGCAGTGGATTCCTTCTCCTTTCACCCCACGTATTCCTTTTTCGCTGGTTGTCTTAATTAAGTTTTCTGTCTGTTATCTGCTTAGTTGCGTTGGTTATTCTCCCAGCTTTTGGTTGTTGTCGGAGGTTCGCCGCTTTTCACATGAAGCCTGAGGCTTCACAACATGGAGTCTGTTGCTTCCCCTTCATGCTGCAGCTCTAATCCTGTTAAATGCCAACAACACAGGAGAGCACAAGCAGCCTCACTGGGTACTCTGTCCCCCAGGATTATCCTCCTACGGTTTCGAGGTTCACGGAGCCTTCGTGACCCCTCTAAACCTCCGTGTTGTTCGAGACCCCCCCGAAGGGCAGCCTCGCGCTCCTTCCCATGGCTGCGGTGACCCGGAAGTCCGTCAGACCCACCTCTGTGCATGGAGATGCTACCATTTAGGAGCTGCCACAGATAACACCCTTTCCTGGGCCACTGGCACCCCAAGTGTCTGTGAGCAGCAGAAGGTCTGGGGCAGCACCAAGATCCACACTGAATTGCAGTCAAAACAATCTGATTTTGGTGTGGCAGAACTTTTTCCAGGGGAGTGGGAAAAGGAGGAGGAAGGGGGCACCTTAAGAGACATGAAACGGAAGGATTTGGGAGCTGGTGTGTGTCATGTAACGGTCAGTGTGCTAGACTAGGAGCTGCGAGACCAGGGTTCAAATCCCCCCCTCGCCCATGAAGCTCACTGGGTGACGTTGGGCCAGTCATCGCCTCTCAGCCTAACCTATCTCACAGGGTTGTTGTGGAGAATAAAACGAGTGGAGGAGAACCATTCAGGGTCATAGCTCAGGGCTGGAAACTTGCATGCAGACGGCTCCAGGTTCAATCCACAGCATCTCCAGGTAGGACCAGGAGGGAACCTTTTATGAAATCCTAGACAGCCACTGCCAGTCAGTGCAGGCAGTCTAGAGCCAGATGGACCAATGGCTCTCTGACTCAGTGTAAGGCAACTTCCTGTCTTCCTCCTGTGACTCTCTCTCTGGGCATAAGAAACACACTTCCAATCCCCACCCAATAGTACATCACCCACATCGACTGGATAATGCCTTCAGCTGTATGAAATTAAAGCAGACGACCAACAAGGTCTGCACTGCAGGGGCCTCTTCTCTGGCCTGTGGACTGGAGGCATGTCCATTTGCCCTAGGAGTTCCCACTCTCCTCCTCTGGGTTCAGCACCAACGTCCCGCCTGGCCAGGGCACCTAGGAACAGAGTTGGCAAGGAGGCCGGATGGCTTCTTCCCTGCGTCTGGAGCCCCTCTCAGCAGCACACCTTTTAAAATGTGTTTGGGGTGTTATTGGGTTGTGATTTTATCCTGTGAACCGCCCTGAGGCCTGCAGGTATAGGGCAATATACAAATTTAATAAATGAACAGAAACAATGCCTGTCACGGGGCAACAAAAACCCCTTTTTCCCAATTCAGTCCGCAGCTGATAGCACCAAACCTCTTGGGCAACAGTAATTTGGCCCTTTTGCCTTGCAGTCTCCTTTTGCTGTTCCTTTGGTGGCAGGACGGCCAATTTAAGGTCACTTAACTGAGTGTCTTGAGAGGCTGAAATGGTTTTTGACTCCTCAGAGGTCAAATTCCTGTCGCTTTGTTCTTTTGCGTTGTCTGTTGTTTTTGCTGCAGAGGGGGAGATAGTTCTGGATGCCAACCACGTTCCCATCTCAAAGCAGCCCTGAGGAGCCAGTCAGCCTGGAGGCCTCTCCCCGCTGGGATGGGCAGATTTGGAGGCAGACATTTCATAAAGAGAAGTCATCTGAAGGTGGCCTCCCTCCTTGTTGAAAATTCCTCATTTCTATTTCTGTGCTGCCTTGAATGTCCACTGCAGGAGGAACCAGAGGAACAAGCATGATGAAGCTGTCAGTGTTGGGGCATTCGATGGCACAGAGGCCACCTGCTCCAATCCCTTGACCTATCAAGCCACGCTAAAAATAAACATGCTCAGAGCAAAGACCAGGACTTAAGGTTTCCAGGGGAGGCTCCAGCAACTCAGCCAAGCCTCTCCCTTTAGGGAAGGTGGGAAATACACAGGGACGCTAAGCAGCCAATCCGGAATATAAAGCCCTTCTTGTTCTTCAGACCCTGAGTAGAACCCCTGGGCTTCTTGGGAGGAAGGGCGAGATATACATTGAGTAATAAATAATAAAATCACCAAAAGAATGATCCCTTCCCCACGGAGGCCTGTTTTCAAGGTGGTCATCCATCCCCATCCATTCCCCACTTACCGACGGAGGAGCTGGTGGAGCTGGGGGGCTCCTGGCTGCTTGCTGCAAAAAGGAGAAAATAAAGAGAGTGCGTATCACTGCCTGTGTTTTAGGGAGGGCGTTCTCATTTCCACTTGCACCTTTCCTCTCTGCTTGCACACATATACCCCTCCATGCCCCATTAAGTCCAAATGTTAACATACGTCTCAGTCTACAACCTCCTAAGATTATACAGTAAAATTATAATCATACAGGAATAATAATTCAGGACGCTTTGCAACCATCAGTGCAGTTCTCCAGGTGTTGCCTGGATATACTATTATCTGCGCGTGTACATGTGCAAATGATTATGCAGTGCTCCAGTGTTGCCTTAAGTTGTGTTTTCTGTGAAGTCCCATTGTACGTAGCAAAACTCAATATGTTTTGACACCTGAGGCAGACCCCAAAATGGCCTCCCACTCCCCACCAGGGTAGAAGGGTGAGGGCAGATTTATACCCAGGGCATAGGGAGAAAGATTGACATGGGGATCTACTGCCCTGCTGAATCCTGCCGCCTGAGGCAGTCACCTCCCCTTGCCTCCTGTGTGGGCTGGCCCTGTCATACACCATTCTCCTGAAACGGAAGTGCCTTGTGTTTTTCACTGTTCCTATATGTTTAGCTTTGGAACAGACTGTGGCTAAAAACACACACTCTCCTTTCATGCTCACTGGGTGGTTTTGGGATGCTGGAGACAGAGAGCCTGCTCCAGAAATAGGGATGGGCCTTTGGCCGCGTGTTACCTCTGACCTACGCTTGCCATACGTACAGTGGTACCGCGAGTTACAGACGCTTCAGGTTACAGACTCCGCTAACCCAGAAATAGTACCTCGGGTTAAGAACTTTGCTTCAGGATGAGAACAGAAATCGTGCTCCAGCGTCACGGCGGCAGAGGGGGGCCCCATTAGCTAAAGTGGTGCTTCAGGTTAAGAACAGTTTCAGGTTAAGAACGGACCTCCGGAATGAATTAAGTACTTAACCTGAGGTACCACTGTGTGTGTATGTGTGTGTGTATGAACAGTTATGTGGACCTCCAGAATGAATTAACCCTGAGGTACCACTGTATTGGAAATCCCCAACATGTCCTCTTTTGGGGGGTCTACATGCCCATCTGGGGGGATTTTTACACTTTTAAGCTAATGTCGGGGGGGGGTAAAAAAAACAACACCTGTGTGCATGTGGGCAACCTGTGCTCTGTCTCTGTCAGCTCTGTCTCTGTTTTTTGGGGGGCGAGATCAACAACCTTTTGGGCTATCGTGCAAATAAAAGCTCTACACATGCCAACCTTACTGTGACCACTATATCACAGGCGGTTAGCACTTCGTGGCTGCTATAAATCTCCAGGGCAAACCTGATGACTGAACCCTTGCCCACTCTGGCACCTGCGGTCACCGATATATTCATGCAACAACAAAAACAAACACTTTTCAAAGGAAAAAGGAGTCACTCACTTGACGTTCTTTCATAGGCAGCTTTCATTCGTACTTTCTCTACAGAAACAGAATAAGAAAATCAGATCGGGGAGAGGATGGAGCGTGAGAGGCGGGGATTCCAAATTTTGGCATTGCACAGGGCGCTGCTGAAATTTGACATTCCACTGCTGCCAGTTACATGTGGCCGGTGGGCAGAAACTGGCTAAGCAACCAGTGGAGTCTACTTTGCTGCTTCCTCTCCCCCCCATCACTTGCCCCAAAAAGAGATTGCAAGCAAGGCTTTGATGGCAGTCATGGCCTACAAGCAACAAACAAACAAACAAACAAACAAACAAACAAACAAACAGGAAGGGACACTTGGGCAACAAAATATTCAACAAAATATCATTTGGGGTGGAAGCGGGCAAACCCTTGTTGCTCCAGCAGCTGTTTTGCACTGTTTTGCAAGAAGGAGCTCGTTCTTGACCAAGGGCTCCGACTGCCTCTGAGACTCCAAGGAAGACCTTCACAGGTGCCATGCAAGTTTAACTCCTGTTCCCGGTCTCCACTGGCTGGCGAGGTATCTCTTTTTAATGTTATATGAATTGCTGAAAATGTGTTATGGTCCCTTGCCCATGGCTGCCATTTTATTTCTGGTGCCCACAGCGCTTTCATGACATTTGAAATGTCCCCACTGTTCGAGAAGGGTTGGAAACCCCAGTTGTAGATCGCTACCATCACAGATCTACAGGACACACGGCGACTCAGTCGCCAACAATTGTACCGTAGGCTCAGTTATACAGCTGCAAATGAAACATTTTAAATGTTTTGTAAAGTGTAATATATTAATGTGACACCAGATGGCGACAGTGAGCTATGCGAAATTCAATGCCTTTTTCAAAACGGTTTTTAAAAAGCATTTTCACAGCATTTTTATATGTGTGTGTGTGTGTGTGTAGATTCCAGCTTGGTATCCATTATCCATGTGCAAATCTGGGCTAGAGGTCAGGGATATTTGTGTCTCTGCCAATGTTGCTGGACTCTGGTCCCCAGCAGCCAGCATGGCTAACTGTCAGGGTTGATGAGAATTGTGGTCCATATCGGAGTCTGGAGGGCCACAAATTCTCCGTCGTTGGTCTAGATGACAGGTACTTGCCAGCCCCTTGGCATTTTGGAACCATTATTACATTATTATTATTATTATTATTTTTAATGATTTTTATTAAAGTTTCAATCAAAAATTAAACAACAAAGAAAGAAAAGAAAAACATCAAAAAAGATACACAAATACACAATACAAATCTCAAAAAGAAAATAAAAAAACACAAAAAACAACAATCAACAATAAAAAAAACATAACAATTAGAAACAATATCTCTTTTCCATTTCCGTTTTTAAATTTACTTATTTTCTGGACTTCCTCATACCTCCCTCTTTTGTATTCCAATCCAAATTGTTTGTCCAGCAATTTCTTTTCCACTTTTTTAATCCCAATCTTTAATTTTAATATAATATTGAAATATATAACTTCAACTTCTTTAAACCTAATCTTTAGTCTTAATGTAATGTAACATTAAAATTTTACCTCTTAATTGTCAAATTTCCATTTCATTAAACATCTTTAATCCTAATCTTTAGTCTTAGTCTATCATTAACCTTAACCTGTACAGCTGGAAACCGCTTATTTTCAGTCCAACATCACTCTAACATTCTTTAATTTTGCAATGTTTCTGAAGATAGTCTTTGTATTTCTTCCAATCTTCCTCCACCGACTCTTCTCCCTGGTCACGGATTCTACCAGTCATTTCCGCCAGTTCCATATAGTCCATAAGTTTCATCTGCCATTCCTCCAGCATGGGAAGTTCTTGTGTCTTCCAATACTTTGCGATGAGTATTCTTGCTGCTGTTGTTGCATACATAAAGAAAGTTCTATCCTTTTTAACACCATTTGGCCGACTATGCCCAGGAGAAAGGCCTCTGGTTTCTTAGGGAAGGTATACTTAAATACCTTTTTTAATTCATTATATATCATTTCCCAGAAAGCCTTAATCTTTGGGCACGTCCACCAAAGGTGAAAAAATGTACCTTCAGTTTCTTTACATTTCCAACATTTGTTATCGGGCAAGTGATAAATTTTTGCAAGCTTGACTGGGGTTATGTACCACCTGTATATCATTTTCATAATATTCTCTCTTAAGGCATTACATGCCGTAAATTTCATACCTGTGGTCCACAACTGTTCCCAGTCAGCAAACATAATGTTATGTCCAACGTCCTGTGCCCATTTAATCATAGCCGATTTTACCGTTTCATCCTGAGTATTCCATTTCAGCAGCAAGTTATACATTCTTGACAAATTCTTAGTTTTGGGTTCTAGCAATTCTGTTTCTAATTTTGATCTTTCCACCTGGAAGCCAATTTTCCTGTCCAATTTAAATGCCTCCATTATCTGATAATAATGAAGCCAGTCTCGCACTTTGTTTTTAGTTTTTCAAAACTCTGCAATTTCAGTCTATCTCCGTCTTGTTCCAAAATTTCCCAATATTTCGGCCATTTGACCTCCATATTGACCTTTTCAAGGCTTTCGCTTCCATTGGTGACAGCCACCTTGGGGTTTTGTTTTCTAGCAAATCCTTATATCTTAACCAAACATTAAATAGTGCTTTCCTGACAATGTGGTTTCTAAATGCTTTATGTGCTTTGACTTTATCATACCATAAATATGCATGCCATCCAAATACATTGTTAAAACCTTCCAAGTCCAAAATGTCAGTGTTTTCAAGAAGTAGCCATTCTTTCAACCAGCAAAAAGCTGCTGATTCATAGTAAAGTTTAAGGTCTGGCAGGGCAAATCCGCCTCTTTCCTTTACATCCGTTAGAATTTTAAATTTTATTCTGGGCTTCTTGCCCTGCCAGACAAATTTAGAAATATTTTTCTGCCACCTCTTGAAACAATCCATTTTGTCGACGATCTGCAAAGTTTGAAACAAAAACAACATTCTAGGCAATACATTCATTTTTATCGCAGCAATGCGGCCTAGCAGTGAAAGCTTCAGATTTGACCAAATTTCTAAGTCTTTTTTCACTTCCAACCAACATTTTTCATAATTGTCTTTAAATAAATTCCCATTTTTTGCTGTCATGTTAATCCCAAGGTATTTACCGTATTTTTTGCTCTATAGGACGCACCAGACCACAAGACGCACCTAGTTTTTGGAGTAGGAAAACAAGAAAAAAAATATTCTGAATCTCAGAAGCCAGAACAGCAAGAGGAATCGCTGCGCAGAGAAAGCAGCAATCCCTCTTGCTGTTCTGGCTTCTGTGATAGCTGCGCAGCCTGCATTCGCTCCATAAGACGCACACACATTTCCCCTTACTTTTTAGGAGGGAAAAAGTGAGTCTTATAGAGCAAAAAATACGGTAACTTTCTTAACCACTGTTAAACCTGTCTCATTCTGAAACCTCTCTCTTTCAAACGATGTTAAGTTTTTCTCTAAAACCTTGGTTTTTGACTTGTTCAATTTAAATCCTGCCACTTGACCAAATTCCTGAATCAGTTCTAAAACTCTTTTAGTACTAGATTCTGGCTCCTGTAACGTCAATACTAAGTCATCTGCAAATGCTCTCAATTTGTACTGTTTAGTTCCGACCTGTATACCTTTAACCGACTGGTCCCTTCTAATCATATTCAGCAAAACCTCCAGGACTGAAATAAAGAGAAGTGGGGAAATAGGGCAACCTTGTCGTGTCCCTTTTTCAATTTTTAGTTCTTCCGTCACAACATTATTTACAATTAGTTTAGCTTTTTGTTCTGAATAAATTGCACCTATACCATTCTCAAAGCCTTGGCCTACCCCCATACCCTGGAAATTCTTCTTCATAAAATTCCAAGAAATATTGTCAAAGGCTTTCTCCGCGTCTACAAATATCAAAACTGCTTTAGTGTTTATATTCACTTCTAATTTTTCCAAAATATCAATTATATTCCTCAAATTGTCAGACAAATGTCTTCCTGGGAGAAAGCCCGCTTGGTCTTTATGAATCTCTTCCATCAGCACTTTCTTAAATCTCTTAGCCAAAATATCTGCAAAAATTTTGTAATCCACATTCAGTAACGATATAGGGCGGTAGTTCTTAAGCTGTGTCTTTTCAGTCTCTGTTTTTGGTACAAGTGTAATATATGCTTCTTTCCACGACTCTGGTGCTCTTTTCCCCTCCATTATTTCGTTGCAGACCTCTTTCAAAGGTTGAATTAACCATTCTTTTAAAGATCTGTAGTATCTAGAGGTCAAACCGTCTGGTCCTGGAGATTTACCCAGTTGCATATTTTGAATGGCACCTTCTATTTCCTGTTCAGTTATTCTATGATTCAAAATTAATTTATTTTCTTGAGATATTTTTTGTAATCCATTTGTTTTCAAAAATTGGTCTAAGTCTGTTTCTTTCAGTGGCCCTTGAGTATATAATCGTTTAAAGTACCTCTGGAAACAACTTCTAATCTCTGCAGGGTTCTGTATGTTTCTTCCTTCCACTTCTAAGTTCGTAATTGTATTTAATTTTTGTCTCTTTTTCATTTGCCATGCCAACAGTTTACCACATTTATTGGCCGACTCAAAGGTCTTTTGTCTCATTTGTTTAATTTTCCATTCTATTTCCTGATTCATCATTTTCATATATTGTACTTGGTATAACTTTAACTCTCACAAAATCTCTAGAGATTTGGGGTTTACTCTCAGTCTTTTTTCACATTCCTTTATTTTATCCATTATCTTATCCTTCTTCTCATTTTGAGTTCTTTTCTTTATTGCATTCTGTTGTATTAAGAACCCTCTCATAACCGCTTTACTAGCGTCCCAGATTACTCTTTTCTCCACGTTGGTACTAAGATTTATCTCAAAATAATCTCTCAAAGTTTTTTGGGCCTTCTTAAGTAGTTCATCATCTCTAAATAAAGTGTCATTCATCTTCCATCTGAAGGAGCCAGTTGGTGTTAGTCTCATTTCCAACTTAACAGCATTATGGTCGGAGCAAGTTTTTGGGCAGATTTCCACCTTTCTTGTCTTTTGTGCCATTCCTCTAGTAATCCAAATTTGGTCAATTCTTGTCCATGTCATTTTGGCTTCAGAGAAGAAGGTTCCCTCTTTAGCCATGGGGTTTCTTATTCTCCAAATGTCAACTAAGTCCAAGTTGTCTGTCATGTCAAAAAAAGTTTTCGGTAGTCTACCATCCTTGGTGACTACCTGTCTTTGTGCCTTGTCCATATATGTGGATACCACTCCATTCATATCTCCCATCAAAATCATGTTATAATCCATGTGGTCCATCAGGATCTCATGCAACTTCTTAAAGAATTCAGATTTTCCGTCATTTGGTGCATAGATTCCTACTATCAAAAATTTTTCTCCTTGTGTTTGAATTTCAATTGCCACAAATCTTCCTTGGTCATCTTTAAATACGAATTTCGGTGATAATCTGTCCTTTGCATAAATCACAACCCCTCTTTTTTTAACTTTATCCGATGAAATAAACTCTTGACCAAGTCTTTTATTTATCAACAATTTCCTGTGTAATCTTGTTATATGTGTTTCTTGTAAACAAATTAAATCTAATTGTTCCTTTTTTAATATATGAAATACTGATTTCCTTTTCTGAGGGGAATTTAGACCGTGACAGTTCCAAGTTAGTAGTTGCAGAGCCATGATGTTATTATGTTAGTACTCCTCCTACTGCACCTAGTGCCTGTTCCTCTTCTGTCGGTGGTATCCCTTTTTTCGAGCGGTCTTTTGGTTCCGGAGATAGTCCTTTCTGTAGGTCTTCTCCGTGGTCTCTCCAAAATTTGTCTTTGTCGTCTTCCGATCTTATTTTCCTCTTCTTTCCTTTGTAGCTAAAAGATAGGCCTTGAGGGAATTCCCACCTAAAGTTAATACTGTTACTTCTCAGCAGGGTAACCAAATCTTTGTAGTTTGATCTGAGATCCAGAAGGTATTTCGGAATGTCTTTAAATATTTCAACTCTTGTCTGTTGGATTTCCAGTGTCTTCTGGAAATGCAAACCCAAAATCTTATCCCTCTCTTCTTTTGTTCGAAAAGTGATCAAACAGTCTCTCACCTTCTTCTCTCCTCTTTTCCCAAGTCTAAAAGCGTTTACTATTTTAAAACTGTCTTTTACCAATTCTGGATCCCAAAAGTCCGAAAATTCCTGCATGAGAAATTCAGCTAGATTGTCCTTTTCCACTTCAGGTACCGATCTGACCCGTAGATTCACTTGTTTTTCCTTCAATTCAGTCATAGACAGGGTCAATTTATGGTCTTCCAGTTGTTTGTGCAATGATGGTATTGTCTCCTGAACCTCTTTAACCTCCGTGGCAGAAGTTGTAGCAATTTCTTTGGCCTCCTCGGCAATCTGGCGCACTGAAGCCGATTCCTCTAGTAATTTTTGAATGGTCTCTGTATTAGTGTTTACTTTCTGGCCCAAATTATTTATACTTGCTGTATTCTGATTGATACTTATTGTATTTTGGTCAATCTTGTCACATGCCTCTGCTACTTGTTGACTTATTCTATTTAAAGATTCATTAACCTTAGCCAAAACTTGAGCAAAGGCATCATCACTTGCCATACCTTTTACTTTTGGTTGTGCCGATGGGGCTGTTGTTGGGATTCCAGAGGCGCCAGAGGTCGAAAATCTCCTTTGTAATCCTTCTTCTGTTCGATAAACCCTGCCCGACCTTGTAGCCTGTGATGCTTCTGTTTTCTCTTTACCATCTGCCATTCCTCTCATCCGTTTTTGAATTGCCTCTGGAAATCCGTTCCCAGGGAATTGAGCAATGGTTTAATCCCTTTTATTTCCACTTCTTTATGAAGAAATCACATCCACAGTTCTCCCCCCTTTTCCCTCGATTTAAGGGGGGGGGGAAATCCAGGTTAGATGATTGGGTTAAAGTCCGCTAATACGTCTTTTCCTAAGCTTCCGCTTTCAAGTTCAATGCTTTATTGTATCTACAAATAGGAAGAGGCAGACTTCCTTTTTATGCCTCTTTCCGCTTTCGGCCAGATTCACATTTTATACAGTTCCAATTGCGTTATATCCTACTCACGGATCGTTGATTTTCAAGTCCAAATTCCAAGGAAAAAAGGCAGCGCTCTCCGGTTAACAGCTTGCGGCTTCACTCCACGAAAGAAGCAGACAGCCCACAGCACAGCGCTCCTTCCCCTGCTCCGATTCCGAGCCCGTTGCCGGGCTTTTTACTGGGTTGGGGGGAGCGCCAAATGTGCCCGCTGGGTCCCAGGCAAACAAAAGATATTTCTGTTCAGACACTGGTGGCAGCTCCCAAACCCTCATCCAGACATCTCACAATCTTTTTTTTGGAGGAGAGATTCTGCATACCAAATCTGAGACCTCCCATGCGCAAAGCAATGTGCTATGGCAGTTCTCTCAAAAATGCCCTCCCCTCTAAGGCAACCCATCGCTCACCATTAGATGGCTTCAGAGATTAGGAGTGGCATTCAGCAACCTCATGGAACACCACATAATTATATCAATAAAACAGGTAAGATTTCTCACCTCCCAGAGAGGGTCCCCCTCCTTGTGATGATTACTCTTCAAACTCCGCTCTTTGAACACTACGCCCTCCCCACTTCCCTGAACCAAAATCACATCTCCTCCTTTGCACCCCCAAAGTATGGACGATGTCACATGGAGTATTAGCCTATGATAGCACTGGAGTCCCTTGTTCGACTCTGGGAGGACATTCTCCTCCTAGAATCCAGCAAAGAAGGCCATCCAAGAGGTTGGATGGTCATCTGTCATGGATGCTTTAGCTGAGATTCCTTCATTGCAGGGGGATGAATTCAATGACCCTTGAGGTCCTTTCCAACTCTATTGTGATTCTCTGACTCCTCCTCCTGCCCCTCTCCTGTCATTTCTCACCAGGCTCCTCCCAGGCCAAGACCAGAGGCTGTGTTAGGCTGACATGCTCTATGTGGCAATAATAGCGGTTCCTGTCCTGGGGGTCCATGTCAATGCTGAGCCAGGCGTGGTAGGTCCCGTTGGAATTGGGAGCGACGTCCCTGCGGAAAGTGGCATGCTCCATGACCTTCCCGTCCATCCTCCAGGTGGTGTCAATCTCTCTGGGGTAGAAGCCATAGGCCTGACAGATGAGGGACTCCTGGCTGTCTGGAAGGGCCTGACGCGTCACCTTCCCCACTGGGAGCTCTGCCAAAAACAAAGGAACCTCTCCAGTAGCTGGCAGGATGGATGGTGCAATTCACGTGGTCATCCAGTGCCATCCTGACCTGAAATTCGATTACTGATGCCTTCAACATCCCCAAGAGATGACAAGGTCAGAAGAGAGAAATTATCGACTTCCCTTGTGTTTCGTCAGACTTAAAAATCCCTGTCTTCCACAAATATGCTTAAGGTCTTTTTAGTGAATATCATCAATAGATGAATTGACCCATGGCTCAGACTGATTATGTCCCCATACCTGTTCCCATAGATGTTCCACTGTGAAACCTTTGTCCATTTTTAAAAGAAATTACCGTATTTTTCGCTCCATAGGACGCACTTTTCCCCCTCCAAAAATGAAGGGGAAATGTGTGTGCGTCCTATGGGCCGAATGCAGGCTTTCGCTGAAGCCTGGAGAGCGAGAGGCATCGGTGCGCACCGACCCCTCTCGCTCTCCAGGCTTCAGGAAGCTATCCACAAGCCTTGCAAGCCCGGTGGGAGTTCCCGCGGGCTCACAAGGCTTGCGGGCAGCAGCCTGCAGCCCCGGCGAGTGTCCGCAAGCCTTGCGCGCCCGGCAGGAGGTCCCGCCGGCGCGCGAGGCTTGGGGCGGCAGCTTGTCGCCCGAAGCACGGGGAGCCCTCCGGAGGGCTCCCGTGCTTCGGGCAAGTGTCTGCAAGCCTCGCGCGCTCGGCGGGACCTCCTGCCGGGCGCGCAAGGCTTGGGGCGGCAGCCTGTCGCCCGAAGCACGGGGAGCCCTCCGGAGGGTGCCCCGTGCTTCTTGCAGGTGTGCACAAGGCTTGGGGCGGCAGCCGCGGCGGGGGGGGGGAATAATTTTTTTTATTCATTTCCCCCCCCAAAAAACGAGGTGCGTCCTATGGGCCAGTGCGCCCTATAGAACGAAAAATACGGTATTCAGACAAACCCCATGGGTCTCCCTGCTATGGGTCTGTGATACCCAAATCAATTTGAAGCCCCTGTGTGGCAGCTGGGGAGACTGAAAGTCGCCAATTCCTCACAGTTGTCTAAGTCCGCCCCACCCCCTCAGTGTTTCCCCGAAGCAATCAGAGCCCTAGCCTGCATGAAGCTAACTTCTCCTCTGCCCTCTTCATGCCTCTGCTGGTTCTTTGAGACCAGGGAGGAGGGGAGCTGGTCACAGCAGGAGGGTGAGACTCCCTGGATTCTTCAGCAGCCTGTCTCGCTTCTGTCTCCTGGCCTCCCTCCTCTCCAGCCTCTGCTTCTGCCTCTGGTTCTGGACTGCTCTCTGCCACAGACTCTCCCAGCTCACTAAGCCCTGTTACCTCTTCAGATTCTGACACTTCCTAGTCTTCACCCTTTGACCGTTCATCATTGTCCTACCACCACTCCCTGAGCTCTGAGCCTTCTTCTCTTGAGGGTTCCTCAGCTGGTTCCTCCCACCATTCTTCTGCATCCAGCCAGCCCATGACAGCCACACACCCAAAACCCCTCAAATGTCTCATTTATTTTTACCAACCACACCCATGTTTTTATAGTTTTGACACACAGTCCAAAGACCGCTTCAGCTCCCTGAGTTGCTCAGGGGTCAATCTCTCCCTCTGACCCAAAATTATCAGCCACCCCCTTCTAGGCAGATTTCTCTCATTTAAAAAAAAATAAAAAATCAACATCCACACACTGTAGCCTGAAGTGACCCACTCCCAGACTTCCTTCCTGCACAAAACAGAGTTTTGGTCTGAAATATGATGTGCGTGGGTGGAGAAATAAGTAGCGAAATCACCTCTCCACCCTCCAACAAGAAAGGAGATTCAGACTCAACATCAGGAATAACTTTCATAAAGATAAATTCAACAGTGTAAATAAGTTTTGATGGATGTAATATTGGAATACTGAATGGCTTAGTTCATGTAAAATATGCAGGGATTTAAGGTATGCAAAATGAACCATGAAACGAGAAGGAGGGAAGTCACTGATATTTTAAGGTTGTTTAAATGAATATTCTAAAATGTAAAACAGAAAAGTTTAATTATTTATATTTTATATTATATTATATTATTTATTTTTTAAAAATATTATTAAGTACAAAATAGAAAAATATATATACAAATATACAAAGAAATAAAGAAAATACATGTAACCAAAGGAAAATTAGAAAATATAAAGAATACAAATATTTTACCTCTACACATGCATATAATTATTTACACCTCTATAAGCGATGTTCACAAAAAGAGAAAAATGAAAGATGAAATATAAGAGAAAAAGAAAAGAAGAAAAGTCAAGAATGAAGATTTTAAAAGTAGATAAGTATTCACTATACACAACCATTTCAAATCTGTATTTATGTTCAATTATGTATTTCCATCTTATCCATATCTAGCTTAATTAAAATATTTTTAAAAGACTTCCACTGTTTGCCCCACACGTTTTTAATAATCCATTCGCCATATCCTTTGTTCTTCATATTTTTACTTTAAACCTTCTTAATATCTCACTTTATATTTTTTATGTTACTCAAAAGATTATTCTAAACACAGCCAGATTTTGGTAGCAGAGTCCTGGTTTTGTAAGTAATCATTTAGACACTCCCACTGTTTCATGACCATAATTTTGGGTTTTCTTCTTATTAGATCTGTCAATTTAGCTTTATATATATATTATATACACACACAGTAGTACCTTGGTTCCCAAACAGAATGCGTTCTGGAAGTCTGTTTGACTCCTGGAACTGTTCATAAACCAAGGTGCGGCTTCCGATTGGCTGCCGGAGCTTCCTACAGCCAATCAGAAATCACAGAAGCTGCACCAGACATCCGGTTTCCCAAAATTGTTCAAAAATCGGAACACTCAACTCTGGTTTTTGATCATTCAGGAGCCGAAACGTATGAGTTCCAAGGCATTCAGCAACCAAGGTATGACCGAATATTTTTTAAAAAGGAATACCCTTCCAACAGCAAGAGCTGTTCAACAGTGGAAGAGTCTCCCCCAGGAGGTGGTGGACTCTCCTTCCTTGGAGGAGTCTAAGCAGAGGTTGGATGGCCACCTGTCATGGATGCTTGAGCTGAGATCCCTGCATTGCAGGGGGTTAGACTAGATGACCCTGGGGATCCTTTCCAACTCTACAACTCCATAATTCTACCATTCGATGCATTAGCCCTCCTCCCCACTCCCATTCCCCACCCACCCATCTCACCTGTCCTCAGCAGAGTTTCATTCCCGTAGCCCAGGTATTTCTGCAGCCACTCAATGCATTCCTCCTCCAGGTAGGCCTTCCGGTACTGCTTCTTGGCCAACTCTGCATCCCACTTCCTCTTCATCTCTCGGGCCTCTCTGTCAGCTGCCGTCCAGGTGAGGGTCTCCTTCTCAAAACTGAGGAAGTCCCTCCCGTCGTAGCCATACTGGTAATACCCTTCTTTGCGCCCGTCTGGGCTCAGTTCACAGCCGTACATGAGCTGCATAGTGTGGAAGCCTGAAAGAGACCCCCGAGAGGTCAATTGGGGGGGGGGCACCAGAGCAAGATTTCTATCCCATGTTAAGCCCCACAATAACAACAACAGTAAGGTAAAGGTAAAGGACCCCTGGCCATAAGGAAGGCTGATTGCCAAAGAATTGATGCTTTTGAATTATGGTGCTGGAGGAGACTCTTGAGAGTCCCATGGACTGCAAGGAAACCTCTCCATTCTTAAGGAAATCAGCCCTGAGTGCTCACTGGAAGGACAGATCCTGAAGCTGAGGCTCCAATACTTTGGCCACCTCATGAGAAGAGAAGACTCCCTGGAAAAGACCCTGATGTTGGGAAAGATGGAGGGCACAAGGAGAAGGGGACGACGGAGGACGAGATGGTTGGATAGTGTTCTCGAAGCAACCAGCATGAGTTTGACCAAACTGCGGGAGGCAGTGGAAGACAGGAGTGCCTGGCGTGCTCTGGTCCATGGGGTCACGAAGAGTCGGACACGACTAAACAACTAAAGAGCAACAAAGGACCCCTGGTAGGTTAAGTCCAGTCAAAGGTGACTATGGGGCTGTGGCACTCATCTCCACTTTCAGGCTGAGGGACCTGGCGTTTGTTCACAGACAGCTTTCCAGGTGTTGTGGTCAGAATGACGGAAACCAGAGTTCACGGAAACACCGTTTACCTTCCCAATGCAGCAGTCCTTATTTATCTACTCGCACTGGCATGCTTTCGAAGTGCTAGGTTGGCAGGAGCTGGGACAGAGCAACGGGAGCTCACCACAGCGCCACCTGCATCCCTTAACAATAACAATCATAATACTAAACAAGGCACACATCCCCCTCAGCCTTACTGATGTGGTCCAAAGGAAAGCAGAGCAGGATGTTTGGCACCAGCTTGGCTGCAGGTGTTGCCCGTAGGAGTCATGGAAGGCGCCATCCAACCGCCTTAGGGACTATGCTGTGGATGTGTGTATGGTTTACTCCGTAGCCTTTTCTGCTCCTGCAGCTATCCCACAAGGCAGTGGAGGTTTAGGATCAGGATTCTCCTCCTCCTAGATGGGGTCCCTTCCCAGGTGGATGAGCCCCATCTGCCCCTCACTTCCCTCTATGGCAGGGGTAGGCAACCTAAGGCCCGGGGGCCGGGTGGGGCCCAATCGCCTGCTAAATCCAGCCTGCGGATGGTCTGGGAATCAGTGTGTTTTTACATGAGTAGAATGCATCCTTTTATTTAAAATGCATCTCTGGGTTATTTGTGGGGCCTGCCTGGTGTTTTCACATGAGTAGAATGCGTCCTTTTATTTCAAATGCATCTCTGGGTTATTTGTGGGGCCTGCCTGGTGTTTTCACATGAGTAGAATGCGTCCTTTTATTTAAAATGCATTTCTGGGTTATTTGTGGGGCATAGGAATTCTTTCTTTTTTTCAAAATATAGTCCGGCCCCCCACATGGTCTGAGGGGCGGTGGACCGGCCCACAGCTGAAAAATGTTGCTCTATGGATTGTGCAAAATGTTGAATGGTTTAATATGTAAAGGTTCATCATTGTTCCACTCGATGTGTATGTCTTTAAGGGGCCAGAGAAAGGGCCAGAGCAAAATAACGAGACCCAGCTTTACAGCTGTGAAACATAGCAGGTGCTGCTGAGTTGTATTGATTAAGCTGTGTTGGTAATTGGGTGTAGTATATAAGGAGCAGCACCTAGCTCTCCCATTACCCTGGGGGATGGGTTGGTGGTTGGGTCATGTTTGTTTGTTAATGTATTTAGTGTAAAAGGAGTTTTTGTTTTTCTTATTAAAACCTTGTTTAAATTATTTTTGAGTCCCTTTTTAATGCATGGTCTCCCCAGCAAGCTCTCTGCAGCGCTACCATACTGCAAAAGCCAACATCTTTGGTTATGGGCCCAGCTGCTGAGTGGATGACTGCATATTTTTGGACTCTGAGAAAGGTTTGAAAACTCCTTCTCCTGTTAGCGTAGTTCTGTGGGTCTGGAAGAGTTCCAGAATGGTTGACCGGGTTCCTGAAGCTGAGAAGGCTCTGGTCTTCCCACAGCTGACAGATGAGAACTATAGTTTATGGTCTTTTCGGGTGGAGGCGCTTTTGACCTCTAGAGAAGTATGGACCTATGTAACTGATGACCCTCCTGACCCTGTGACTAATGCTTGGTCGAAAGGAGATGCAAAAGCCAGGGCGATAATTAATTTGGCAGTCAGCGACCAGCAAGTAAATCTATATAAGAAATAAGAAAACTGCCAAAGAAATGTGGGACAGTCTTGCAGCAGTGCATGTTAGAAAAGAGTCAGCGTCTGCATTGACGTTTTTCAAGCAGTTGTACCAGACGAAGTTGCAGCCTGGTGGTGATTTGGCAGCACACTTGAGACGTCTGGAGGCAATACGCGGCGAATTAATTCGAAGGGACATGGAGATACCTGATATTCAGTATGTTTTCATCATCCTTTGTTCCCTTAATGAGGACTTTGATGGTATAGCTAGCCAGATATCTGCCGTTCCACCAGCACAATTAACTGTGGAAGGGGTAACGGCAAGATTAATGGGCGAGTTGGACAGAAGGGAGGCTTGTGCCATAAGCACTCCTATTTCCAGAAAGAATGAGGAACGCCATATGCAAACTTGTGGTGATACAACTGCATTTAAAGCTGCAAAGCGTTGTTGGTTCTGCAATAAGCAAGGACATTTTGCAAAGGACTGCAGATCCAAAAGAAAGCAAAGTACTCCCAAGTCTGTTTCTGTTCGTCAGTCACGGTCGTCAGCTCAGCAGCCGGCATCGTACCGTAAAGACAGAAACGAGCCGCGAGCTTTTCACGCTAGCACAAGAGATCGTAAAAGAATTAAAGGTGCCAAGTGGAATTCTTTTATTGTGGACTCAGGAGCATCTCAGCACGTTTGCAACGATCGAAGCTTGTTTATTTCTTTCGAAGAGGAAATTGGTAATGTACATTTAGCCAATTCACAAGTCTTGCAGTCGCTTGGCAGGGGTACTGTTAAACTTGACTCTTTAAACATTACTATAGCGAACTGCATTTACTGCCCATCAGTGGACAATTTATTGTCAGTAAGGTGTTTTGCTCGTCAAGGCATAACTGTGCGTTTCTTAAAGTCAATGTGTGAGTTTTTCGAGGGGAACAAACGTCTATTGTATGCCCGGGAATCTGATGGTTTATATAGACTGTATTTTCGCACCTACTCCCAATCGCCTATAAATTGCAGAGCAGCACAGTCAAGCCAGGGGTTGAGGAATGTAAGGCCACATTCTGGGTGTGTCCATGAGGCGCACAGAATTCTGGGACATCTGAATTTTGCTGATGTAATTAAGACCAAGAATATTGTTAATGGCCTCAACTTAAAACCATGTAAATTCTTTATGCAATGTCTATCCTGTTGCAAGAATAAGATTAAGGTTGCACGCAAGGGTAGGTGCTCAGATAGGAAAGTAACTGAGCCATTTGAGCGTGTACATTGTGATTTAGTTGGGCCACTCCCACCATCCTTAGGAGGTTCTAAGTACTGGCTTACCCTGATAGACCAGTATAGTAGATATTGTTGGACTTATGCAATAGCTGAGAAGTCCCAAGCATTTGAGAAGTACAAAGTTTTTTGCAACTGGGTAAAAACACATTTTAACAAACCTATTAAGAACCTTTTTTCTGACAGGGGCGGGGAATTTGTTTCTGAGGATTTTGAGAAATTCCTGGAAGCGCAGGGGACTACTCATGAGTTATCTTGCCCCCGAAGTCCCTGGCAAAATGGGCTTGTTGAAGTTGTGCAGCGTGACCTGCAGGCAGGGGTTAAAACTTATCTGCATGATGCTAATCTGCCCAAAGACTTTTGGGCTGAAGCGCTCAATGCCTTTTGTTATGTTAGAAATCGCAGTTATCATTCTGGTTTAGATGTCACCCCCTATGAGAAGCTGTTTAAAAAACGCCCTAATCTGAAATACCTACGCATTTGGGGTTCAGATGTAATAATGCATTATCCCGCTAAGCAGAAATTGGGTGAACGTAGTGTCCAGGGAAAATTAATGGGCTACCAGCAGGGGGCGTACAGAATTTACATACCAGCAACTGGCAAATTTCATATTACCAGAAGCATGATACAAACTGTAAATTGGAATGGTGTTGCTGTTTTCCAAGATAGTAATGGTATAGATAATACTGAGGAAGAAGAGGTAGAAGAAGCAGCAGCAGCAGCAGCAGGAAATGGTGCTTCTGAATTAATGGAAGAAGACAAAAAGCCTGTTGAATCTGATAATTTCTTTGATGATTTAAAGTCACAGGCACCCGAGGGAGGTTAGATTCTCTTGAGTTTTCTGACCGTGAGCTTAGCCAACAGGCATCTCTTCAGTCTGACAATGATGATTTACAACCTGAAACTAGTAGTTTACATAGTCCCATTAAGTCTGAGGAGTCTGACTCTCCTTCCGGACTGAGACGTTCAGATAGAAAGAGACAGAAGCCACAACGTTTTGCAGATGAACATTTTAATACTGTGTATGCCAATAAGGCAGTTTTGAGCCAAAAAGCTACAATGATGTTCAGAATTTACCTAAGCACCAAGCTGTAAATTGGTATAAAGCTATGAACTCTGAAATAGCTTCTTTAAAAGAGCATAACACTTGGTCTCTTGTACCACAAACCCCAGATATGAGACTTATTGATTCAAAATGGGTTTATAGAGTTAAAATGAATGACAAAAATGAAGTTGTAAGGTACAAGGCAAGATTAGTTGCTAGGGGTTTTCAACAAATTCCAGGCGAAGATTATGATTTGTGTTATTCACCAAGTGTAAAATATGAAACAGTTAAGCTTTTGTTAAAAGATGCATCACAACGTGGACATTCTGTTTATCACCTAGATATAAAAACTGCATATTTGTTTGCAGATTTAAAAGAACAAATTTTTATGCGTGTCCCTGAAGGCATAGACGCCGCTGAAGGTTTGGTATGCAAATTAAATAAATCCCTTTATGGTCTGCACCAAAGTGGAAGGAACTGGCACCAAACTTTAGCAAAAGAATTGCTGGATATTGGTTTTTCACAGGGAAAGGCAGACAATTGTGTGTTTATAAAGGAAAGGGCAAACTCTGTAGCAAAAATATGTGTCTATGTAGATGACGTGTTAATTTCTACAAAAACTAAACAGGAATATGAACAGGTAGTAACACAGTTACAGAAGAAATTTGATGTGGTGGAATTAGGCATAGCTAAAAATTACTTATCCATGCAAATTGAGAAAGGCAAAAATGGATCTTTTCTGGTTCATCAAACTGCAAAAATTGACGATCTTGTTGAAATGCTATGTTTAGAAAATGCAAATGGGAAGGAAACGCCCATGGTGTGTGGTTTCACTTTTACAGGTGAAGATAAGCCATTTCCTAACAAAACTTTGTATCGTTCTGCTATAGGCAAGCTAAATTTCATTCAAAGAATCTCAAGACCAGATATAACTTATGCCTTTCACTTTCTGGCAAAATTTGTGGAAAAGCCCACTACACAATGTTTCTCTGCTCTTAAGAGAGTGGTAATGTACCTTAAACATACCAAACATTATAGGTTGCAGTTTACAACATGTATTGACAAAGGTTTTGAAATTTTCTGTGATGCATCTCATGCAGTGGAACAAAATAATTGCAGGGGTGTGTCTGGTATGGTGTTTTGTTATAATGGTTGTCCATTTGAATGGAAGTCCCAGACACAAACCATTATTTGTCTCTCCACAACAGAGAGTGAATTATGTGCATGTGTTCAGGCCACTCGTGATGTGGAATGGTATCTGCAAGTATTCGCAGACCTACAGATGCAAGTAACACTACCAGTAAAAGTTTACCTTGATTCCCAGAGTGGACTCGCTATCCTATGTTCAGAAACCAATACGCAGCGCACTAAAGTCTTAAGATTACGTTTACAGTTTGTAAAGAAACTAATTGCTGATGAAATGGTTGTATTTAAATATGTTCCAGGTGACAATCAAATTGCAGACATTTTTACTAAAGCACTTCCAAAAGGTATACATGAAAAACATGTACAAAGTATGCTTTATGTTTTTGTTCCACAATGATGAACCGCAGGGGAAATGTTGAATGGTTTAATATGTAAAGGTTCATCATTGTTCCACTCGATGTGTATGTCTTTAAGGGGCCAGAGAAAGGGCCAGAGCAAAATAACGAGACCCAGCTTTACAGCTGTGAAACATAGCAGGTGCTGCTGAGTTGTATTGATTAAGCTGTGTTGGTAATTGGGTGTAGTATATAAGGAGCAGCACCTAGCTCTCCCATTACCCTGGGGGATGGGTTGGTGGTTGGGTCATGTTTGTTTGTTAATGTATTTAGTGTAAAAGGAGTTTTTGTTTTTCTTATTAAAACCTTGTTTAAATTATTTTTGAGTCCCTTTTTAATGCATGGTCTCCCCAGCAAGCTCTCTGCAGCGCTACCATACTGCAAAAAGCCAACACAAAAAACCCCTTTTTGACCGTAGGACCCACTCTTGGTCTTATCTGCTCAACCCACCAGAGCCTGTCTTCGCATGAAGGGGACGTCCCTAACGCACCGAGGTTTTGAGACCCATCGGCTCCCCTCACCTGATTCCCAGGATTGTGGCTGCTGTCACAGGTTGAAAGCTTCTAGGAGCCACAGGTGAGAGCCGAGTGCAGGTGGGGACCAAAGGTGGGCAAACGACCCCAAAAGGAGCCTGCCTGGCAGGGAGAAAGCAGCTTATCCCTGTTTAGGAATCACTATTCTCCCTCTCAAGTCACCATCTCCTGCCCCTGGAAGGGACAAACCTGGCAGAGAGAGAGGGAGACTGAGCTCCCTTCCTGCCCTCCACTCACCTTTGCTCTGGTTGTATTGATCCTGTAGGTCCAGCAGGTACTGGCTAAATTTCATATCCAGCTTGAGGAATTCCTGGGTGCTCTTTCTCCAGTACTGAGCATTGTCCTTCTCTGCTTTCAACATCCAGGAAACTTGGGGCACAGACTTCTCGGTTTCGCTGTCATACTTAACAATGGGCTGGTGGTCCACGTACCCCCCAGCAATGAACGGGGGCAGCCCCTGACTGGGCCCTGACACCCCCGTGCATAAGTAGCGCAAGGAGTGACTGGAGCAGCCTAGAAAGGACACAGAGAGGGGGCGGGGGCAAAGCTTCATATATTTATTTACCAAATCCTTATTTCCTTATGAATAGCCTTTGGACTATAATGTAACTTAAGTAGAAAACTATATTTAGAAATATTTTTCCTGGAAAAGCATTTTTTTTTTCAAATCCGATTTAAATAAAAGAAATCCGACTTAATTTTTTTTAAATCTGATTTTAAAAAATCATTAACATTTATCCACCCTGGTTTGTAATAATTTGTTGTTTAGTCGTTTAGTCGTGTCCGACTCTTCGTGACCCCATGGACCAGAGCATGCCAGGCACTATTAGTAATAACTAATACCTAATAACCAATATTCTAAAAGCTTCAGTGAGTTCATCGATAGAGATCTCAAAGTATTCCCAACGAAGCCTGAGGCATTTATATTTCCTTGCAACTTGTTCCACCAGCACACGATTTTTAAAAGCCAAGGTTTCAACAAAATGATCACAATTTTGTCTACCCTCTCCGACTGGGATAATAGCAGCGAGTTTACAACAATGCAGGCTAACGTCCCAATATTGAGTCAGCTAATCAGCGAGAGGCGGGGATCAGATTTTATTCCATTGTAAGCAATGATTATATGGGCTGCACTCGGTCAGCAAAGGACCATCATCTCCCCATCACTTGTCCCTGAGGCATCTTTCATAGGCTAAGCAAAAAAGCTAATGAGCCCAGGGGGAGGGTTTGCTGAGTTCAATGTCTTTAGTAACACCACCCCAGAGCTTCCTTATAAAAATATTTATTTATTTATTTATTTACAATTATTTTTATTTTTTTTAAAAACGACGAGGTTGCCCCCTCCACTTGCCGGGATTCTTAAGTGGGGAGAGGGCAGCTGTGGCTGTCAGGTCCTCCTTTGGGGGTTCCCCCTGGGGCATCTCGTGGGGGGGGGGCGCTGGGAGACCACAATTCTGGACTACGATGAGTCCCCTCTGGCTGGATCTCCCCACTGAATCCCTGACTGGCTTTTGGGGGGGAGAGCAGGTCTCCAGAACAGCAGGGAGGGGAGTATCTCCTGCAGATGAGAATATCAGGAGGAGGAAGGAGAGACTAGGAAGCGGACTGGATCCGGATCAGGCGGTGGGCAATCCCTCCGCTCTCTTTCTACATTCTGCCCACCCCGACTTGTGGCACTCGGGGGGACTCACCGAAGCAGCCCCCCAAGAGGAGCAAGAGCGGTCCCCACCGAGGGAGGAGCTGCAGCCGCCCCATCGGCCTCCCCCCTCGCCCCACACAAAGCCCCTCCTGCCCAAAGGGTGGGCTGAGTGCAAATTATTTTCGCCCCCCGCCCCAGAGCACAGTCCTTACATGCGCAGTCCAGGAGCAGCAGCAGGTGGGCAGCCGCCCACAGGATCAGGGGGGGCCAGCGGAGGAGGAGGACCCCCATCTCCCCCCAAAACGAAGCTCCCTTTTCCTCCTCCCTCCGCCGCCCTGAGACCCGCTCTCTGCCCCGCCCGCGGAACCAGCAGCAGAACGAGCCGGGATTGGCCGAGGGGGAAATATTCTACCAATCGGAAATCGGCGCGCAGATGGCGGCAACAGTCGCCGGGCAGATCTCGAGGCGCAAGTTTGGGAGCGAGGCTGGACAGTGTTCTCAAAGCTAGCAGCATGAGTTTGACCAAACAGGAGTGCCTGGCGTGCTCTGGTCCAGGGGGTCACGAAGAGTCGGACATGACTAAACGACTAACAACAACAACAACTTACCGTGAAATTTTAGATCTTACAGGACAGGAGCCAAAACTGAGAAATCTCAAGGAATCAAGAGATCTGGTTATGGATTGGCTCCAGATTGTTAGGGAAATTCTGGGAGAGAGGCTACTCGACAGTCCCAGCTGGTCGGGCAGAGCCCGCGGGTCCCAGCCACAAACCGGAGCAAAACAGCCGTCAGTAGACTTAGATCAAAGTTTATCGCGCGACAGGTTCAAACAACAGAATGAACCCCAAGAAAGGGGCGACATTGACTTTTAAAACTTCCCACCACATCCCAGAATCCAGTTCGTACAGCATCATCACTACATCATTGCGACATCACTAAAACATCAAGAAAAAGGGAGGGTAACATGGGATTACCATAAGGAAACTGAGTCAAGGTAACACCCAAAGATAGGATTTGCATAGGCAAACATATCTCAGGTACCCACCACCCACAGAACAATCGCCTTTCCTCACATGTCTGTACACCTAGGCGAGTCAGGTGATGGGCTTTTGCCCAGCAATTGTCACCCATGGGCACTTCCTTGGGTGGGGAGTGCGTACCTGGCTCCTCCTTTGAGGGATCACGGCGGGATCGAGGGGTTTTAAAGTCCTAGGCCAAAAGAGCGCAAATGGCGTTGCAGTGAAGCAAACCGGTGGCACTAGTGATTTTAGATGAATTTCTAAAGTTTTGTGACTTTTCCTAAAACTGATAGTCTGGGGAAAACACTTTGGTTTTGCTTGCAGCATTGGAGCAAGTTTAGATAGACTCAGTCCATTGTTCTGGCAGCGGGGCTCCACTCAGCTGCTTAGTGAGGGTGCAAACAGCTGGAGCAGAGCTGCCTTGCAAGGCAGGGAAGGCAAACACAGCAAAGGGAGCCGCTTGAGAGCGTAGCTTAAACTCAATTGGCTAGCTGTCAAATTCCAACACTCCTGATTGGTTAAGGTGCATCAGCATGCAAATACACAGTTCAGTCATCGGTATACCAACAGTAGGCTATAGAGTAACAGGAAGGAAAGACAACACTTTACTGAGGGAATTTATGTGCTGTTTGGTGCAACTTAGTGAAGGGACGAGGTCTTCTTGAGCTTCTCCTCTCATGCCCTGAGTACGTGTGGTGGGGGAGACAGAAGTCTCTCCCCCCTCTATTGTGCAACAAGCTACATCAGATTGATGAACTGTTTAAGATAGATAGGGAAAACGGCTTTGCTGAGCAAAAGTCTCAGTTTACCAAAGACGTATTAGATACAAATATAAATATTATCAAAAATGTACAAACTGCTCTTGGAGTGGGAAATTAAGAGGAATTGGTGAAATCAAGCATGATTAAGTGGGCACAAGATGTGGATCACAATACTGTATTGATCATGAATTATGGGGAAAGTTGTGGAAAAGTAAATATGAATTTTACAGCATGTTATGCGAGATAAAAGAAAATATGATGAAAATGGCCCACAGATGGCATTTAACACCCACCAGATTGGTGAGAATGTCTAAAAAAAGAAAAAAGTCTATGTTGGAAGTGTAATAAAATTGAGGGATCTTTTATTCACAGGTGGTCTTGTAAAATAATTAAGGAATAATGGGAATTTAATGAAATAAAAAAGATACTTAAAAAAACTTTTCCCAAAACACCTGAGTTTTTCCTCTTGGGGATGGTAACAATGGAGGCCCCCCCCCCCCAAAGCAAAAGAGTTTATTATTAGATGCCACTGCCAGTTTACTGGCAAAAAGGTGGAGAACAAGCATTATTTATTTATTATTATTTTTATTTTTTATTATTATTAATAATAATACCCTGCCCATCTGGCTGGGTTTCCCCAACCACTCTGGGCGGCTCCCAACCAAATATTAACAACACAATACAGCATCAAACATTAAAATGTCCCTAAACAGGGCTGCCTTCAGGTGTCTTCTAAGTCAGATAGTTGTTTATTTCTTTGACATCTGATGGGAGTGCGTTCCACAGGGCGGGCGCCACCACCAAGAAGGCCTTCTGCCCGGTTCCCTGTAACCTCACTTCTCGCAATGAGGGAACCGCCAGAAGGCCCTTGGAGCTGGACCTCAGTGTCTGGGCTGGATGATGGGGGTGGAGACGCTCCTTCAGGTAAATAATTCTTTTTTAAAATGGATCCCCACCCCACGGAGGCTTGTTTTCAAGGTGGGCATGCACCCCTTCCCATTTAGCAATGAAGGAGCTGGTGGAGCTGCCCAAACTTTAACATAAAACACAGTCTACACCCTTCTAAGATTATACAATAGAATTATAATGATAAAGGAATAATAATTAGGGGTGCTTTGCAACCATCAGTGCAGTTCTCCATGTGTTGCCTAGATGTATTATTATCTGCACATACACAGCTGCAAATGATTTTGGAGTGCTCCAATATCGCCTTAAGTTGTGTTTTCTGTGAAGTCCCATTGTAGGTAGCATAACTCACACACCAACGCCAGCCCAATACATTTTGACACCTGAGGCCGGCCCCAAAATGGCCTTCCACTCCCCACCAGGGAAGAAGGGGTGAGGGAAGATTTCTATTCAGGGCGGAGGGGGGACCTGTCTGTGTCTGTGAATATTCTCAGGAACTTCAAAATCTCTGGAACTCCTGTGTTAAGAAGGCAAGAACCACTAAAGACGAAGGGGCTGCACCCTTATTTATTTAAGTCAAACATATATTACAAAAGTAAAAAAAAAAATTACATCAAGTGTCTTCAAAGCAAGGTGCAGCAAATCCATTGGATTAGACGAGAAGAGTCCTGGGGCCTCTGGAAGTCTCCTTCCTGGTTTCCTCTTTGCTTGTCAGCAGGATCAGGCCCTCTCATCTCCTGTAAGGGTCACTACACCCCATCCCCTCAGCCTCTCTACCTCTTTCTCAGTTCCCTGCTTCTCCATTTCCCCATTCAGCTGCTTCTTCCTCCCCCTCCAGCCTGTTTCTCAACTCACTGCCCCAGGGCATCATGGGAGGCCCAGGGTGGAGCCCCAGAGCTCAGCAGCTGGTTGTCCTGGACGTGGAGCTCCATGAACCAGGCTGGAGAACTGGAGCCTTGAAGGTATCGGGACAGAAAGAGCATCTGGAGGAAACTGCCTCAGCAGCTGCCATTGCCACGGGGAGGGTCTGAATGCCCACTGGAGCTCCTCATTCTCTGCTCTGCCTGAGGATATTTGAAGAGAGGCCTCAACTCCAGTAGAGGTCACCTCTGGACCACTCTGGATCTAGTCAGACAGGACAGTGAGGTTCTGGGGATGCAGGAGGTGACCCAAGAGGGCTGGTGGTGGACGTCCCTCCCATCTGGGCTCTTGGTCAACACAGACAAAACCCCTCCATATCCAGATGTTGTAACTGGAGATGATGCCCTCCTTGGCTTCTACGGGATCAATGGCCAACGTCTGTCCTTCATCTTCTGAGGCAAACTTGCAAACTTCCAGATTAGAATCGGATCCAACTCTGACAGCCTCTCTAGTCTTCAGCCACTCTGTTCCTTCTCTTTCTGCTTCAACTCCTGAGCATCTAAGTATCCCTCCCTGCCAGTTTCTTCACTTCCTCACGCAGAAGGTGGGTGGAAAACACTCAGCCAGAGCAGTTAGGCTGCTTTTATACATTCCATGACATAGCATCCGCTTAGCCAAAGGCTGGGCGGCCCAAGAGGCAGGTAGGCAGTAATAATTTAGCCTATTTCACGCATAATACACCTAAAGCTGGTTCTCAAATGTTGCCTTTCCTTCCATTTGGATGGAAAGTGAGTGACATAAGATTGGGGAAAGGCTTGTGGAGGGAACCACAGCAACAAATAACCAAGAGATACCATCAAAATCACTGCAAGTGGTTGTCAATCTCCTCATCCCTTTTTTATATTATACTTTTTAAAATGTATTTCTATTAAAGATTTCTTAGTTTACAAAAATATGTGTAATGTCTCTTATTTCAAGTTTGTTTTGTACAGATTAGTTCCATTTGTTGTGAGACATTAGTCTCCTCATTAATTTTAAAAGCTTTTAGTTGCATATATCTGGAAGATTTCTCATTAATACAAGCACATTTCTGCAAAGCAAAATTGGCCATAATCCATCAGAAAAGCATGATTACCCTCAAATACAAGTTACACCTGGAGTCAGAATGGATGGGTGAGAGCCAGGATTAAGGAACATCCAGCACAGCATTAAAGGACACGGGGGGGCTCTGAACCTCTGCAATTCACAGCCAAACTTGGGCAGGCTCCTTCTGGTCTCATCTCACACACCGGGCTGGTATGAAACTGCAGAAATAAAGAACAGGAGTGTTTCAAAAGCCAGCATCATGGTGTGGGGACATCAGCATTACAGAGCTAGTGGGAACCCAAAGGCCATCTAGTCCAGCCTCCCAAGGAAAGCCACCATCCCTCATCATGTCAGATCAGACCTAAGAGATGCTGGGAGCACCACCAAAATGGGCCTGAAGAGCAAATGCCTGCAGAGGGCAGCTCAAGCAAGTGAGCCAAGCTGCACACTTTGGGGGAATACCAGGACACAAAGCAGTCCTACTGGAAGGAAAAATCCCTTCCAGAACCCCTTCCAAGATCTCTCATTCAGATCCTGCGTAGAACCCATTTGTCAGTTGGAGGGGATCCTCTGTGGAACTCAGATTAAGAGACAGAATGAGTCACAAGAGCTTTTTGGAGCTCAATGGACACTCCAGATTATGTCACTCTTGGAAACCCCGGGGGGGGGGGGGGCGGGGGTAACAGCTTTTCCCCATTTGGGGATGTTCCCCACAGAGTCTTCTGCAAGAGTCCCCCTCTGCCCCCACCTGCACCCCCACTTACCCCTGGTGGAGCTGGCAGGCCCCTGGTCACTTGCTGCAAAAGGGAGGAAACACAGGAGTCAGGATCCTGGGGAGGGGTATTCCATCCCCCCAGCCCTTCTCCTCCCTCCTTCCAACCCCATCCCAAATCAGTCTCAACACGGTGAGATGTCTAAGAAGAGTTCAGGGACAGGCAGCCCAGAGGCAAGGGGGCTCAAGGACGGCATTAGAGGGAGAAGCAGGTGCCAGAGGGCAAAGAGAGATGGGCACAGCCTGGCATGGAGGCAGCGGGGGATTAGAGTGGGGGTGGGTGCGATCTGGGCAGGAAGGGGGCAGAAAGGCAGAAGCTGGGGGGAGAGCAGTGGTGCCAAATCCGGAGGGGAGGGTTCCTGACACCCACAGACTTGAGCCGACGAACCAATTCTTTAGCTTCAGGTTCCAGTAAATTAAACCCCCAGAGATCCCTCTCTCCCCGCACCCTCGGCTCTTCCTCCTGCTCCTTCTTGGAGCCCCTCCCTCAGCCGACAGTCTCTCTGCAGCCTTTTCCTGGCCCTGAGGGACCCCTTGCTGTCCACAGACAGGCTGAGCAGACAGGCTTAAGCTTTCCATCGGGGTCTTGGGCTTAAGGACCAGGCCACCACCAGGTTTAGTTTGGTCTGTTTGTAACCTGTTCCTGCTCCATATTGGGGGGAAATATGTCAGACAGAGAGAAGGGAGGAGTCACTCACTTGAGGCTGCTTCGTAGGCTGATTTCCCTGTGAAGACAAAAGCAGAAGGTCAGAGCTGGAAGGGACCTCCAGAGGCCACACAATCCTATTTCGACCATTTGGCTCTCAGATGCTGAAACCTTCCCAGCAGATGCTCCTCTTGTCTCTTCCAAACACCTCCAAGGAAGGTGAGCCCAGAAGGTGAGCATTTCAAGGAACTCATGTTACAAAGAGGTAGAAAAAATTGAGGAAATTAAATTTTAAAAATCAACATGAAAGCCAGGCAGTGGACAAATTCCAAGAGGGTGGAAGGAAACATTATCCAGTCCCTTCACTTATTCCTTTTCAGATTATTATTTCACTCCCAGCAGACCCATAATCCTCAAATTTGCCCAGAGAGGGGGGGGGAGGAAGAGATAATGAACAGTGCAATTCTAGGCAGGTCTGCTCAGAGGAAAGTCCTATTCAGTTCAATACAGCGTCCTCCCAGATCAATATTTATTTATTCATTTAATGAACATGGCAGGGCAGGTTACAACATAAAAATACGAAATGAGAGCACAAAATACACAATAAAGCAAAAACAAACTAGTAACTCTGCTCCCACAAACACATTTAAAAGGCCAAAGGCCTGGTTAGAAAGAAATGTTTTTGCCTGGCACCTAAAGATTTGTAATAAAGGCTCCCTGGTAAGTGTGTACAGGAATGAAGGCTTAGGACTGATTAAAACATCAGGTGTGAAGTGAACTTCCTGAGCACAGAGTGAGCGCAAAGCAATGACCAAGAGGACTTTTGATTCATGTTCAAAGGGTGTTTTATGGGGAGGGGTCTCTGTAGGGATGCCAGCGACAATTGCCAGGAAGCTCCACCAGCACATTCCCAGTCGGAGGCCGAGACAGAAGGACACAGGAGAGGCAGCAAACACATCCACTGTTTACTTACTGAGCTTCTTGATGGTGAAGATGATCCCAGAGACCAGCAGGATGGCCGCCATGACACCCAAAATAGCTCCCACAATGAGCCCCAGGTTGACTAAAAGGGGACAAGAGACATTTTTATTCAGACTGGCGGCAGCAGCTCCCCAAGGCCTCAAGCAGGAGATTTGAGTGGAGGTGCTGAGCTATGAGCCCGGGAGGATTTTACGTGTACAAAGCAGGCCCTCTCTCTCTCTCCTGACAGGCCAAGGTCCTCTCTGTAGTGGCCCCAATACAAGGGAGCTTATTTTCCACCAGAATCCAGCATCTCTCCTCCTGCTCAGGCGCTTCAGCCTTCTCTGTCATGACCCTGAGAGGAAGGGATTCCCTCCCCTCTGAGACCCCCCAGAGCCCAGCATTACAGGCCTTCAGGGAAGACACAAACCCTTAGGAAGAAGCATCTTGTGTAGGGTTGCCATACGTCCGGTTTTTCCTGGACACGGCCTCTTCTTCAGACTTAAAATGTCTGTCTAGACAGATTTTTAAAATGAGGCAAAATGTCCAGGTATTTTTGTTTGTGGAGAATCTCTGAAGTCCGTAGCGCTAGTGAGTGAGCCCTGGTCTCCTCTGCCTTGCCTGTGTGAGTCTTTGGCTCAAGGGCCGCTTCCATAATTCTCACTTGCCTGCCTGTGAGAAGGGGAGTCTGGGGTGTGGGTGGGGATGTGCGTTCATGTGCTCCTGCTGGGGAAAAGGAGTCTTGCTCTTAGATGTTCTGCTTTGGTTCCTGCAGGCACAGCTTTCCTGGCAGTGTGTGTGAGACGATCCTTGTTATTAAAATTCCTGCTTGCTCTTCCCCGCGGTGAGCGTGTGTTTGGGCTGTATGAGTATCAGTTTTTCTAGCTGGGTGCGAGTGTGAGGAGGAGTGAGTGAGAATCTTTTCTGTGAAGTACGGTCAGTCTGGGACTCCCTCTTTTAAGTTCACTGCCCCTTTTTCACTCGCAGGGAGTGTGAGTAAGTCAGCCATGTGGAGGAGGGCATTTGATTTTGAAGAAATAACACATCTGCCCACATTCTGTGATATCACAACTACTTGGGCTTAAAGGCAAAAAGGTGACAGCCAGTTTTTACCTATGACATCCAATTTGGGTTTAAGGCCTATGAGACACTTGCCAGAAAAGGCTGCATCTCTGTCGAAATCTACATATTCTGATTCAGCTGCTTCCCTCCAGAGACACAGACAGGATGCAACTGGGGTTCCCCATCTGAGCTGTGCTGCAGCTGAAGGGAGGAGTTGGGTGGAAATCCCCCTCCCAGAGCCCACCCCTTCCCCTCCTGTCTGCCTGTCTCTCTGTCTCTCACCAGGCTCCTTCTCCCAGGCCACGTCCAGAGGCTTCTCCAGGCTGTCATGCTCCACGCGGCACCGGAAGCGCTCCCTCTCCTCGGGGTCGATCTGGACACTGAGCAACACATAGTAGGTCCTGTCCGAGTTGGGGGCGACCAATCCTCGGAGGGTGCCCTCCTGCCAGACCTCCCCGTCCTTCACCCAGTTGGCCTCAATCTCCTTGGGGTAGAAGCCGTGGACCTGGCAAACGAGGGTCTCCAGGCCGTCATAGTCTGCCTTCCTGGTCACCTTCACCACCGGAGCCTCTGCAAAAAGGGCAATCATTCATTGGGGTTAACAGAGAGACATCCACAACAGAAGGAATCCTGTATTTTTTAAGAGCAGAGGAGCAGGGACCCAAGGGGCAACCTAGTCAGAAACTCACATCTCCAGAAATTAAAAAGAACTAAGTATAAATGGGATTCCTCAACCTGCCTTGGCATCTTCCCCAGTCAGTGTCTGATGCTGGAACTGTTTTTAGATGTTTTATCCTTTGCTTGCCAAAGCAGACTCCTTTGGGAGGGAGGACTAGGCACAACTTTATCATCTTAAAAAGCTTTAACACAACTTGTGGTTCCAAGACTGTCCCAGGAAGCCGCCTCTAGGCTGAGGGGGCAAATTTCACCAGGTCCCCAATGGCGGGATTCTTCCAGATCCTTCCAAGTTGCAAGTCATGAACTGAGGGCAGCTCAGGCTGATCCTGGTTCCTCTCTTGAGGGGGAAGAAATGCTGGACTCACTGCTCTCTGTTCTCCAGGACTTTTCAGCTCCATAGTTAGTGAACAAAGCCAACAGCCCTGGGAAAGACAGAGCTCCTTTCTAGTTCTCCCGCCTGCCCTGAAAGGGTCCCTGGAGGTTGGAAAGGGCCCATCTCCCTTCTCCATGGCAGCCTCCCCTGGAGTGGAAAGGGCAGACCAGGAGGCCCAGTAAGCCAGCAACTTGCGCACATTTAACTTGTGCACATTCAGCTTTATGCATTTGCCAAAAATATTCTAAAAAGCAAAAAGAGGAGGTGGGTGTCTGGGGAAGATGGACTTTGGCAACCCAATCGCCCTTGAATCCAATGTGTTTTGACTATACACCATTTTGGCTTTAGGCACGATTCACAGAATGTAACCCTTGTTCAAAAACTGGCTCCCTGGGTAGCTGTTGTCTGAAGGGGCTGTTCCAGGATCCCACCCACTTTGCAGTGCCTGGACTGGAAACTCAGGTCTAGGAGGGGATGTGACTCTGCTGGGGGGAGCAGGAAGGAAGGAAGGTCAAGCCACAGAAACCCAAAACAAGACCTCCCCTCCCCATCAACCCCCCGCATGTCCTCAGCAGAACCTCCGTCCCAAAGAGGATGATTCCCAGCCTCCTTTGTACATTGTCACCCTTGAAAACGCTTCATTGTGGCTTTTAAGGTGAAATCCTAAACCTCAAGAAATATGCTCAGTGTCTTTGGGGTGAATTATCACCAGGCCCTATAGATGAATGTTCCCCATGGGAAAAAGTAAAATTGCTCACAAATAAAAAATTTGAGAAGGTAGAAGAGGGAATTCCCATACTCTCTCACTATGTGCAGGTTTTCTGCTTCTAGGCCACGAGTGGCTAACCTTCAGACTTAGTGAGGGGGCTGCATCCATATTTCATGGGCTCCCCACACATTTTCTAATTTTAAAAAAGGCTAATTAATTTAGTTTTAAAGACTTTCCCCACAGATACATACCTAAGTGTAAAGGCAAAAGGTTTTTCTGTATCCGGCCTCAAATCTGTCAATTTCAATTTTATTTTTTACTGAATTTAAAATGCATTTTGCTTTCTTGGCCCCTTCCCTGCTGTTTCTGTGTCCCCTCCCCCCATTTGCATTTTGACATCTCTTACTTTAGCCAAAGGGGCATGGGGGGCTGTTTTTAAGCATCTCCTTCCCCTATCATACTCTAAAATGACCCCCTTTCTCCTCCCAGAGGCCCAAACTTATTTTTGCCTCCCCCACCAAGAAAAGTGTTTGCTGTTTGGTCCAGAAAGGAAGACGGTTAATGGGGGGTGAGCATGTAGGGAAACTGCCCCACTGAGCCCCCCTCCCCACCCCACTGTCCCCCCTCACCTGTCCTTTGCAGAGTCTCCTTCCCATACTCCAGGTATCTCTGCAGCCACTCAATGCACACCTCCTCCAGGTAGTGCTTCCTGCCCTGGTTCCCGGCCAAGTCAGGATCCCACTTCCTCTTGCTCACTTGGGCCTCCGTCTGGGCTGCTGTCCAGGTGAGGGTCTCCTTGTCGAAGGCAATGAAGTCTCTCCCGTCGTAGCCGTACTGGTAATACCCTCCTTTGCGCCCGTCTGAACTCAGCTCACAGCCGTACATGTGCTGATAGGTGTGGATCCCTGGAAGGACCAAAAGAGGCCCAGGAGGTCAGAGCAGCCCCTCCCACACATTGGGGGCCCTTTCTAGAGAGGTCTCCTCTTCCCCGCCATCTCTCTCCCCCCAACTTCTCCATATCAAGGACCTTTTCCCTAAAAGGAGGGAAGTCATGGAAGGGCCTTTGGAAAAAGAAGTTTCCACTTCTAAATGGCCCCCCTTCTCAGCAGAAGCCAGGCTGCCCTTGTCAAAGATGGCAGGTCCCTGCATCCTCCTGTCCACCCAAGGGGGCTACCACCAAATCTTCAAAACAACAACAACATTAGAATCATAGAATCATAGAGTTGGAAGAGACCCCAAGGGCCATCGAGTCCAACCCCCTGCCAAGCAGGAAACACCATCAGAGCACTCCTGACATATGGTTGTCAAGCCTCTGCTTAAAGACCTCCAAAGAAGGAGACTCCACCACACTCCTTGGCAGCAAATTCCACTGTCAAACAGCTCTTACTGTCAGGAAGTTCTTCCTAATGTTTAGGTGGAATCTTCTTTCTTGTAGTTTGGATCCATTGCTCCGTGTCCGCTTCTCTGGAGCAGCAGAAAACAACCTTTCTCCCTCCTCTATGTGACATCCTTTTATATATTTGAACATGGCTATCATATCACCCCTTAACCTCCTCTTCTCCAGGCTAAACATGCCCAGCTCCCTTAGCCGTTCCTCATAAGGCATCGTTTCCAGGCCTTTCACCATTTTGGTTGCCCTCCTCTGGACACGTTCCAGTTTGTCAGTGTCCTTCTTGAACTGTGGTGCCCAGAACTGGACACAGTACTCCAGGTGAGGTCTGACCAGAGCAGAATACAGTGGCACTATTACTTCCCTTGATCTAGATGCTATACTCCTATTGATGCAGCCCAGAATTGCATTGGCTTTTTAGCTGCCGCGTCACACAGTTGGCTCATGTCAAGTTTGTGGTCAACCAAGACTCCTAGATCCTTTTCACATGTACTACTCTCAAGCCAGGTGTCCCCATCTTGTATTTGTGCCTCTCATTTTTTTGCCCAAGTGCAATACTTTACATTTCTCCCTGTTAAAATTCATCTTGTTTGTTTTGGCCCAGTTCTCTAATCTGTCAAGGTCGTTTTGAAGTGTGATCCTGTCCTCTGGGGTGTTAGCCACCCCTCCCAGTTTGGTGTCATCTGCAAATTTGATCAGGATGCCCTTGAGTCCATCATCCAAGTCGTTGATAAAGATGTTGAATAAGACCGGGCCCAAGACAGAACCCTGTGGCACCCCACTAGTCACTCTTCTCCAGGATGAAGAGGAACCATTGATGAGCACCCTTTGGGTTCGGTCAGTCAGCCAGTTACAAATCCACTGAGTGGTAGCATAGTCAAGACCGCATTTTACCAGCTTCTTTACAAGAATATCATGGGGCACCTTGTCAAATGCCTTGCTGAAATCAAGGTAGGCTACATCCACTGCGTTCCCTTCATCTACCAGGCTTGTAATTCTGTCAAAAACGAGATCCGGTTAGTCTGACATGACTTATTTTTCAGAAATCCATGCTGACTATTGGTGATCACAGCATTCCTTTCTAGGTGCTCACAGACTGTTTGCTTAATGATCTGCTCCAGAATCTTCCCTGGTATTGATGTCAGACTGACTGGGCGGTAATTATTTGGGTCCTTTCTTTTCCCCTTTTTGAAAATAGGGACAACATTTGCCCTCCTCCAGTCTGCCATTTATTTATTTATAAAATAAATAAACAGTGTTTGCTGACGTTTTATGTACATTTTATGGATTTTTCCTGATTTTATTATAACTTTCTAGGTTGTGTACTATCTTGATACACTTTTATGGAAAGTACATATTATAAATACTTTAATAAAACCTTCAGTCAATCGATAATAAAAGAAGAGCTGGTTTTCATTAGCCAGTCCATGTCCACCTAATAAACCCTTCATCAATCAACACATGAGCCTTATACAGTGGTTCCTTGGATGTCAAAAGGCTTGGCTCCCGAACACCGCAAAGCCAGAAGTACCGTATTTTTCGCCCTATATGATGCACCGGCCCATAGGACGCACCTAGATTTTGGGGGGGGGGAGGGAAAAAAATTTATCCCCCCCCCAGGTGCGGGGCTGGGGCGGGGGAAGCCCAAGCTTCCCCCGACCCCAGCTCCCAGAACAGGAAGCTCTCCGCAAACCCGAGCTTCCCCCTCCCCAAGCCCCCAGAACGGGACCCAGAGCCATGCTGAAGCTGCGTGTGTTGCGTTTGCAAAGTAAAGGAAGGACTGGACCCTGATTAAAAAACAAGACACGAGGCTTTGACCAGCAAGACTCTCAGAGAAAGTGCGTCAGCCACACCCCTCGCCAGGCCATTTTATTAGCAAAAGAATCTTTTACACAGTAAGAACCAATCATATTTCCTCTGAGCATTTCATCAAACCCCACGTGGGGAAAAAGTTACACTACAACACTAATTAGCATGCATATATTTTGGGGTAAATATGTTGAGAACTACAAAGGGGTAGTAAATAACTTGAGAACTACAAAGGGGTGCATCTGGCAACCCCAGAGGTGAGAAATAAACATGATAAGAAGGATGGCCAGAAAGACCAGACCACTATCACCTTCATGTGAGATCTGTTTCCTGGCTCCAAGATTAAGAAACTACATCAAAGAACTTGCCCACTATCTTTTTATGGCACAGGATGCCTGCCTGGCGAAGCAACTGCTGTGTACTGCTGTGTACGTGACATGTGGGGAAGAGAGGAATGGGCAGTAGAGTCAAAAGGGCATGAAAAGGCCATGAATGTAGAATCTTATGGGATTTAATCAGAAATTATCGTCAATATATCAAACCCAGTCAACACAATGCTTTCATCGTGGACACGATGGCTTGATGTATATTTTATAATTCCTCATGGTAATCCCATGTGATCCCTACATCTCACCCTTTTTCATTTATTTATTATTTGTGTACAGGAAGGCTTAAGAGAGGAGAGGCATTGCGTCCTCATCATCTGCCTGCATGTGTGTCTGTATCACATATTCCTGAAGGAGGGCGTGGAAAAAATGTAGTGCAGAGAGAGAACAAGGAAGGGATCCATTGTAAAAAACAACAAGTTCCAATTAAGGCAACAATGATTAGCAAACCATACATGAGCCTAATTAAAAGTAATCTGTTGAACACGTGAACAATTGGCCTTCCTGTGTCCAGACAGCGAGTTGCTTTCTTACTGCAATTCACAATCTGAGCACAAGAGGTGTTGATGGTGCTGCAGGTTTAGGTGTGTATAATTATATTGTATTGAGGGGTAACTTTTGCGTCACAGTTCCCCAATCATGGAGATTGGTATAACCAATGATACCTTCAGGAATCCATTTAGAAAACCACTTTCCCATGTGTGTGGCATGTGCCTGTGTGGCATGTGCCATGTGAAAAGCTGTGTACAAGCTGGAATCATACAATTTCCCAAGGTAGTGTGCATATCATATGTTTCACTCAAACAAAAATAAGAGACATTAGTAATTTCAGCTAAACACATTCACATATTATAGCTATGACTAGAAGACGTGTCAGGAGGAAGATAGATACATTGAGTACTAGGTATCAAGAAAACAAATAATATACATGTAAAAATCAGCATAGAGTTCATGTGTAGCTGAGTAATTAAAGCTACTAAAAAGTCTCTGGTGCTTCTGGAACATCATGATGCTAAAATCGTGTCCTGGCATCAGAGTCCAAGGTCTTCAGCATTCCCCATGTCACCTTCGGGCATTCTTCAGCCTTTCAAGGATGAGGATGGACACGATGGACATTCGCACGGGGCTGCTGAGCCTGTAGAGGCGAAGTCAGGATCATGGTCCTTGCAAAGTCTGGAATGGGATTCTGCAGGACTTGGTGTCAGCGCATGTCTTGGCCTATAGGGATGGATACAGCGACCTGGAATCCACACAGGACCTGAGGAAGTAAGAACAGTAGGGCATCCTGCCCCTAGGTAATTAAAGGAACAGGTAATCAAAGGAACAGGTCCCTCTCACTGCGGGTTGGGGAGCTGCTGGTACGTCACTAGATGGTGTTTCAGAGGCCATTCCAGAGATACCTCTTTCCTACAATGATATTCTATAGGAGAAAATTTATTAAGAAAGGAAACAGTTAATTGATTTAAGGTAAAGAGAACAGGAGTTAAAGCGCAGGAAGGACATCCATCAACAATATCCTTAGCTTGTGTCAGAGGAATGAAAAAATAGTTTAAAATCAGCTGCTTAGTTCCCTGATGAAAAAATGCATGGCTATCATTTGCATTAGAAAATAATGGACAGAAAGATTTCAGAGCAGAATTAGCATGCTGATTTCCTTCTGAAATTACATCTTTGAATCCTGTATGGGAGCAAAATGTGAGCAGCATAGAAAGGCATAGTTCTAGGCGTTAAGAGAGATATTTCAGTGTCAAGAACAAAGAGAGTAAATCTAGCATAGGAGAAAGATAGAAATTAGCCAAATGTGATAAAAAGAAAAAACCCCACTTCACACAAAAATCACCAAATGCAGTGGAAGTGTAGCTGATCTCTGTCAGTTTTCTGATTAGCTACAAAAAAATTTGCCAGTTATTTTCAGAATCCTTATACATTAAAACATTCTGGAGTGTTGAATAGGAACTTGTTTTTGGACAGAAACCAATTTCTAGGGTACCTGTTGAATTAAAACTAGGTGTGACTCTTTAGGAGGGTTACAATAAACTATCCTAAGTTAGTCAGTAAATGCAAACAGATAGGAAAGAAAAGAACTCATTAAGGACTCATGCTCCTGTTTTAGAAAAAAGCAAATAACAAACAGCAATATCAAATCCAGTGTTAGGCAAATCAGAGTGAAGCCACTCTAAAATCACTATTCTGTCAGCAGTGTCTGGGGAAAAAAGTAGTCCTGTAAGTGAAAACATTGTATTAAGGAAAATCACTTGTATGAAGTGACGCCAAAACTCTGCAACTGCTGTAAGTAAATTCATTAGGAATTTTAAGTTCAGGGAGGAAAGGAGAAAAAACAGTCTGCAACAGGTGATGAAGAGTGAGTCTCACTGTCTGAGGTGGAATCAGACTTGTGTGCTATGTCTTAATTTTATAAACCACCATAGGGCACTGGAACTGAAACTGAAAAGTAGCAAGTTCTGCTGTCATTAGATTCAAACCAGCACTGCCCTTAGCGGCATGGTGCAGATTTGTCGCAGGAGACAGTGTGTTTAAAGCAACTGTGTTAGAAGAGATAGCTTTAGAAGAGCCAGCTATTGCTTCTAATTTAGCTTCAGTAAAGTCAGTAGAGTCAAAAGGGCATGAAAAGGCCATGAATGTAGAATCTTATGGGATTTAATCAGAAATTATCGTCAATATATCAAACCCAGTCAACACAATGCTTTCATCGTGGACACGATGGCTTGATGTATATTTTATAATTCCTCATGGTAATCCCATGTGATCCCTACAGCGTGCAGCTTTGGCATCGCTCTGGGAGCTTGCGGGGCTGGGGGCGGAGACACCAGCCCCAGAACAGGCTGCCGCCCCAAGCCTCGCGCGCCCGGCGGGACCTCCCGCTGGGCGCGCGAGGCGTGCGGGCACTTTCCCGGAGCACTGGGCGTCCTCCGGAGGGCGCCCCGTGCTCCGGGCTGCTGCCCGCAAGCCTTGTGAGCCCGCGGGAACTCCCCCGGGCTCGCAAGGCTTGCGGATAGCTTCTTGAAGCCTGGAGAGCGAGAGGGTTCGGTGCGCACCGATGCCTCTCGCTCTCCAGGCTTCAGCGAAAGCCTGCATTCGCCCCATAGGACGCACACACATTTCCCCTTCATTTTTGGAGGGGAAAAAGTGCGTCCTATATGGCGAAAAATACGGTAAGTGTTCTGGTTTGCAAATGTTCTTTGGAAGCCAAACTTCCGACGCGGCTTCTGATTGAGTGCAGGAAGCCGCACCTTGGTTTTCTAATGGTTCTGGGAGTTTAATGGGAGTCGAATCAACTGACTTTATTGGAAGGCAGCTCAAAGATTCAATACATCCCGTTTATTGCTGTGGAAAGAGGTGCCGAGGATAAATTTTGACCTCTGTTACTTCAGTCACAACTGGTTTAAATGGAAATATAGATTATTCTGCTCTCATTCAGACCACATAACTGTGGGATGTTCTTATATGTGCTAATGCTCATGACTTTTAAATCTGCTCTTCAATTCCAGTATCTGAAGGATTGATCTGGCGTTTTCACATGGCAGGTGGCATCACAGGCACCCGCTGAGACCCCAGACCCCAGGCAGGGCCCAGAGGTGCTGAGGACCCCAGTCCTGTCTCCTCCATGCCAGCCAGCAGGGTCAGCAGACAGCCATTTTGATTTCCCACAACAAAACCATGGAGAGAAGCTACGTCAGGCACCCCAAGACAGGATGGGAAATGGCAATGGTTGCTCCTGGCCATGCACAGAGTTCTGCTGCTCTTTGTGTAGCCTGAGGGAGCTCAACAATGGAGGAGAGGCTGTCCCAGAGGATACCAGGTTGCTCTCACTTCTGATTTAGGCTTCCCCTTTCATCTCAGGAGCCTTTGGCTTACAGCTGAATTGAGTTTGAGTATAGAATGTCTTGCATTACAGAAGCCTCTCTCAACAGAAATCCTGCTTTCCTGGGCTGGATTCAGCTAACACAGCTAGTCTAAAAACCAAGTCTTACTTGCACAACTGGGGCTTTCTCCCCATCTCCTTCCCCACAAATCAGCTGGGGGGGGGGGGTCGGGAGAAGCCCCAGAAAGGTGTGCAGGAGGAGGAGAAGGGAAACTGCTCCCTCTGGCAATTAGAATGATTGTAACAGTGCTACTTTCGAGTCCTCCCTCTAGAACTACTCAACATATTGAAAGAGGAGGAGGAGGAGGAGGAGGAGGAGAAGAGTTTGGATTTGATATCCTGCTTTATCACTACCTGAAGGAGTCTCAAAGCGGCTAACATTCTCCTTTCCCTTTCTCCCCCACAACAAACACTCTGTGAGGTGAGTGAGGCTGAGAGACTTCAGAGAAGTGTGACTAGCCCAAGGTCACCCAGCAGCTGCATGTGGAGGAGCAGAGACGCGAACCCGGTTCACCAGATTACGAGACTACCGCTCTTAACCACTATACCACACAGGCTCTCAAAAAGAAGAAGAATCTTTTACAAGACCATGTCCCAAAGTGATATACAGTCATACCTTGGGTAGAAGTAGGTTCAGGATAAATATTTTTGGGTTGCACTCCACGGCGACCCAGAAGCAGACACGCGGACGTGGGTTGCATTCGCTTCTGGATGCGTATGGGGCTCCAGAATGGATCCCGTTCACATCCAGAGGTACCACTGTAGTAACTTTTATGTACTCATACAATGGTTTGTGGTTGGCCTATGCAAACAACAAACCAAACCACAAACCCCACCAGCTGGTCTGGATATGGAGCTTTTGCTTGGAGGGAAGTTGCTTTGTGTCACTGCTTCTTCAGCATAAATTACTTTCTCCCTCATTTTATAAATGAAGCTCACTCCCCTCCCGTTTCCTCAAGATGTTAAGTGGGATCAATCCCGATACACCTATACCTTCAACATTGTTTTTAAATAGAATCAGATAACATTTCCAGGGCTGTCCGTGGCACCTTTAAAGTGGCCACCTCATTAGTTTGGGATTTTCTGAGCTAAGCAATTGCAAGAAATGATCAGGAAGCGAGAGGCGCCCTTGGTGACATTTATGGGGCATTTTCCATGGATAGGTGCAGGGGCTCAGGAGGGACCCAATCCCCATTTTTAAAAGGGGGAGAAGCAGAATTCCCAGGAGCCCAAGAGGAAGCCTGCAAGGCAAGGCCGGGCCTGATCCCACGGCAAGAAAAGCAGACCTGCCCATTGCAGCGCTGGCTTGGTCTCAGCTGACCCCCTGGGTTTCTTCCTTGCAAGCCTGACAAGGCCAACGAAGGCCCCAGAGGGCTCTGGACACACTCAGGCTGACCCCTTTGGCAAGGCTCCTTCCACCTCCATTATTCTGTGTCCCAGGTGGGGAATCTCTTTGGCTTCAGGGCCAGATCCTGATCAGGGTTGTCCCCATGGGCCAAAAGGGGCAGGAGGCTGAAGCTGACATCATAGCATAGCCCACCGGTCAATCTCACCCACCTTTCTACCCCTCCACTTCAGTTGCCCACCCTGTTTATGGTTTTAACCATGTATTTGCCACTCTGACCCCCAAAACCCACTCCATTTGTGTTCCTTAAAAAGGCTTCTCATTCCACACTGTGCTAGGGAGTGGGAGGGGCTTGGTGATGGTCAGAAGGGTCAGCCAATCAGCACCTCTGTCTGGGCAGCTGAATTCTCCTTAAGCAGAACCAGAACTCAAGGCTTGCTTGTCTCAGCCTCAGGATCCCCACCCTTCTCTTCCCCTCCCAGAGAGATTTCCACCTCAAAAGGCCTAAGCCAAGCCTAGCATGGAAGGAAGGGCAGGCAATGGAGACATTTCCCTGGTAGGATGTGCAGGTCCAGAGAGGGTCATACTGGGGGGGGGGGGTCTGTGCTCTCCAAGTCTCATTCTCTGTCCCCCCCACCCCACCCCATCCCTGCCCCCATTAAGACCTTCATTAAGGGAAGGGGAGATGCCTCTGCCCTGGTGGAGACCCCCACCCTCCATTTCCTTTCCTCCCAGCAGCCCCCTCCCTGCAATTCTGGCCCTTGGAGGAAACGTTATGGGGGGGGGGGAGAGGTGTGACTCTGTGTCTCTCCTGCCTTCCACTCACCTCCGCTCTGGTTGTAGCGATTCATTGCAATTTCCAGGTTCTCCCTGAACACCAGCTCAGCGCCCTGAGCGATCTGAGTGTTCCAGTTCCAGTACTGAGGATCCTCCTTTTCCACTTTCCTTATCCAGGGGACGCGAGGCAGTGCCTCCTTGGTGTCACTGTCATACTGAACATATTGCTGGTCATCCACGTACCCCACAGCAATGAACTGGGGCAGCCCCTGGCCAGGCTCAGACATGGCTGTGTGGAAGTAGCGCAGGGAGTGAGAAGTGGAGCCTGGAAAGGAAGAGAAAAGGGGGCAGAGAGTTAGGGGTCCTGCAGATGAAGGCAGCAGCCTAATCCTGCTGTATTACAGGAAGCAGCCCTAAATCAGGAGATCAAAAGTTCAGCAGGTTTGGGGGAGTTTGTAGACCTGCCCTTAAACATAGAGGAGGCAGAGCAGAGTCAGCCTAAGAATCAGAGAGTTGAAAAGGGGAGAGGATATAAATACAAGTAACAACAACAATAACCCATGGAGCAGAGGGCGAGAAAAAGCTCTGCCAGGCAGCACTAAATCTCTGCATGTCTCTGCTGAGGCTCCGTGTGGGGAGAGAGAGGCCAGCCCCTCCCTTTTTGCCAAGGGGGCAGGAATTGCCCCCCACTTGCAAGCGCCAAGCTGATGAGAGCTCCCACAACATGGTCTGAAGGCTCAGGATGCAGGCACCGAACGGAAGCTAAGCAGGCTCAGGACTGGGAAGTGGATGGAGACCAGACGAAGCAAAATCCATAGATGGGAGAACAGGAAGCTGAGAGTTGTCTACACTGACTGTGAGTGGCTCCCCAGGGACTCAGGTAGGGGACTCTTTCTCAGGGATTGAACCAGGGACCTTTTGTGGGCTGACCCTCTGCCCTATGTCCCTCCCTCTCATGTGCTGCCTTGAATTATATGGAGGAAGAGAAGTGTAGTATTAAATATGAAAAAATATTATCTCACAGACTTACTGTAATGTGCACAAAGAAGAGCTTGCAGGATCTGACCAATGGCCCAATTAGTTCAGCATCCCATTCATCTGGGAGGCCACTGTGAGAAATGGGTGCTGGACCAGGCTGGACCCTGGCCTGAAGCAGGCTGTTCTTCTTTTTCGGGAGTGGCTAATATATGCAGAAACATGCATAGTTCAGCCACTCCCTTGGAGTCGTCCACCACCTGACCCTCTGGCGCCATGCGCTGAACAGGTCTGGCCTGGGTCTTGCTTTCTGGGCTCCGGGAGGCTATGGCAAGATCTTATGAGAACTCAGGACAGTCCCACAAGATCTCGTGAAAACCTTGCACAAAAAGAGCTCTCTGCCTACTATAATTTGTGTGATTCCAACAGGCCAGCTGTCAACAGCATAAGCTGAAATCATTCAAGTTAAATGCATTCAAGTTGGGAGTTTCCACCAGTTTTCCAGGGACAGGTGTCAAGTTAACTGGCCGTGATTCCCAGGATCCTTCCTGGATCCCCTTTTATAACTGGTGCTTAAATGGTTCAATGTTGCAATAGTTCAACGTTGTTCCCACTTGAGAAAGAAGGCCCCACAGGGATAGCAGGGGCAGGAGGGCAAATGCAACTTTGGGGTCAGGTCTCAACATGTGGCCCCACATCCCCTTTCCCCACACTTGCCCCTTCACGAGATCGAACACAGGAAGGGGGCAGAGCGTGGCAAAGGAAGAACCTTATCCCCAAAAGAGCTCACTTTCCCACAGGCTGTACCAGCTCTGGCCACCAGGGGGCCTAATGAGTCTCCACAGGAACAACCAAGAAAGACTTGGGGAGAGGATGGAGGGGAGGCAGGGAGCTGAGCAGAGGCTTCAGCATCATATCCAGAGCAGGCCTGCTTAGGAGGAGAAAACAAACACACACACACACACACACACACACACACACACACACACCCCTGGACAGAGAAAAGCCAAGTTCAGTGGGAGATGGGGCATTTCCATGGCGGAAGGTGGGGGGGGCACAGTGCTAAGGGAGGAAGAGCAATTCCTGTTTTGTTTCAGGTAGCAAAATGGGACGTATTATTATTATTATTATTATTATTATTTCATCCTATACCCAAAGATCTCAGGGCGGTTCACAGAACGAAATCAAAATCTAAAACCGCAAAATAGTCAATCAAAAGAAAAACAACTCAATAACACCCCCCCCCAAAAACCCACATTTTTAAAGGGAATAGGGTGTCAATCCAATCAACCCAAGGCCTGGTTAAAAAGGAACGTTTTTGCCTGGCACCTAAAGGTGCATAATGAAGGCGCCAGGTGAACTTCCCTGGGGAGAGCATCCCCCAGACTGCAGAGCCACTGCAGAGAAGACCCTGTTCTCATGTTGTCACCCTCCTGAGGCGGCACAGCACACGAAGAAGGGCCTCAGTGCCCATCCACCCCTGGCTAGCCCCACCCCCGCACTGCTCCAGGTGCCAGGGCAGGTACCTCTGCCCCTGCCATGATGGTGTCGACTCTGTTACCTCCCTCCAGGTCAGCTTCCTTTCAGGCAAGATCAAATGGGACCCACTTCTTTTCTTTTCTTTTTAAATAATATTTATTGATAATTTCAAAATTACAGGAAAAACAAAAAAAAAACAACAACACTACAATACAAAAAAAGAAAAAGAAGACAATAAAAAAGAGAAAAGCACAAAATGTGAAAACCAATATGACAATACAGCAATAAAAAAAGAAAAAAAGGAAAAAAAAGAAAAAAAGGAAAAAAAAGAAAAAAAAACCAATCCCAAATTGCATATCCATAATGTCCATTTGCTTGTTTCATTGACCTCCTCACACCTCCGTTTTTGTATTCTAGTTTAATAATTATTTCAGCAAATTCTTTCCATCTTTCTCAATTTTTGTTATAAAATTTATCTTAACAATTTAACCTAATAATTAACTCAACAAATCCTTACCATCTTTCCCCATATTCTATTATTCAGATTACCTTAATTTATTTAACCTTATCTTACCCCTAAGTGCCTTAAAACTTAAATCTTAAATTTCAAATATACCGTATTTTTCGCTCCATTGGACGCACCGGATCATAGGAGGGGGAGAACAGGGGAAAAAATTTTTTTCTTGTTCTCCCCCTCTAAAACAAGGTGCAGTTCAAGGTACATTCACCAGAGCTTGTGGGGCTGGCGGTAGGGGGAAGCGCTGCTTCCCCCCACCGCCAGCCTCAAAGATCCCTGAAGCCTTTGGAGCTCAGCGCCCCGCTGCCCTGGAGAGGTTTGCGCGCAGCCGTTCCCAAGCTAGAGCAGCGAGACAGAGCCCTCCGTCTCGCTGTTCTGGCTTGGGAACAGCCTTGCTAGCTTCTGCAGGACAGCGGGGTGAAGGCACCCCACTGCCCTGGAGAGGTTTGCGCGCAGCCGTCCCCAAGCTAGAGCAGCGAGACGGAGCGCTCCGTCTCGCTGTTCTGGCTTGGGAACAGCCTTGCTAGCTTCTGCAGGACAGCGGGGTGAAGGCACCCCGCTGCCCTGGAGAGGCTGTGCGCGCAGCCGTCCCCAAGCTAGAGCAGCGAGGCGGAGCCCTCCGCCTCGCTGTTCTGGCTTAGGAACAGCCTGCTAGCTTCTGCAGGACAGCGGGGTGAAGGCACCCCGCTGCCCTGGAGAGGTTTGCGCGCAGCAGTCCCAAGCTAGAGCAGCGAGACGGAGCGCTCCGTCTCGCTGTTCTGGCTTGGGAACAGAGTTGCTAGCTTCTGCAGGACAGCGGAGTGAAGGGACCCCGCTGCCCTGGAGAGGTTTGCGCGCAGCCGTCCCCAAGCTAGAGCAGCGAGACGGAGCCCTCCGTCTCGCTGTTCTGGCTTAGGAACAGCCTTGCTAGCTTCTGCAGGACAGCGGGGTGAAGGCACCCCGCTGCCCTGCAGAGGTTTGCGCGCAGCCGTCCCCAAGCTAGAGCAGCGAGACGGAGCGCTCCGCAGTGCTCCGTCTTCCTGTTCTGGCTTTGGGCTTAGAGGCGCAGCCTGCATTCGCTCTATAGGACGCACACACATTTCCCCTTAATTTTTGGAGGGGGAAATGTGCGTCCTATAGAACGAAAAATACGGTACATAGCTCCTGATATAATTTCTGCTAGAGTCGTATAGTTTCATTCCCACATTTTCCCTAATATTCATTAGCTGATTCTAAAATAAAAAAGTTTCCATTATAGATTCTCTTCCAATCATCATCCAGCGTCTCTTCTTCCTGGTCTCGGGTCATGTCAGTCCTTATTGTCCATTCCGTCTAGTCCATCAACCTGGAAGCCTTATGTCCGAGGCCCTTAAATCTCTTCCATGTCCCTTCTGCAACTCTACTTCATCTTGTTTGTGCTTGCCCTTTTCCTTGTCTCTTGTTGGTCTCTGTCTTAGTTTCTTTCCTTTCCCATTGAGGAGTAGGTGTCTGGGGGATTCCAACCCAAAATTGTCTCCATCACCCTTCATCCAGCTCACCCATTCCCCACAGTCCCACTCCCCACAGTCCTCGATATAATCCAAAATAAATTTAAAATCAAATTTCAAGATCTCTCCAAAGCTAGGAACCTCCTCATCTGCAGACTCCCCTTGGCCCACTCCAACTTCAATCTTCAATAGCAGCGGCTTATGCTCCTGTAGGGCCTCGGGTCTCTCCATTTGTACTATTTGAGGTGCAGCCACATCCTCCTCCATTGTCAACTGCACTTGCCCAGTCGGTACAGATTGATAGGTTGGTTCTTGGATGATTTCTGTATCAATGTTATTAACCACAACAGTCAAATCCATTTTCTCATTCATCAAGTCCATCTTTTCATGCATCTGTTCCAGCAAAGCATTTGTCTTGCATAGAGCAAGCAGCCAGTCTTTCTCCCAGCTCATCTTTGTTCAAGGTCAGAAAAGACTGTTCCCACAGTCTTAATCTCACAGATGTTGGGTCTCAAATATGCTGCAACAACAATTTAGCAAGCTCCCTCTAGAGGAGACAATCTACTTGTATCTATTTTTTTTTTAAAGACAAAGGAAAGTTACTTTCATTTTTCAGATATTTCAGACGTTTTTCAGATATTTTGTTTCTTTAGGATGCAAAAGGCAACATTAGAATCAACTTGTTTCTCTTCATTGGCTACCTGTCAAAGTGTTACGTTCACAGTCAATGAACCTCTCCAACAGTTTCTGTCTCTGACACCCCGTTCCCAGGTTAGAGACGGTGGAAACTTATCCTTCTTCACTCCCTCTCCTGCTAGGGTTAAACAGAGTCCCCCCCCCCTTTCTCCTGCTTCCAAGGGGGGGTTCGGTGGTTCTAAATGAAGGAAATTTAGTCCTTTTTTGACAGCTTCCCGGCTTTAGCTTGCAAAATTTTTGCTTTAGTCTATATACAAAAAAGCGGAAGGCGGACTTCCTGTTTGCACCTTCCCGCTTCGATATCAAATTAAAACAATTTCTTGATCCAATTTTCCGTATCTACTCACGGGTACTTGTTTTAAGTCCAATTGTCCACAGGAAAAAGTCAGCGCTCTCTGGCAATGGCTGTGCGGCTTCACTCCGTGAAAGTAGCAGTCAGTTCGTAGCACCGCGCTTCTCACACCACTTCGCTCCGGAGCCCCTAGATGGGATTCCCCGCGAGTAGGGGGGCGCTTCTGGTGCCCTGCCGATCCCCACGTTCCCAGGCTTCCTCCACCTGGGATTTCTAGCGGGTCCCCACCTTTGCCGTGGCGGGAAGACCCAGTTTTCATGGAGCCCGTTCCTCCAGTCGGAGGAACTCCGCCATTCACCAATGGCGCTGACCCGGAAGTCATGGGACCCACTTCTAAGACCCTCCCCTCCCAGGTCAGGGGTTTCCCCCACTTAAACCACAAGAGCTCAGAGCAAGGCTGCCTCTGGTTGGGGCATCTGGCTAAACAAGACAGGAAGTTCTGCTCAGTGGTGGAAAGACAAATAGCCACAAAATGAGTCACACTTGAGTCCCCAAAGTGAGGAGGAATCTGAAGGAACCAGTGGTCTCCACCACCCTTTGCCCAGCCCTGTAGCACAGTGAGGGGCAGCCCCCCCCCCCATATCAAGAGATATGAGAGAGTTTAAGAGGGAAATAACAGATCTTTTATATGCCTGTTGTCTTCATCCATGGAGTTTTCTTGGCAGGGATACTGGAGTGGCTTGCCGGTTCCTGCAGATGACACAACCTTGATGGCAGAAAGTGAGGAGGAATTAAAGAACCTTTTGTTGAGGGTGAAAGAAGAGAGCGCAAAATATGGTCTGAAGCTCAAGATCAAAAAAACGAAGATCATGGCCACTGGGCCCATCACCTCCTGGCATATAGAAGGGGGGAAAATGGAGGCAGTGAGAGATTTTATTTTCTTGGGCTCCATGATTACTGCAGATGGTGACAGCAGCCACAAAATTAAAAGACGCCTGCTTCTTGGGAGAAAAGCATCTTAAAAAGTAGAGACATCACCTTGCCAAGAAAGGTCCGTATAGTAAAAGCTATGGTTTTCCCAGTAGTGATGTATGGAAGTGAGAGCTGGACCATAAAGAAGGCTGATCGCCAAATAATTGATGCTTTTGAATTATGGTGCTGGAGGAGACTCTTGAGAGTCCCATGGACTGCAAGAAGATCAAACCTCTCCATTCTGAAGGAAATCAGCCCTGAGTGCTCACTGGAAGGACAGATCCTGAAGCTGAGGCTCCAATACTTTGGCCACCTCATGAGAAGAGAAGACTCCCTGGAAAAGACCCTGATGTTGGGAAAAATGGAGGGCACAAGGAGAAGCGGACAAGAGAGGATGAGATGGTTGGACAGTGTTCTCGAAGCTACCAGCATGAGTTTGACCAAACTGCGGGAGGCAGTGGAAGACAGAAGTGCCTGGCGTGCTCTGGTCCATGGGGTCACGAAGAGTCGGACACGACTAAACGACTAAACAACAACAACAACAGGTCTTACTCTTTAGTACTTAAAGCTTTTAAGTTACTCTGAGAATTTTTATGCAACAAGCAACTTTTAAACTAATGCTAGTATTATATTCATACCTTTTTCCATTACAGAAGCACAAAAACTATTTACTACAAAAGCAAACAATTTTTTGGGGGGGTGAGGAATCACAAATATAAGAAAATAACCAACAATCCCAAACTAGATAATCATATTCTTCAATAAAGAGGATCCAAACGCAAAACAAATGTTATCTCCCTCATCTCATAAACAGCAGGGGTCAAGAAGAATTCCCACATTATCTCAACACCCTATTCCCCCTTCCCACTCACAAAAATGCCCTGCTGCTATCTCCAGATCTTTCTCCCATGAAGAATACGCTTGTCGAGGGACTTCCGGTCAGCGCCATTAGCAGACGGAGGATTCCCTTCGGTCGGAGGGAATCGGCTCCGCGAAAATCGGGTCCTGAGCGCTGCGGCGAAGCGGGGACCCCCAGAAATCGCAGGCGCTGAAGCCTGCGAACGTGGAGACTCGGCGGGCACCCTTCAGCGCCCCCCCCAACTCGCGAGGAAGCCTTGTTTTTGAGGCTTCGGAGCGGAACGGGGGAGAGGCGCGGTGCTGTGAGTTGACTGCTGCTTTCGCGGAGCGAAGCCGTGTTGCCGTTGCTAGAGAGCGCTGATTTCTTCCTGGAACATTCGGATTAAAAGACTAACCGTGAGTAGGTGGAATTGGTCTTAAAAGACTACGAATTGGACTAAATCTTTAAAGGGAAAAGACTTTCAATTGGAACAAAAATAAGGACTGAATTGGCTACCGCGGCGGGGGGTGAATACAGGAAGTCCGCTTCCCGTCTTGTAAATAGTGTAAAGCATAGAGACTTTGAGCTAAACGTTGAAATTTGACTTGAAAAGAGCTGTTTTCCGACCTGAGAACTCTTTTTGAATCTACCCTTCTGAAAATAGGAAAGGAAGGGGCTTGTTTTTTCTGGACTGCGTAAAGTTGTTTAAAGAGCAATCTGCCAGTGAGACGTCTCAGCTGTTAAAAGCTGTCAAAGAGAACTGCCGACAGAAAGGTGGATATATTGTGGCCAGCTTCGCTGGTAAAATAATTGGAAGGCTACATTTTGGAACTGTTTCTTCCTCTTCGTCTACACTTTGTTTTTGTTTTTTCTTTCTTGTTACTTCAAAAGGGAAAGTGACTGCTTTGGACTGTTGTAACAGTGTCCACCTAGGGGGACTTTCTGAAATTGCAACAAGGGAATTTTCCACTGGTAAACAGGAACAGCATATCTGAGAACGGCCTTGACTCTCACATTGTTATGGCAGATGGCAGAGAGAAATTAGACGCATCAGTTTTGAGGTCTGGGAAACCTTGGGGGCATCGAAGGCAATCATCTGCTGGCTTGCCTACGACAGCAACACAAGTTAAGTCCAGTGGAATGGCAGAAGAAGTTCTAGCCAGTGCTCTGGCCAGGATTAATGAAACTTTATTACAACTTAGTACAAAGGTTGATGAGACGAATAAAAAGGTTGAAGAAACGAATAAGAAAGTTGATACTGCAAATAAAAAAATTGATTTAAATACAGAAACATTAGACAACTTGGGGAAAAAGGTAAACAGCAACACAGAATCCATTCAGAGACTATTGCAGGAGTCGAAGTTTATACAGGAAAAAACTGCTGCTGTGGAATTCAAAGTAGGGCAGCTGGAAACTGAAAAGGTACCTGGCCTACAGAAAGAGATTGCAGATCATAAGTTGACGCTGTCTATGATTGAACTCAGAGAGAAACAAACCAATCTAAGAATTAGAGCTGTTCCTGAGCTGGAGACGGGCACCTTGATATACTTTCTGACACAAGAATTTGCGGAATTTTGGAAATCGGATTTGAAACAAGAAGATTTTAAGATTGTGAGGGCCTTCAGATTGGGAAAAGGAGGAAAAAATATCAAAATAAGGGATTGTTTGATTACCCTCCGATCTAAAGAAGAGAGGGATAAAATTTTAGGTTTGCACTACGAGAAACCTTTGACAATTCTGCAATCAAAAGTGGAAATTTTTCAAGACATACCGAAACATCTTTTGGATTTAAGACAAGACTTTGGAGACTTGGTGGCCCTGTTGAGAAAAAGCAAGTTCCTTTTCAGGTGGGAATTCCCTCAAGGCCTATCTTTTAGTTTCAAAGGAAGAAAGAGAAAGATAAGATCAGTGGAGGAAAAAAATAAGTTCCTGAGCACATACGAAGAAGATCTACAGAAAGGACTGGGAAAAGAGCCTGCCGTACCGGATAAGAGTCTACAAAAAAAAGCGAAACCAACGCCATCGACAGACATAGATAAACTCTTGGGGGCTGTTGGGGGAGAAGGAGAGTAAGCACAAAATGACACTGCAAGTATTAAGTTGGAACATTAATGGTTTGAACTCCCGGGAAAAAAGGGGGAGAGTATTTCATATATTAAAAAAAGAACATTTGGACTTGATTTGTTTACAAGAAACGCATGTGACAAGGCTACATCGGAAAATTTTGATCAACAAAAGACTAGGAGAAGAATTTATTTCATCGGACAATGTGAAAAAAAGAGGAGTAGTACTCTATGCAAAGGAAAGCCTGTCACCAAAATTTTTATTCAAAGATGACCAAGGAAGATATATTGCAATTGAAATTCAGCTTCACGGTCAGAAGTTTTTGACATTAGGTATTTATGCGCCAAATGAGGGAAAATCAGAATTTTTCAAAAAACTGCATGAAATCCTATTGGACTATCTGGACTACAATATAATTTTGATGGGAGATATGAATGGAGTAGTGTCTACAAACATGGATAAAGCCCAAAGACAATCGGCGACGAAAGACGGCAGACTACCAAAGACATTATTTGAAATGACTGATAATATGGACCTTGTAGATATTTGGAGAACAAAGAACCCCTTGGAAAGAGAAGGAACCTTCTTCTCTGAAGCAAAAATGACATGGACAAGAATAGACCAAATTTGGATAACTAGGGGACTGGCCCCGAAGATTAAAAAAGCGGTAATTTGTCCTAAAATTTGCTCTGATCACAACCCAGTAAAGATGGAAATGACATTAACGCCAATTGGAGCTTTTAGATGGAGGATGAATGACTCCTTGCTTAGGAATGAGGAAATTATCAAAAAGGCCCCGAAAAACTTGAGAGACTACTTCGAGATAAGCATGAACACTACGACTGAGAAAAGAGTGATTTGGGATGCAAGTAAAGCAGTTATGAGAGGGTTCTTAATACAACAAAATGCAATTAGGAAAAGACTCCAAAATGAGAAGAGGGAAAAAATTTTGGAGAAAATAAAGGACGGAGAAAAGAGACTGAGGATAAAACCGAATTCACAGGAGATTTTAAAAGAGATAAAGTTATATCAAGTACAATACATGAAACTGACAAATCAGGAAATAGAATGGAAGATCAAACAGATGAGACAAAGGACATTTGAATCAGCGAATAAGTGTGGGAAATTGTTGGCATGGCAAATGAAAAAAAGACAAAAGCTTAACACTATTACGAACTTAGTGGTAGAAGGAAAGAGTATACAGAACCCTGTGGAGATTAGAAAGTGTTTTCAGAAGTATTTTAAACAGTTATACACGCAGGAGACTCAGAAAGAAATGGACATTGATCGGTTTTGAGAACAAATGGACTACAAAAAATCTCTCAAGAAAGTAAATCGATGTTAAATTCTATAATAACTGACCAAGAGGTGGAAGGAGCCATTCAGGATATGAAATTGGGCAAATCTCCAGGGCCAGATGGTTTGACTGCAAAATATTATAAATCTTTGAAAGAATGGTTAATGCACCCTCTGAAAGAAGTTTGCAATGAAATACTACGGGGAGGAAAGGCACCCGAGTCGTGGAAAGAAGCTTATATTACACTCATACCGAAATCAGAAGTGGAAAAGACACAGCTTAAGAACTACCGTCCCATATCCCTACTTAATGTGGATTACAAAATTTTTGCGGAAATTATGGCTAAAAGATTAAAAAACGTATTGGTGAAAGAAATCCATAAAGACCAAGCAGGCTTTCTCCCGGGGAGGCATTTGTCAGATAATACGAGGAACATAATTAACATTTTAGAAAAATTACAAGTTAATATTAATACTAAAGCGGTTCTAATATTTGTGGATGCGGAGAAAGCCTTTGATAATATTTCTTGGAGTTTTATGAAGAAAAATTTACAGGGAATGGGGGTAGGCCAAAGTTTTGAAAACGGTATAGGTGCAATATATTCGGAACAAAAAGCTAAGTTGATCGTAAATAACGTAGTTACAGAGGAGTTTAAGATTGAGAAAGAAACAAGACAGGGTTGCCCAATCTCCCCATTGCTTTTTATATCGGTCCTGGAGGTCCTGCTTAATATGATCAGGAAAGACCAATTGGTTAAAGGTATACAACTCGGAGCTAAACAGTATAAATTGAAAGCTTTTGCTGATGATTTGGTTTTGACACTACAGGAGCCAGAATCCAGCACAAAAAGAGTATTGCAATTAATCCAAGAATTTGGTCAAGTAGCAGGTTTTAAATTGAATAAGGTGAAAACTAAGGTGTTAGAGAAAAATCTTACAGAGATTGAGAAAGAGAGGTTTCAGAAGGAGATAGGATTAACATTGGTTAAGAAAGTGAAATATCTAGGGGTTCACATGACTGCTAAAAATGTGAATTTATTTAAAGATAATTATGAAAAATGTTGGACAGAAGTGAAGAAGGATTTGGAAATATGGTCAAAATTGAAGTTATCATTGTTGGGCCGAATTGCTGCGATAAAGATGAATGTACTGCCTAGGATGTTGTTTTTGTTTCAAACATTGCAAATCTTGGACAAGATGGACTGTTTCAAGAAATGGCAGAGAGATATTTCGAGATTTGTCTGGCAGGGCAAGAAGCCAAGAATAAAATTTAAGATTTTAACTGATGCTAAAGAAAGAGGTGGATTTGCCCTGCCAGACCTTAAACTTTATTATGAATCAGCCGCATTTTGCTGGCTGAAAGATTGGCTGCTTCTTGAAAACACGGACATTTTGGATTTAGAAGGTTTTGATAATGTTTTTGGATGGCATGCATATTTATGGTATGATAAGTTTAAAGCACATAAGGCCTTTAAGAACCATATTGTCAGGAAAGCATTGTTTAATGTCTGGGTGAGATACAAGGATTTGTTGGAAAGTAAAACACCAAGGTGGTTGTCACCAATGGAGGCTAAGGCTCTGAAAAAAACTAATATGGAGACAAACTGGCCAAAATATTGTGAAATTCTAGAACAAGATGGAGATAAACTAAAGCTGCAGAGTTTTGACAAACTAAAAACTAAAGTTCGAGACTGGCTTCATTACTATCAAATAAGGGAGGCTTTTAATTTAGATAAAAGATTGGTTTCCAGGAGGAAAAATCAAAATTGGAAACAGAATTGTTAGATCCTAAAACTAAGAATTTGTCAAGAATGTATAACTTGCTGTTGAAATGGAATACACAGGATGAAACGGTTAAATCTGTTATGATTAAATGGGCACAAGATTTTGGACATAACATTATGTTTGCTGACTGGGAACAGTTACGGACCACAGGTTTGAAATTTACGGCTTGCAATGCCTTAAGAGAAAATATAATGAAAATGATTTACAGGTGGTACTTAACCCCAGTCAAGCTAGCAAAAATCTATCATTTGCCAGATAGTAAATGTTGGAAATGTAAAGAGACTGAGGGTACATTTTTTCACCTTTGGTGGACATGCCCAAGGATCAAGGCTTTCTGGGAAATGATATATAATGAATTGAAAAAGGTATTTAAATATACCTTTCTGAAGAAACCAGAGGCCTTTCTTCTGGGCATGGTCGGCCAATTGGTGCGAAGGGAGGATAGAACTTTCTTTATGTATGCTACAGCAGCAGCAAGAATACTCATTGGGAAGTACTGGAAGACACAAGAATTGCCTACCCGAGAAGAATGGCAGATGAAAGTGATGGACTACATGGAACTGGCTGAGATGACCGGCAGAATTCGAGACCAGGGAGAAGGGTCGATGGAAGAAGATTGGAAAAAATTCAAAATATACCTTCAAAAATACTGCAATATAAAAGAATGTTAGAAAGAGGTTGGAAAAAGAATATTAGGTCGTTCTGGTAGATATGATATAATGGACTAAGCAAAAATGAGTTGTTGAAATTGATGAAATGGAGGAGGTTTAATTACATTATTTTAATTTTAAAATACGTAAATGAAAATAAGGTTAGAAGGAATTGCTGGAAATACGATCTGAACTAGAATACAAAATTGGGAGGTGAGAGGAGGTCATGGAAATAAGTAAAGGGAAAAAGGCTAAGTAAAGGTTTAATCTGTTTTTGTTTTATTTTAACTTAATGTATTTTTATATCTTTTGTTAAGTCTTCTTTTTTATTCTATTTTATTGTTCTTTTTTATTTGTTCATTCTACGCTTTGTTACGGTTAAAGTTTTCTTTGTATTTTGTATGGTTTTTCTTTTTCTTTTTTGTAACTTTAAATTTGGAATAAATATCATTTATTAAAAAAAAACACACAAAAAAAAACAAAGAATACGCTTGTCTCACAAAAGTGTCCGCTTAAAACATTTTTCTTTGGGCAACCCTATCCAGATAGGCAAATGTTGACGAGTTTTGACCTCTCAATGCTAATTTTAGTTATTTTTTAATGCTTTAAACTGTTTTTATTATTTTACTATTTCCTGTAAATCAATAAGAGTTTTTACCACAATCGAGCAGGATATACATTTTTTTAGTTAAACAGAGAACATGAGTGGCAACCCCAAAAGGAGAAAAACACCAAAGGCAGCAATCAGGAATGTGGAATTAAGAATTTAATAGGGATACGCTTGAATTAAAAAAGGTATTTAAGTATACCTTCCCCAAGAAACCAGAGGCCTTTCTCCTGGGCATAGTGGGCCAAATGGTGTTAAAAAAGGATAGAACTTTCTTTATGTATGCAACAACAGCAGCAAGAATACTCATCGCAAAGTATTGGAAGACACAAGAACTTCCCACGCTGGAGGAATGGCAGATGAAACTTACGGACTATATGGAATTGGCGGAAATGACTGGCAGAATCCGTGACCAGGGAGAAGAGTCGATGGAGGAAGACTGGAAGAAATTCAAAGACTATCTTCAGAAACACTGCAAAATTAAGGAATGTTAGAGTGATGTTGGATTGAAAATAAGTGGTTTCCAGCTGTACAGGTTAAAGATAAGGATAGATTAAGATTAAAGATTAAGATTAAAGATGTTTAAAGAAATGGAAATTTGATAATAAAAGGGAAAAATTGAAAGCTATATGACATTAAGAGTAAGGATTAGGTTTAAAAAAGTTGAAGTTATATATTTTAATATTTTATTAAATTAAAGATTGGGATTAAAAAAGTGGAAAAGAAACTGCTGGATAAATAATGTGGATTGGAATACAAAAGAGGAGGTATGAGGAAGTCCAGAAAATAAGTAATTTAAAATTGGAAATGGAAAGAGAGTTTGTTTTTAATTGTTATGTTTTGTGTTTTTATTGTTATTGTTCTTTGTGTGTTGTTTTTCTTTTTTCTTTGTTTAAAACCTTAATAAAAATTATTTAAAAAAAAAAAAAAAGAATTTAATAGGGATAAATCCTTGAATAGTATGCAGAGCCAGTGGACTGGTGGGCTGAGGGAGCAGGAATATTCCGAGGAAGGGCAATTCATGTCTAGGAGCCCCAGAAGCCAGGAAGAGGCTCCAACATTTTTGAAATGTTTTTTTGGGGGGAGGGAGACTATTCAAGGGGAATAGGCTGTAGGGTGGGGGCCCCCACTTCTTTTTCAGGAGTTGTTTATGCCCCTCGTGCACAAGGGGCTGTACAGAAACGGCACAGAGAAGCCCCCTGCATAATTTACGAAACCCACATTTTCGACAGGCAGCAGGAAAGTGTTTTCTTTTAGGGGGAGTTACAATTGTAAAGCAGAAGAACCTGATGGTGAATGATGATAGTGAAAGGGAACTCCTGAACAAAACAACACTGGGAATTGCGGGTGGGGACCCCTTATTCAGACGTTACCCCCGCAATGAAGGCTCTACACGCGTCCAGCTCCCACCCCCAGGCTGGTCTCCAGAGTTTTTGGCTGAGTTTTCAGAGCGGCTGAGGGTTAGAAGAGGAAAAGTGAAAAATAGAAGAGGAAAGACTCTGTATCTGTATCTCTCTCTCAGACACACAAAACACAAACCAGAGTCAACACGAAACTGCGGGGGGGGGGGGCGAGACAGGCGACTCACTTTCCCCGCCATTAATCCTGCCAACACCTTCCAGCTTTGTTTTGTTCTTTGCTTGAGCCCCGAGCCAAGGAGTGAAGCGGCCCCTGCCCCGGACGGCATACAAAACAAGCCCCAAGTCTGGGAAACAGATGGTTGGGAAGGGATTATTTTCTCCCCTCGCCCCAGAGCAGAGTCTTTACCTGCGCAGTCCAGGAGCAGCAGCAGGTGGGCAGCCGCCCCCAGGATCAGGGGGAGCCAGCGGAGGAGGAGGACCCCCATCTCCCCCCAAAACGAAGCGCCCTTTTCCTCCTCCTCTTACTCCAGCAACGTCCTCCGACTCTGAGAGCCGCTCTCTGCCCCGCCTGCGGAACCAGCAGCAGGAGCCGGGATTGGCCAAGGGGAAAATATTCCACCAATCGGAAATATGCGCGCAAATGGCGGCATCGGTCGCCGGGCAGAACTCGAGGCACAAGTGGCGAGCGAGGCTGAAGAGGGAACGAGGAAGTTCTTGCAGCTCCTCGCTGGGAATCGCCGCCTGCCTCCCTCCCTCCCTCCCTCTCAGCTCTTCCTGTCCTGCCCTGCAGGGAGGGCGGAGGGGGGTGGCCAGGGGAGGACCCCAGGTTCAGGGGAGTTTGGAGGGTGGGTCCAAGAGAACACCTTCCCTGGAGAGGCGCAAGAAGGTGAAGCCTTGGCTCAGTGGAAGAGAAGCTGCTTGGGAGACCCCAGGTTCCCCCAGGTTCAATCCCCGCATCTCCAGGGGGGTCTGGGAATCCCCTCCTCTGGAACTGGGGAGGGGGGCTGTGAGATCCCCAGGGAGATGGACTCCAGGGCTGAGTCTGTAAAGCTGTCAGTCAAGCCCAACATTCCCAGAGGACTAACTGCCTCTATGTGGCAGTTGGTCTGTTGGTGGGTTGCTGCTGGGAGTGTTGACTGGTAACTTCTGGGATGCAGAGAGGTAGGAAGGTCAGGTGGTACCCAGTGAGGAAAATTTCATGTCACCCCTCCCCCGACATTGATTTTTTTTTTTAATTGCCTACAAAAATGGTTTTACATTATTTAATATTTTCTTACAAAGGAATGTGGATGCTGGGCCTCTGATAACAAGTAGGCGACTATGGACAGATACTTAAATCTACAGGATGGATTGTGTTTTGGCTTGTGTTATTTTATTTATATTTATTGTTTATTTATTTAATAAAAATTATTTTTTAAAACCTACAAAGTGGTTTACCAAAACAAAACATCACAGCAGTAAAATCAATAAAAATTAACAGCCCTACTTGAAAACATACAAAAGCTAAAATATTAAGATTAAAATTACTTCAACTTCCTAAGCATCTAGGTATGCTTGCCTAAAGAAGAATGCTTTTAGCAGGTGCCCGAAAAGAGTCTAGCAAAGGCACGTGCTTTGTTGCAATAGGCAGGGAGTTCCAAAGTGCAGGTGCTGTCACAGTAAACAATGCACTACAGATATTATGAGGAACCTGTAGTAGTGCTTGAAACTACTAAAGGGGAGGTTTTATTTATTGTGATTTCACCATGCTCTGTATTTTCTGAAAAGAAAAACATTTATTTAAAAAACAGGACTGTTTAGCAGCCAAATCCCTGTATAGCCAAATCCCTGGGGCAATGCAGGAATCTCAACTAGACCATCCCTGACCAATGGCCATCCGTCTTCTATTTTTCCCCTCAACCAGGACACACAACAACAGAGACTGGAGGTGGGGGGAAAGATAAATTTTGACAATGGCGCAGATTTGTCAGGCATGCGCAGGAACAGCTTGAAGACTTTACACAGAGAGGAACCCCACACGGGTTTCCCCGCATGTGACGTAACAGGCAGGGAGCCAGCTCAGATAGAAAGACATTGGGGGAGGGGAGGACAAAAGAGTACCAGAGTCTGCCCATTTTATCCTCTTTGGGATGGCGACCCTGCTCCACTGAGTTGAAATTTCAGCCTTCACAACACAGGAAAACAGCCAAGTAAACAGCTATTTTCATGGAGGAGGGTCAATATATTGACTGATATGCGTAGTTTTTTATGAACTGCCCTAGTAGGGCAGTAATCGTTCCTTGATTATTTGTCACCCCCCTCCATGATGGAACCTGGGGTGACCCACCCCCCCTTCCTACGCCCTTGCTCAAATGCAGTCTTCTCATGATTCACTACTCTCTAGTATATAGTTTATCTGTTAAGTAACTAAAGCCTGCCTTCAGGAACAACTCTGTAAACTGAATGAATCTGAAAGTAAAGTAGTTTCTGTTAATATGATTCAGATGCATGTGTGTTTTGTTTAGAGGGACAGAAGGGATTATCAACCAGGAAGGTATAAATATTGATAGGACTCAAACGAGTTAGCAATCTGCTTGTTGCTGCATAAACTCAAACAGGGGATCGTTTAAACTCTGCTAAATTATATAAATGTTCCCACAGTCAGTGCAAGTAAGCCTCCTGTGTCCTTTTTTTAAAAAAGCCCTTACATGTCTTAAACGATGGCTCCCTTCTTCCTCCACTACCAGAGGCAGTAAATGCATTAGCATCCCACTCGCTGGGTGTCCCTCCCGTCTTCCTTGCATGCTTCCTTACTGGGGCATCTGGTTGGCCACTGGGAGACCACCATGCTGGACTCAATGGGCCCCTTTGGGGTGACCCAGCAGCCCATTTCTTCTCCTGTGTCCTTCTATCTAGTGACAGGGGGTTCCAGCAGTTAACTGTGTGCCTTGTAATAAATGCTTAGTTTTGCAACTAGGGCTGAACCTCAGGGTTGAAGTCAAAACAGAGAGAGGGAGAGAGCGTATGACCACCCAGAGAAGCGCAGCAGGTGCTGGGAGGCTGACAAACAGGTTTGGTTTTAGCACAGGGTCAGGCCAGAGCCCACCAGCTTGCCACAATTTCCTTTCCCCATGTGCTTTTTAAAAGGGCATTTTATATCTCCACATATCTCTGCTTCCTTCTCTAGTCATACTGGCCCCAACATGAGTTTCTCTCCCCCTGCCTGGGACCCTCTTAAGTCTGCAGGCCCTGGGTGTTGGGGTCAGGGAGGCCCCCTTTGCACAGCCAGCAAGACCCAGCGGCTGCCAAACCTCTTCTGGAAGGCCCTGAGCCAAGGCTGGGTGCTTGGCCCAGAGAGTGCTTGGCCCACATCCCACTTCCAGAAGCCTGAACGTTTGAAACATGAGCTAAGCATGGGACACACGCAGAAGCTACTGCCTTTTCCAAGAAATCAGGAAAGAAACAAGTAGTGGCCGCTCCTTGCCCAGGTACAAGGAAGCTTTGGATTTAAGGGGGGGCGGGCTGTGAAGTCGGAAGGTAAAGAATTATTTTGGAGATTTTCCTGAGCTGCATGATCTCTATCATCCTTATTTCCCCTTGTCTGGTGCCAAAATATTGTTGTGAGTTTGGGGGTTGGTCTTAGTCTGCAGGATGCCTGAGTCCCTTCTAATTCCTGGGGTGCTGGATCCAGCCAGGGTTGAAATCTAATGGAGGGATCCATTGCTGAACTTTCTCGGTGGGATGATGGCCATAGATGTCACCTAAGTACCCTCACTGGTATAACAAAATAAGTTGCTCTCACCCCCCAAACTGCCTGGTAGTTAGAAAGTTAAAAAGTTTGTGTGTGAGCTGAGAAGAGCTGTGAGAAGAGGCTGCAGGTGGAGAAGCTGTTTCAGTGCCAGGCTTGATTTCTGTTGGATGCCAAGGCGCTGACTCTGGGAGAAGCAAGATCTCCTGGGGTGGGAATACTGTGAGCCCCTCCATCGAAGGTGCATGTGGTCTATAGGTGCAAATAAACCCCACACCCTAAAGACACCACCATCTCTTCCGTCCCTCCTTCTAAATAAACCCAACTCTCTGTGTAAATGCCTGGATCCCCTGAAAACATGCCCCTCTCGGAGACTGGGATGCTGTGTGACAGTATATTCAAAGCATATTTGGAGAAAACAGCCCCCATAATCATTTGCAGAAAGGCGGAGACTGTGGGGCAGCTGGACCAGCGACTAGAGTCAGTGATGGGCTGGATGAGGGTCAAGAAACTGAACCTCCCTCCCCAAACAAGGCGCAAATGCTGCTCAGGGAGATGCCATTCGCCCCGTCCTAAACATTGACAAACGTGACAAATAGCTCATATTTTGTTCTGTTGCTGCAGGATATCTCTTGGATGGCTTTAAAAGAGGTTGCGACTAATTCATGGAGAAGGAGGAGAGGGCTATGGATGCCCCCAGCCATGATGGCTCCGCTCTTGCTCCCCCTTTGGAGGCAGCCATGCTTCTGGATCCCCATTTCTGGAAGTCCCAGGAGGAGGGCAGAGTGGGGCTCTGGCGCTTAGGGCCTGTTTTGGGGCTTCCCAGAAGAGGAGGCATCATCCGGTCGGCCATTGTGAGGACGGGAGGCTGGACTCGAGGGGCCTTTGGCCGGATCCAGCCAGGCTCTTCTGGTTTCCCCTGTTAAAGTGACTCTCTCAGAGTCCTTCTCTTCTTGGCCATTATTCACAGCGACAATTCGGGGTTGCAAGATAAGCTCCTGTAAAGAAGGAGGCTGGCTGTTTTGAGGGGGGCTCTCCAGGACCCACTTTTGGGACTCAATGGGCTCAGTCACCTCAGGGACGTCTTAGGCTTCACTTTCTACCTGCTCCATCTAGTTCACCAACTGCAGGTTTTCCTGGACAGGGATAGTCTGCCCACAAGGATCCATATTCTGCTCACCTCCTGACAGGATTATTGTAATATAATATTATGAATATTATGTAATATAATATTATGAATATTATGAAAATGATATACAGGTGGTACATAACTCCAGTCAAGCTTGCAAAAATCTAATATTTGCCTGATAATAAATGTTGGAAATGTAAAGAAACTGAAGGTACATTTTTTCACCTTTGGTGGACGTGCCCAAAGATTAAGGCTTTCTGGGAGATGATATATAATAAATTAAAAAAGGTATTTAAATATACCTTCTTGAAGAAACCAGAGGCCTTTCTCCTGGGCATAGTCGGCCAAACGGTGTTAAAAAAGGATAGAACTTTCTTTATGTATGCTACAACAGCAGCAAGAATACTCATCGCAAAGTATTGGAAGACACAAGAGCTACCCACACTGGAGGAATGGCAGATGAAATTGATGGACTATATGGAATTGGCGGAAATGACTGGCAGAATCCGTGACCAGGGAGAAGAGTCGGTGGAGGAAGATTGGAAGAAATTCAAAGACTATCTTCAGAAACACTGCAAAATTAAGGAATGTTAGAGTGATGTTGGACTGAAAATAAGTGGTTTCCAGCTGCACAGGTTAAAGTTAAGGATAGATTAAGATTAAAGATTAAGATTAAAGAAGTTCAAAGAAATGGAAATTTGATTTTAAAAGGGAATACTTTAAAGTTACAGGATATTAAGACCAAGGATTAGGTTTAAAAAAGTTGAAGTTATATATTTTAACATTTTATTAAATTAAAGATTGGGATTAAAAAAGTGGAAAAGAAACTGCTGGATAAATAATGTGGATTGGAATACAAAAGAGGGAGGTATGAGGAAGTCCAGAAAATAAGTAACTTAAAATTGGAAATGGAAAAGAGAGTTTGTTATTAATTGTTTTGTGTTTATATTGTTAAGTTTTGTATTGTTTTTTGTGTGTGTTGTTTTTCTTTTTTGTTTGTTTAAAACCTTAATAAAAAATTATTATTAAAAAAAAAAAAAGAGAGAGAAAATAGTCGTCCTTCATGAACACTGGGGTGTGTTTGTGTTTGTTTCCTGCCCTCATGCTCTCTCTCTGCCACAAGACACCCTCACCCATTTCTCCACAGTCCCATTTGTATTTTCTCGCTTTCTCATTTTCTCTATCCTCCGCTGCCCCCTGCCGGCTGTTTTCTTACCCAGCTGAAATGGAAATCAGGTGATTTCTAAGAAACCCTTCAAGGGACCAGTTGAAGCAAGTCACAGGTTGCAAAAAAAAAGGTCAAGGTTCCCACATATATCAGAGATTTGCAATTGTTGAAAATGCAAGACAGTAAGAGCCGTGGCAAAATGATACCGGCAACTCCCCACATGCACGCAACATACTTGCACACAACCACAAGGCCTTGTGAGCAGACCCTCCCCAGAGCCCAAAGAGGATGTGTGCTCAGGCCAAGCCAGCCACTTCTTCCTTGGAGGGAGGGCAAAGTGCCTGGTGTGGTTTCTGTGCTTGATCACCATGTGCCAAAGTCAGGAAAGACCAAACACTGTCCTTCTGAAAGACGTTTCTGGGTAACGATCTCCCCGCCAGGCTGCAATCCTGGAGGGCTGTTGCGGCTTTTGGTTTGTCACTTGAGGGGAAAGGGGGCATTTCTCAGTGTTGTGGGGCTTCAGCTCTTTAAGGCAGGCCCCAAGCTACTTTTTGGACTGCGAGAGGTGGCCACTAGTCAGTTTGCAAAAATCCAGCCTGAGACTTTTAATAATCTTCAGGCTGCATGGCATGATGTCATTGAGCCAGTAAAGAGACGCACCAGCGAAACACCACCATTTTGTTTCCTCTTCTCCTCTGCATCCTGGCCTTCACAAAATGGCTTCCGTTCTTGGCAGGCAGGCAGGAGGGTGGGACCTGCCTTGCCCTGACCACTTTCCTCCCTTACACAGCCCGTTTGAGAGGAATTAATATACAGATTTGGCTGTTTGTCGGGTGATGCTTTTGTCCCCTCACAATGAGTGACTGGGGCTTGTTATGTATTGAAGTGCTCACCCTGGCCACCAGGGGTATTGTGTATATAGTTTTCACTCAGGTCCATGTCAGTTAATTTAGGCGGGAAACCCTGGGTTGTTGTTGTTACAAAGTGACAGCCGGCTGCCTATAAAAGCAGGCCGGCTGAGCTGTTCAGTTCAATTCAGTTCCAGCTTACTTATAAAGAACTACTTGGAGGAATCTCTGTGTCGTCTGCTTTGTCAACCCACTACTTAATAGGTCTCATCCACTCTTCCACTTCTCCCACCTCTTTCCACTGTAGAAACCGGCTGTTCACGGCTGAATCGGAGCAAACATCAATCAGGTCTTCTGCAGATTGATGTTTGCTCCGATTTAGCAGTAAAGAGTGGATTTTCGGGGGGGAAGCAGCAGGGCAAACAGAACATGGCTAGGGCCAGGGCTTTTTCCAGCCAGAACTCAGTTCCTTCACCTCTCAGGTGGGCACCTTTGCCATCCTAAGAGAATAAGGGCAGCCTTCATGGCGAGTTCCAGCACCCCTTTTTCTAGAAAAACAGCACTCTCCCCAGGGGCCCCAGAAGGCCTTCACACTCCAACAGCCCCAGGAAGCTTCAACCACCTCCCAGTGAGACCAGAATGTTCCCAGGGGCACCTGGTAGCAGCATTATGAAATGGATGTTGAGATTCCCCCTCCCTCCAAATGCTGGACCCCATCTGGCGATGGTCCTTCTGCTACAATGCCATGGTCCCCCTACTCACCCGGGAAACATACATCACCATTTCACCATTTCTTGCAGGGAATCCACTGGGGGCTGGCCATAGTCCGAGCCCGAGCACTTTCCACAAGAAATGAAATGCTGCTATGATTGATTGATTGATTGATTGATTGATTTCACAAAATGTATGTGCCGCCTGATGCCTTCTCAACTCACACATTTCAATCAAAGGGGAGGAGGAAAAGATATTCCAACGCTGAATTTATTGACATTGAAAACCATTCAGTCATTCTTTTTTTAAAAAAAACTTTTCAGAAATTGTAAATGAGCAACATAAATGCAACATGCAAGGAAAAGTCAAACGTTACCTGCATTTCACCAGCAGGCCCTAAAATTCAACAGTAAAATCCGTTTTTAAAAATCCCAGTCACAGTGGTCGTGTGGATCTCAAAAGGACATATCTGAGGTGCCAAAGGGCAGGGCAAAGAGGTGTGTTTTAGCAAACAATAGCAGCTGTAAAGTGAAGGTGTCAGACCCCCCTCTGTGCGCAGAGATGCCACCATTTAAGAGCTGCCACAGATAACACCCTTTCCTGGGCCACTGGCACCCCAAGCGTCTGTGAGCAGCAGAAGGTCTGGGGCAGCACCAAGATCCACACTGAATTGCAGTTGGGACAATCTGATTTTGGTGTGGCAGAACTTTTTTCAGGGGAGTGGGAAGGAGGAGGAAGGGGGCACCTTAAGAGACATGAAAACGGAAGGATTTGGGAGCAGGTGTGTGCTGGAGTAGGAGCTGGGAGACAAGGGTTCAAATCCCCCCTCGCCCATGAAGCTCACTGGGTGACGTTGGGCCAGTCACTGCCTCTCAGCCTAACCTACCTCACAGGGTTGTTGTGGAGAATACAATGAGTGGAGGAGAACCATTCAGGGTCATAGCTCAGGGCTGGAAACTTGCATGCAGACGACTCCAGGTTCAATCCACAGCATCTCCAGGTAGGACCAGGAGGGAACCTTTTATGAAATCCTGGACAGCCACTGCCAGTCAGTGCAGGCAGTCTAGAGCTAGATGGACCAATGGCTCTCTGACTCAGTGTAAGGCAACTTCCTGTCTTCCTCCTGTGATTCTCTCTCTCGGCAGAAGAAACACACTTCCAATCCCCACCCAATAATACATCACCCACATTGACTGGATAATGCCTTCAGCTGTATGAAATTAAAGCAGACGACCAAAAAGGTCTGCACTGCAGGGGCCTCTTCTCTGGCCTGCGGACTGGAGGCACGTCCATTTGCCCTAGGAGTTCCCGCTCTCCTCCTCTGGGTTCAGCACCAACGTCCCGCCTGGCCAGGGCACCTAGGAACAGAGTTGGCAAGGAGGCCGGATGGCTTCTTCCCTGCGTCTGGAGCCCCTCTCAGCAGCACACCTTTTAAAATGTGTTTGAGGGTGTTATTGGGTTGTGATTTTATCCTGTGAACCGCCCTGAGGCCTGCGGGTATAGGGCAACAGACAAATTTAATAAATGAACAACAATAAAAACAATGCCTGTCACGGGGCAACAAAAAACCCTTTTTCCCAATTCAGTCCACAGCTGAAAGCACCAAACCTCTTGGGCAACAGTAATTTGGCCCTTTTGCCTTGCAGTCTCCTTTTGCTGCTCCTTTGGTGGCAGGACGGCCAGTCTAAGGTCACTTAACTGAGTGTCTTGAGAGGCTGAAATGGTTTTTGACTCCTCAGAGGTCAAATTCCTGTCGCTTTGTTCTTTGTGTAGTCTGTTGTTTTCGCTGCAGAGGGGGAGATAGTTCTGGATGCCAACCACGTTCCCATCTCAAAGCAGCCCTGAGGAGCCAGTCAGCCTGGAGGCCTCTCCCCGCTGGGATGGGCAGGTTTGGAGGCAGGTATTTCATAAAGAGAAGTCATCTGAAGGTGACCTCCCTCCTCGTTGAAAATTCCTCATTTCTGTTTCTGTGCTGCCTTGAATGTCCACTGCAGGAGGAACAAGAGGAAGAAGCATGATGAAGCTGTCAGTATTGGGGCATTCGATGGCACAGAGGCCACCTGCTCCAATCCCTTGTCCTATCAAGCCACGCTAAAAATAAACATGCTCAGAGCAAAGACTTAAGGTTTCCAGAGGAGGCTCCAGCAACTCAGCCAAGCCTCTCCCTTTAGGGAAGGTGGGAAATACACAAGGACACTAAGCAGCCCGATCCGGAATATAAAGCCATTCTTGTTGTTCAGACCCTGGGTAGAACCCCTGGGCTTCTTGGGAGGAAGGGCGAGATATACATTGAATAATAAATAATAAAATCACCAAAAGAATGATCCCTTCCCCACGGAGGCCTGTTTTCAAGGTGGTCATCCATCCCCATCCATTCCCCACTTACCGACGGAGGAGCTGGCGGGCTCCTGGCTGCTTGCTGCAAAAAGGAGAAAATAAAGAGAGTGCGTATCACTGCCTGTGTCTTAGGGAGGGAGTTCTCATTTTCACTTGCACCTTTCCTCTCTGCTTGCACACATATACTCCTCCATGCCCCATTAAGTCCAAAAGTTAACATACGTCTCGGTCTACAACCTCCTAAGATTATAAATAAAATTATAATCATACAGGAATAATAATTTGGGGTGCTTTGCAACCATCAATGCAGTTCTCCAGGTGTTGCCTGGATATACTATTATCTGTGCGTGTACATGTGCAAATGATTGTGCAGTGCTCCAATGTCGCCTTAAGTTGTGTTTTCTGTGAAGTCCCATTGTACGTAGCAAAACTCACATACCAAGGCCAGCCCAATACGTTTTGACACCTGAGGCAGACCCCAAAATGGCCTCCCACTCCCCACCAGGGAAGAAGGGGTGAGGGGAGATTTATACCCAGGGCATAGGGAGAAAGATTGACATGGGGATCTGCTGCCCTGCTGAATCCTGCCACCTGAGGCAGTCGCCTCCCCTTGCCTCCTAGGTGGGCTGGCCCTGTCATACACCATTCTCCTGAAACGGAAGTGCCTTGTGTTTTTCACTGTTCCTAAATGTTTAGCTGTGGAACACTGTGGCTAAAAACACACACTCTCCTTTCATGCTCATTGGGTGGTTATGGGATGCTGGAGACAGAGAGCCTGCTCCAGAAATAGTGACGGGTCTTTGACCGCCTGTGACCTCTGACCTAGGGTTGCTATACGTATTGGAAATCCCAGACATGTCCTCTTTTGGGGGTCTACATGCCCATCCGGGGGGGATTTTTACACTTTTAAGCTAATGTCTGGGCTCTGTCTCTGTCAACTCTGCCTCTGTTTTTTGCGGGGCGAGATCAACAATCTTTTGGGCTATCGTGCAAATAAAAGCTCAACAACATGCCAACCCTACTGTGACCACTATATCACAGGCAGTTAGCACTTAGTGGCTGCTATAAAATTCCAGGGCAAACCTGATGACTGAACCCTTGCCCTCTCTGGCACCTGCGGTCACCAATATATTCATGCAACAACAAAAACAAACACTTTTCAAAGTAAAAAGGAGTCACTCACTTGACGTTCTTTCATAGGCTGCTTTCATTCGTACTTTCTCTACAGAAACCGAATAAGAAAATCAGATCGGGGAGAGGATGGAGCGTGAGAGGCGGGGATTCCAAATTTTGGCATTGCACAGGGCGCTGCTGAAATTTGACATTCCACTGCTGCCAGTTACATGTGGCCGGTGGGCAGAAACTGGCTAAGCAACCAGTGGAGTCTACTTTGCTGCTTCCTCTTCCCACCCCCCCATCACTTGCCCCAACAAGAGATTGCAAGCAGGGCTTTCATGGTACTCATGGCCTACAAGCAAGCAAGCAAGCAACAAACAAACAAACAAACAAACAAACAAACAAACAAACAAACAAACAAACAGGAAGGGACACTTGGGCAAGCAGGAAGCCCAACCCTGCTGCTTGCTTTCTCTCTCCCCACTTCAACAAAATATCATTTGGGGTGGAAGCGGGCAAACCCTTGTTGCTCCAGCAGCTGTTTTGCAATGCACAGCAAGAAGGAGCTCGTTCTTGACCAAGGGCTCCGACTGCCTCCGAGACTCCAAGGAAGACCTTCACAGGTGCCATACAAGTTTAATTCCTGTTCCCGGTCTCCATTGGCTGGCGAGGTATCTCTTTTTAATGTTATATGAATTGCTGAAAATGTGTTATGGTCCATTGCCCATGGCTGCCATTTTATTTCTGGTCCCACAGCGCTTTCATGACATTTAAAATGTCCCCACTGTTCGAGAAGGGTTGGAAACCCCAGTTGTAGATCGCTACCATCACAGATCTACAGGACACACGGCGACTCAATCGCCAACAATTGTACCGTAGGCTCAGTTATACAGCTGCAAATGAAACATTTTAAATGTGTTGTAAAGTGTAATATATTAATGTGACACCAGATGGTGACAGTGAGCTATGCCAAATTCAATGCCTTTTTCAAAACGGTTTTTAAAAAGCATTTTCACAGCATTTATATATGGTATCCATGTGCAAATTTGGGCTAGAGGTCAGGGATATTTGTGTCTCTGCCAATGTTGCTGGACTTTGGTCCCCAGAAGCCAGCATGGCTAACTGTCAGGGTTGATGAGAATTGTGGTCCATATCGGAGTCTGGAGGGCCACAAATTCTCCGTCGTTGGTCTAGATGACAGGTATTTGCCAGCCCCTTGGTATTTTGGAACCATTATTACATTATGTAACCCACATGAATCCTGCTTCCCAAACATATCAGAATAGGGGCCAGGAGGCAGTGGGGAAGAACAGTTAGGGTTGACCTTTGGGTACTTTCTGGTTGGTGTTCCACAGGTTATTTATGGGTGGGGGAAACTTGTGAGGGACCTGCCAGGAAGGCTTTGCCATCAGCACATTCTCAGTCAGGACAGACAAAACCCAGCAAATCCATCCAGTGTTTACTTACTGCGGACAAAGAAGATCACAGCAGCCACCACAACTACTACCACAGCCGCTGCCACCACGCCCCCAACGTTTCCCAGAGTGGCAAAAGAATGGCCTCCCTTAGCTAAAAGCAAACAAAAGATATTTCTGTTCAGACACTGGTGGCAGCTCCCAAACCCTCATCCAGACATCTCACAATCTTTTTTTTTGGAGGAGAGATTCTGCATACCAAATCTGAGACCTCCCATGCGCAAAGCAATGTGCTATGGCAGTTCTCTCAAAAATGCCCTCCCCCATAAGGCAACCCATCGCTCACCATTAGATGGCTTCAGAGATTAGGAGTGGCATTCAGCAACCTCATGGAACACCACATAATTATATCAATAAAACGGGTAAGATTTCTCACCTCCCAGAGAGGGTCCCTCTCCTTCCAAAGATTGCTCTTCAAACTCCGCTCTTTGAATACCACGCCCTCCCCACTTCCCTGAACCTAAATCACATCTCCTCCTTTGCACCCCCAAAGTATGGACGATGTCACATGGAGTATTAGCCTATGATAGCACTGGAGTCCCTCGTTCGACTCTGGGAGGACGTTCTCCTCCTAGAATCCAGCAAAGAAGGCCATCAAAGAGATTGGGTGGTCATCTGTCATGGATACTTTAGCTGAGATTCCTGCATTGCAGGGGGATGAATTCAATGACCCTTGAGGTCCTTTCCAACTCTATTGTGATTCTCTGACTCCTCCTCCTGCCCCTCTCCTGTCGTTTCTCACCAGGCTCCTCCCAGGCCAAGACCAGAGGCTGTGTTAGGCTGACATGCTCTATGTGGCAATAATAGCGGTTCCTGTCCTGGGGGTCCACGTCAATGCTGAGCCAGGCGTGGTAGGTCCCGTTGGAATTGGGAGCGACGTCCCTGCGGAAAGTGGCATGCTCCATGACCTTCCCGTCCATCCTCCAGGTGGTGTTAATCTCTCTGGGGTAGAAGCCGTAGGCCTGGCAGATGAGGGACTCCTGGCTGTCTGGAAGGGCCTGACACATCACCTTCCCCACTGGGAGCTCTGCCAAAAACAAAGGAACCTCTCCAGTAGCTGGTGCAATTCACGTGGTCATCCAGTGCCATCCTGACCTGAAATTCGATTACTGATGCCTTCAACATCCCCAAGAGATGACAAGGTCAGAAGAGAGAAATTATCGACTTACCTTGTGTTTCGTCAGACTTAAAAATCCCTGTCTTCCACAAATATGCTTAAGGTCTTTTTAGTGAATATCATCAATAGATGAACTGACCCATGGCTCAGACTGATTATGTCCCCATACCTGTTCCCATAGATGTTCCACTGTGAAACCTTTGTGCATTTTTAAAAGAAATTATTCAGACAAACCCCATGGGTCTCCCTGCTATGGGTCTGTGATACCCAAATCAATTTGAAGCCCCTGCGTGGTAGCTGGGGAGACTGAAAGTCCCCACTTCCCCACAGTTGTCTAAGCCCCCCCCCCCCTCAGTGTTCCCCAAAGCAATCTGAGACTGCGCCTGCATGAAGCTAACCTCTTCTCTGCCCTCTTCATGCCTCTCCTGGTTCTTTGAGACCAGGGAGGAGGGGAGCTGGTCACAGCAGGAGGGTGAGACTCCCTGGATTCTTCAGCAGCCTGCCTCGCTTCTGTCTCCCGGCCTCCCTCCTCTCCAGCCTCCGCTTCTGCCTCTGATTCTGGACTGCTCTCTGCCACAGACTCTCCCAGCTCACTAAGCCTTGTTACCCTTCACATTCTGACACTTCCCAGTCTTCTCCCTCTTCTCCCTTTGACCGTTCATCATTGTCCTACTACCACTCCCTGAGCTCTGACCCTTCTTCTCTTGAGGGTTCCTCGGCTGGTTCCTCCCACCAGTCCTCTGCATCCAGCCAGCCCATGACACCCACACACCCGAAACCCCTCAAATGTCTCATTTATTTTTACCAACCACACCCACGTTTTTATAGTTTTGACACACAGTCCGAAGACTGCTTCAGCTCTCTGAGTTGCTCATGGTTCTATCTGTCCCTCTGACCCAAAATTATCAGCCACCCCCTTCCAGGCAGATTTCTCTCTTTAAAAAAAAAAATAAAAAATCAACATCCACACACTGTAGCCTGAAGTGACCCACTCCCAGACTTCCTTCCTGCACAAAACAGAGTGTTGGTCTGAAATATGATGTGGGTGGGTGGAGAAATAAGTAGCGAAATCACCTCTCCACCCTCCAACAAGAAAGGAGATTCAGACTCAACATCAGGAATAACTTTCATAAAGATAAATTCAACAGTGTAAATAAGTTTTGATGGATGTAATATTGGAATACTGAATGGCTTAGTTCATGTAAAATATGCAGGGATTTACGGTATGTAAAATGAACCATGAAAAGAGAAGGAGGGCAGTCACTGATATTTTAAGGTTGTTTAAATGAATATTCTAAAATGTAAAACAGAAAAGTTTAATTATTTATATTAAATATAATATAATATAATATAATATAATATAATATAATATAATATAATATAATATATAATATAATATTATTATTTTTTAAATTTTTATTAAGTACAAAATAGAAAAAAAATACAAATATACAAAGAAATAAAGAAAATACATGTAACCAAAGGAAAATTAGAAAATATAAAGAATACAAATATTTTACCTCTTCACATGCATATAATTATTTACACCTCTATAAAGAGATGTTCACAAAAAAGAGAAAAAATGAAAGATGAAATATAAGAGAAAAAGAAAGGAAGAAAAAGTCAAGAATGAAGATTTTAAAAGTAGATAAGTATTCACTATACACAACCATTTCAAATCTGTATTTATGTTCAATTATGTATTTCCATCTTATCCATATCTATCTTAATTAAAATATTTTTAAAAGACTTCCACCGTTTGCCCCACGCGTTTTTAATAATCCATTCGCCATATCCTCTGTTCTTCATATTTTTCCTTTAAGCCTCCTTAATATCTCACTTTATATTTTTATGTTACTCACAAGATTATTCTAAACACAGCCAGATTTTGGTAGCAGAGTCCTGGTTTTGTAAGTAATCATTTAGACACTCCCACTGTTTCATGACCATAATTTTGGGTTTTCTCCTTATTAGATCTGTCAATTTAGCTTTATATATATATTATATATATATACACACAGTAGTACCTTCGTTCCCAAACAGAATGCGTTCTGGAAGTCTGTTTGACTCCTGGAACTGTTCATAAACGAAGGTGCGGCTTCCGATTGGCTGCCGGAGCTTCCTACAGCCAATCAGAAGTCGCGGAAGCTGCACCAGACATCTGGCTTCCCAAAATCGTTCAAAAATCGGAACACTCAACTCCGGTTTTTGATCATTCAGGAGCCGAAACGTATGAGTTTCAAGGCGTTCAGCAACCAAGGTATGACTGAATATTTTTTAAAAAGGAATAACTTTCCAACAGCAAGAGCTGTTCAACAGTGGAAGAGTCTCCCTCGGGAGGTGGTGGACTCTCCTTCCTTGGAGGATTCTAAGCAGAGGTTGGATGGCCCTCTGTGCTGGATGCTTTAGCTGAGATCCCTGCATTGCAGGGGGTTAGACTAGATGACCCTGGGGGTCCTTTCCAACTCTACAACTCCATAATTCTACCATTCGATGCATTAGCCCTCCTCCCCACTCCCATTCCCCACCCACCCATCTCACCTGTCCTCAGCAGAGTTTCATTCCCGTAGTCCAGGTATCTCTGCAGCCACTCAATGCATTCCTCCTCCAGGTAGGCCTTCCGGTACTGCTTCTTGGCCAACTCTGCATCCCACTTCCTCTTCATCTCTTGGGCCTCTCTGTCAGCTGCCGTCCAGGTGAGGGTCTCCTTCTCAAAAGTGAGGAAGTCCCTCCCGTCGTAGCCATACCGGTAATACCCTTCTTTGCGCCCGTCTGGGCTCAGTTCACAGCCGTACATGAGCTGCAGAGTGTGGAAGCCTGAAAGAGACCCCCAAGAGGTCAATTGGGGGGAGGGGCAACAGCACCAGAGCAAGATTTCTATCCCATGTTAAGCCCCACAAAGTTGTGGGGGGTTTTGCCTCAGGTTTGAGAAAATTCTGAGGAAACATTAGGAAGAACTTTCTGACAGGAAGAGCTATTTGAGAAGGTAGTGGAGTCTCCAGCATTGGAGGATTTCAAACAGAGGCTGGATGAGCACCTGTCAGTCTCTTTAGCTGCGATTCCTGTCTTGCAGGGGGTTGGACTAGAGGACCCTCGGGGTCATCTACAATTCTGCAATTCTATAAAAGCCCAAACCCAACAACAATAACTGTCTCATCATCCCCCCAATTCTCTCTCCAATAGATTCTCCCCAACTGTCGGAGGGGTGGGATTTGTCCTTCTATCAATCCTGAGCAGGACTCAATTAAAGACACAACCCTCGCTTTCCAGGTTTGGGTGAAGGGCAGTTTAGACATTCCCCACCCCCCAAAATGCTTTATATACCTGAAGGAGCGTCTCCACCCTCATCGTTCAGCCCGCACACTGAAGTCTACCTCCGAGGGCCTTCTGGCGGTTCCCTCCCTGCGAGAGTGAGGTTACAGGGAAACAGGCAGAGGGCCTTCTCGGTGGTGGTGCCTGCCCTGTGGAACGGCCTCCCATCAGATGTCAAGGAAATAAACAATATCAAACTTTTAGAAGACATCTGAAGGCAGCCCTGTTTAGGGAAGTTTTTAATGTTTGATGTTTTATCGTGTTTTTAATATTCTGTTGGGAGCCCCCCAGAGTGGCTGGGGAAACTCAGCCAGATGGGCAGGGCTATAGGTCGTTGTAGTTATTGTTAAAATGCTTCTTCAACATCTCCCCACCCACTCTTAACTTGCCCTTTAGGCCCACACTTGATAAATAAAAATCTGCACTCCCCACCCTGCAAAAGAAATAAGTGTGCATATATTTTTAAATTTTTGTACTTATTGTTAAAGCTCTGGGAGAAGGGGCAGAAATGGCTTCATGGCTGCCAAGAAAGTCAATCGCTCAGCACGCTACATAAATGGATGAGCCAATCAGCACTCTGCACACCCTCCCCCTCGGTGGAGCAGGGGCTCCCACTTTTAATTCATGCGAAAAATAGGTTTACATTTATGAAGAGTGGACCTGGAAGGCAGAGGCAATTCTGCTGCTGTGGGGTGTGTCCACCTCTCCATTTGTCCACTAGAGGGTGGGGGAAAATGTCTTGGCCCCACTCTGCTTCACTCCCCCCACGCCACCACACGGCTGGTACATGTTGTCAGCATCCCTCCGTCTCAAGAAAGAATGGAGTGTGCCTCCTGGGGTGAAGCCAAACCGCTGCATTAGAAGCACCAAAGAGACCTCACCAGGGTGCAAGTCTGGGCAGTGTGTCTGGAGGTTCTGGGCTGCTCATCTCCACTTTCAGGCTGAGGGACCTGGCGTTTGTTCACAGACAGCTTTCCAGGTCTTGGAATAATAATAATTTTTAAAATAATAATATTTTTAAAATTCATATCCCGTTCATCTGGCTGGGTTTCTCCAGCCACTCTGGGCAGCTTGCAACATATGTATAAAAAAACCCCATCAAACATTAAAAACAAAATATCCTATACAAGCAACAAACCAATAAATTAATAGAAACCGATAATAACAATAACAACAACAGTAAGGTAAAGGTAAAGGACCCCTGGCCATAAAGAAGGCTGATTGCCAAAGAATTGATGCTTTTGAATTATGGTGCTGGAGGAGACTCTTGAGAGTCCCATGGACTGCAAGAAGATCAAACCTCTCCATTCTGAAGGAAATCAGCCCTGAGTGCTCACTGGAAGGACAGATCCTGAAGCTGAGGCTCCAATACTTTGGCCACCTCATGAGAAGAGAAGACTCCCTGGAAAAGACCCTGATGTTGGGAAAGATAGAGGGCACAAGGAGAAGGGGACGACAGAGGACGAGATGGTTGGATAGTGCTCTCAAAGCGACCAGCATGAGTTTGACCAAACTGCGGGAGGCAGTGGAAGACAGGAGTGCCTGGCGTGCTCTGGTCCAGGGGGTCATGAAGAGTCGGACACGACTAAACGACTAAACAACAACAAAGGACCCCTGAAAGGTTAAGTCCAGTCAAAGGTGACTATGGGGCTGTAGCACTGATCTCCACTTTCAGGCTGAGGGACCTGGCGTTTGTTCACAGACAGCTTTCCAGGTCTTGTGGTGAGAATGACGGAAACCAGAGTTCACGAAAACGCTGTTTACCTTCCCAATGCAGCAGTCCTTATTTATCTACTCGCACTGGCATGCTTTCGAAGTGCTAGGTTGGCAGGAACTGGGACAGAGCAACGGGAGCTCACCACAGCGCCACCTGCATCCCTTAACAACAACAACAACAATAATAATAATAATACTATGTTAGGATATTTCCGTTCCACCTTAAAAGGGAGCAGGCTTTGTGAGTCAGAGTCTGCGTATTTCCTGTTCACAGGATGTTTATGTTTTCTGTTGCTTTCGTTTTCTCTCTGGTGTCGCAGACACTAAATCAGCAGGCAGTCATGTTTTCTGTGTTCTGATCATCGCTGAATAAACTTGTAAATAATGCTCTCCTGACTGCAACTTTTGGCTGTGCATTTATCTGCTGATAGAGCGTGCATGAGCTCTAGAATGTGGCAAAATATTTTCTAGAAACTCATGTCGCTGCGTGCCTACGGGAGGTGAGATGGATTGTCCGGCAGACGGCTTGGGGCCATGATGGACTTTATCTCCCTGGCAGTATCCCAACAACAGGTTTCGGGCCCAGATTCACAGCACTTACAGGAGAGTAAGACTGCGACAGACTGCTGAAAGGTATGTGGAGGAAAAGCGAAAGTAAGGCTTTTCTGTTTGCCGCGGCAAGAGCTTTGTTGTCCGGCTGGCAGATTAATGGATCTGGGAGCCGCGCCAAAGGCCTCAAGATTTATAGCTGCTAAGATAAGACGTCTTTGAAGGCATAAAGGCTCAAGGCTCAAGTAAAAACCTGGAATGGAGTTTTTCCAGGCTTCTGAGGCTGCTGAGTGCCCAAAGTTAAATCGGCACAACTATCAGACCTGGGCAAAATGGTGTGAGAGCTTGCTGCGTCAGTTTGGAGTGTGGCATACTGTGTCTGAAGCCCCTCCAGTTCCTCTGACAGATAGATGGAGGGCCGCTAATTCGAAGGCCGTTGACGTAATCGTCTTGTCCGTCTCTCTGGAGGAAATAAAAACGCTAGCTGGCAATCTGACTGCACGTAATATGTGGCATGCTTTGAAGATAGCCCATTTGCCAGTCATCCCAGCCCAGAGTTTGACTGCATCGGAGGTCCTGGCTGTTTCCCAGAATGCGAGTGAATGCAGGGATGCTGAGGGCACCGGTTGCAAGCTGCAGGGGAGCTGACTGTCACGTCATCCCAGGCAGCATTCCAGCCTCCAGGGGGGAGCCAAGGAGTCGGCAGCTGAGAACTCTGTTTCTCGTGGGAGCCAAGGTCATCGCCTTTGCAGAGGCCGGAAGGGCAAAGGTAAACAGAGGCAGACGCCTGCAGATGGCCAGAAGCAGAGGGAGGGTGAAGAGCCCACGCCAGAGGAAAACAAGGTTTTGTTTACTGGCACAGCTTCACCAAAGGCTAAAGGCAAGTCTGATGGCCAGGAGCAGGGGGGCAAGCTGCAAAAGCCCACGCCGGTGGAAAACAAGGTTTTGCTTGCTGCAAAGGCTGCTCCAAAAGCCAAGGCCAGGTTTGTTGTTGATTCAGGCTGTACCCGCCATATCTCAAAGGACCGCCACCTATTTATCTCCTTCAAACCTCAAGAAGGTGAGATCCACCTGGCTGATGGAAAAACGTTGCGAATCGCAGGTGAAGGGACCGTGAAACTGGCAAGTCTGCACACGACCATCAAAGATGTACTATATGTTCCAGGTGCTGCAGACAATTTGCTCAGTGTCCCACAGCTTACTGGGCGTGGTTTTGAGATTTCCTTCAAGAGGAGCGTCTGTGTCATCAGAAAAGGCAAAGAGGACATTTTGCATGCAAAGTTTATGGATGGCTTGTTCTGTATAACTTATGATGACATTGATGCTGTTGTGTCTAATGTTGATTCTTGTTGTGTTGCACAAACTAACAAAGTTCTTCATGCAGGATGCATTCATGATGCACACAGAAGATTTTGTCACATGTCTTGGTAGGCGCTGGCCAAGATGCCAGAGATGGTTGAGGTTTGAACATCAAACCCTGTAAGTTTCACATGAAATGTGTATCTTGTGCAGAGAACAAGGTGAAGGTTGCTCCAAAAGGCAAGGAGTCTAGCAGGCAGGCTTCCAAACCCTACCAGCTAGTGCACGCAGACCTGGTTGGTCCACTTGCGCCCTCTTTGGGTGGAGCAAGGTACTTCATGGTTCTAATTGATTCTTTTTCCAGGTACATTCATGTGTTTATGCTCGAGCAGAAATCGCAAGCGTTTCCCAAGTTCAAGGCATTCTGTGCTTGGTTGGAGAATGTTCACGGTAAACGCATTGGCTGTCTGTTTACTGATCGAGGCGGGAGTTCACTTCTCAGCAGTTTGAAGCTTTCCTGACTGAGAAGGGAATCCAGCATGACTTGTCAACGCCTAGATCGCCATGGATGAATGGGCTTGCGGAGCGAGCAAATCAAACGTTGCTGCAAGGAATGAAAACCTTGTTGCATGATGCCAATCTCCCTGATAAGTATTGGGGGGAGGCTCTGTCAAATTTTGCTTACACTTATAATCGCAGATTGTCATCACCTATTGGTTGTACCCCCTATGAGAAGATGTTTGGTAGAAACCCAACATCAAGCACATGAGAATCTTTGGTTCTGACATGTGGGTACACACCCACAGAGCAACAAGCTTGGGAAGCGTGGGGCACATGGTTTGTTCATGGGGTATGAAAAGGTGCATACAGGGTGTGGATGACCAACTCTAAGTCCATAAAGTTCTCAAAGAGTGTTGAGTAGAATCCTAAGTGGGTGGAAAAATTTGGGAATTTTGCAGAGTTACCGAGAGGTGGATGAAGGTGATGTCAAAGAAGCAGCTAAAGCTGAGGAAGCTGCTGAGGATGATGATGATGATGATGATGATGATCAGAGTTCGGATTCCAGTTCAGTGGGCGGCGCTGCTGCTGGTGTCAGTGACAGTGATGACACAGCAGACTACAAGAGCGCAAAGGCCTCAGTCAGACCGTCTGATGCGTCTGACAATGAACTGGAAGAACCACTGTTCACCATTGGTCACTTTTCTCCTAAGAAAGAGGAGATGAGTCCAGAAGACTTGCGTCTAGTACGCAGATCTGAGAGAGCCACAAAGGGCAGACCTCCAAAGAGATTTGCTGATGAGTTTGCTAAGACAGCAACTGCTGTTCTTAGTAGCTCAGAGAAGGTGTGGGAACCTTCAAGCTTCAAAGAGGTTCAGGAGTTAACCTCTAAAGATGCTGAGCCTTGGCTTAATGCCATGAAGGCTGAAGTTGATTCCTTGAATAGGAACCAAACTTGGGAACTGGTACCGGTAGTCCCAGGGATGAGACTGGTTGGCAGCAAATGGGTCTTCAAGGCCAAGACAGACCAGAATGGCAAGGTAGTCAGACACAAAGCCAGATTGGTTGCCAGAGGTTTCACAGGTACCAGGACAGGATTACCACGAGACCTACTCACCCACCGTCAAATATGAGAGCATTCGGCTGATGCTCAAGATAGCTGCAGAGGAGAAACTGCATGTTTCCCATCATGACATTAATACAGCTTTTTTGTACGGGATTTTGGAAGAGGAGCTGTATATGCTTCCACCTGACGGGATGCAGATACAGAAGGGAATGGTCTGTAAACTGCGGAAATCCTTATATGGTCTCAAGCAGAGTGCCAGGTGTTGGAACACAAAGCTCACTGAGACATTGCTTTCTCTAGGTTTTCACCAGGGCAAAGCTGATCCATGTGTGTTTGTCAAGGAGGAGGGGCAAAACAAACTGTATTGTTTATGTTTTGTTGATGATCTTCTGATGTTTTGGAAGAATCAGGCTTTCTACCAAAGCACCCTAGCTCAGCTGAAGGAGCACTTTGACATGAAGGATCTTGGTGAGGTATCCAACTATCTTTCTCTGCAGGTGGAGAGGGACCAAGCAGGTAATTTTCTGGTACACCAAACACAGAAAATTGCTGATGTATTAACCAGGTTGAATTTGGTTGATGCAAACCCAGCAGACACACCGATGGTAACAGGTTACCAGGTAGACAGTACTGCTGAAGCGTTTTCTGACACAACACTGTACAGATGCATTCTAGGCAAGTTGAATTTCATTGCTAGATGCTCAAGACCTGACATAGCTGTAAGCTGTAACCTGCTTAGCAGACATGCCAACAATCCTACTGTTCAGGATTGGAAAGCTCTGAGCGCATAGCCCGCTATTTGAAAGGGACTTTGCACTACAGGCTGAGGTTCACCAGTCAGAAGACTGGAGGTCTTGAAATCTTTGCAGATGCAAGTTTTGGAAGTGACACCACAGATGGTACAAGCACTTCTGGAGTATGCTACATGTACAACCACTGTCTGTTTGACTGGTTGTGCAAGAAGCAGGCGACAGTGAGCCTAAGTTCCTGTGAAGCAGAACTCAATGCTCTGTCATTTTCACTCATGGATTGTGAATGGTTGATGCAACTGTTTAAGGACATCGGAGTTTCTGTGAAATGTCCTGTACAAGTGTATCAAGACAATAGATCGTGTCTGGCTTTGCTGAACTCAGAGAGTTGCAAGCAAAGGACCAAGTACTTGCAGATTAAGCTTATACATCGTGCAAGAGAGTGTATTCAGAAAGGACTCATTCAGGTGTCCTACATGCCAGGAAATGAAATTCCTGCTGATCTGTTGTCTAAGGTTGTTAACAGAGAACAACTTAAGGTTCATGTACAAAGGTTGCAATTGGGTTGAACCACAGGTACTACAGGTTACACGGAAAGGGGAGGATGTTAGGATATTTCCGTTCCACCTTAAAAGGGAGCAGGCTTTGTGAGTCAGAGTCTGCGTATTTCCTGTTCACAGGATGTTTATGTTTTCTGTTGCTTTCGTTTTCTCTCTGGTGTCGCAGACACTAAATCAGCAGGCAGTCATGTTTTTCTGTGTTCTGATCAACGCTGAATAAACTTGTAAATAATGCTCTCCTGACTGCAACTTTTGGCTGTGCATTTATCTGCTGATAGAGCGTGCATGAGCTCTAGAATGTGGCAAAATATTTTCTAGAAACTCATGTCGCTGCTTGCCTACGGGAGGTGAGATGGATCGTCCGGCAGACGGCTTGGGGCCATGATGGACTTTATCTCCCTGGCAGTATCCCAACATACTAAACAAGGCACACATCCCCCTCAGCCTTACTGATGTGGTCCAAAGGAAAGCAGAGCAGGATATTTGGCACCAGCTTGGCTGCAGGTGTTGCCCGTAGGGGTCATGCAAGGCGCCATCCAACTGCCTTAGGGACTATGCTGTGGATGTGTGTATGGTTTACTCCGTAGCCTTTTCTCCTCCTGCAGCTATCCCACAAGGCAGTGGAGGTTTAGGATCAGGATTCTCCTTCTCCTAGATGGGCTCCCTTCCCAGGTGGATGAGCCCCATCTGCCCCTCACTTCCCTCTATGGCAGGGGTAGGCAACCTAAGGCCCGGGGGCCGGATGCGGCCCAATCGCCTGCTAAATCCAGCCTGCGGATGGTCCGGGAATCAGTGTGTTTTTACATGAGTAGAATGCATCCTTTTATTTCAAATGCATCTCTGGGTTATTTGTGGGGCCTGCCTGGTGTTTTCACATGAGTAGCATGTGTCCTTTTATTTAAAATGCATCTCTGGGTTATTTGTGGGGCCTGCCTGGTGTTTTCACATGAGTAGAATGCGTCCTTTTATTTCAAATGCATCTCTGGGTTATTTGTGGGGCATAGGAATTCTTTCTTTCTTTTTTTCAAAATATAGTCCGGCCCCCCACATGGTCTGAAGGGCAGTGCACCAGCCCACGGCTGAATAAGTTTGCTCTACGGCATGTGCAAAAAAACCCTTTTTGACCGTTGGACCCACTCTCGGTCTTATCTGCTCAACCCACCAGAGCCTGTCTTCACATACACTTCCCTAACGCACCGAGGTTTTGAGACCCATCGGCTCCCCTCACCTGATTCCCAGGATTGTGGCTGCTGTCACAGGTTGAAAGCTTCTAGGAGCCCCAGGTGAGAGCCGAGTGCAGGTGGGGACCAAAGGAAAGAGCCTGCCTGGCAGGGAGAAAGAAGCTTATCCCCGTTTAGGAATCACTATTCTCCCTCTCAAGTCACCATCTCCTGCCCCTGGAAGGGACAAGCCTGGCAGAGAGAGAGAGAGACTGAGCTCCCTTCCTGCCTGCCACTCACCTTTGCTCTGGTTGTATTGATTCTGTAGGTCCAGCAGGTACTGGCTAAATTTCATATCCAGCTTGAGGAATTCCTGGGTGCTCTTTTTCCAGTACTGAGCATTGTCCTTCTCTGCTTTCAACATCCAGGAAACTTGGGGCACAGCCTTCTCGGTTTCGCTGTCATACTTAACAATGGGCTGGTGGTCCACGTACCCCCCAGCAATGAACGGGGGCAGCCCCTGACTGGACCCTGACACCCCCGTGCATAAGTAGTGCAAGGAGTGACTGGAGCAGCCTAGAAAGGACACAGAGAGGGGGCGGGGGCAAAGCTTCATATATTTATTTACCAAATCCTTATTTCCTTATGAATAGCCTTTGGACTATAATGTAACTTAAGTAGAAAACTATATTTAGAAATATTTTTCCTGGAAAAGCATTTTATTTTTAAAATCCAATTAAAATAAAAGAAATCCAACTTAATTTTTTAAAAATCTGATTAAAAAAAAATCATTAACATTTATCCACCCTGGTTTGTAGTAACTAATACCTAATAACCAATATTCTAATAGCTTCAGTGAGTTCATCGATAGAGATCTCAAAGTATTCCCAACGAAGCCTGAGGCATTTATATTTTCTTGCAACTTGTTCCATCAGCACACGATTTTTAAAAGCCAAGGTTTCAACAAAATGATCACAATTTTGTCTACCCTCTCCGACTGGGATCATAGCAGCGAGTTTACAACAATGCAGGCTAACGTCCCAATATTGAGTCAGCTAATCAGCGAGAGGCGGGGATCAGATTTTATTCCATTGTAAGCAATGATTATATGGGCTGCACTCGGTCAGCAAAGGACCATCATCTCCCCATCACTTGTCCCTGAGGCATCTTTCATAGGCTAAGCAAAAAAGCTAATGAGCCCAGGGGGAGGGTTTGTCCTCTGCTGAGTTCAATGTCTTTAGTAACACCAACCCAGAGCTTCCTTATAAAAATATTTATTTATTTATTTATTTATTTACAATGATTTTTTTTTTATTATAAGATATTTATTAAGATTTTCAAAGTTTTACAAAACACACAAAAGAAAAAACAAAAAAGACAAAGAAAAAATACAAAGTAAAAATATTTAAAAACAATTCTTTCCTTCCATTACTTGACCTTCATTTGCTTATTTCCAGGACCTCCTCACGCCTTCCTTTTTTTGTAATTCCAGTTCAGTTATTTTGATCAGCAAATCCCTCCCCTCTTTTAGTATCCTAATCATTAGTCATAAAAATATTGTAATTTTAGATTTTTACATATTACATAATAAACCCTTTTTTCTTTTTCCCTTATAACCTTTCAGCTAAAGACCACTTAGTTTCTATCCAACATCATTCTAACATTCATTAATTTTACAATATTTCTGTAGATAATCTTTAAACTTTTTCCAATCTTCCTCCATCGACTCTTCTCCCTGGTCTCGGATTCTGCCAGTCATTTCCGCCAATTCCATATAGTCCATCACCTTCATCTGCCATTCTTCCAAGGTGGGTAGGTCTTGTGTCTTCCAATACTTTGCAATGAGAATTCTTGCCGCTGTTGTAGCATACATAAAGAAAATTCTATCCTTCTTTGGCACCAATTGGCCGACTATGCCCAGGAGAAAGGCCTCTGGTTTCTTCAAGAAGGTATATTTAAATACCTTTTTCAATTCATTATATATCATTTCCCAGAAAGCCTTAATCTTTGGGCACGTCCACCAAAGGTGAAAAAATGTACCTTCATTTTCCTTACATTTCCAACATTTATTATCGGGCGCATGGTAAATTTTTGCAAGCTTCACTGGTGTCATGTACCACCTGTATATCATTTTCATAATATTCTCTCTTAGGGCATTACATGCCGTGAATTTCATACCTGTGGTCCACAACTGTTCCCAGTCAGCAAACATGATATTATATCCTAGATCTTGTGCCCATTTAATCATAGCAGATTTCACAGTTTCATCCTGAGTATTCCATTTCAACAACAAGTTATACATTCTTGACAAAATCTTAGTATTGGGTTCTAACAATTCTGTTTCCAATTTTGATTTTTCCACCTGGAAGCCAATTTTCTTATCCAAATTATATGCCTCCATTATCTGATAATAATGAAGCCAGTCTCGCACTTTATCTTTTAATTTTTCAAAGCTCTGCAATTTCAATTTGTCTCCTTCTTGTTCCAAAATTTCCCAATATTTCGGCCATTTGGCCTCCATATTGAGCCTTTTCTGAGCCTTTGCTTCCATCGGTGACAGCCACCTAGGGGTTTTATTTTCCAATAAGTCCTTATATCTTATCCAGACATTTAGTAATGCTTTTCTGACAATATGGTTTTTAAATGCTTTATGTGCTTTAACCTTGTCATACCACAAATATGCATGCCACCCAAAAACATTGTTGAAACCTTCTAAATCCAAAATGTCTGTGTTCTCAAGAAGCAGCCATTCTTTCAACCAGCAGAATGCTGCTGATTCATAATAGAGTTTAAGGTCTGGCAGGGCAAATCCACCTCTATCCTTTGCATCGGTTAATATTTTAAATTTTATTCTAGGCTTTTTGCCCTGCCAGACGAATTTAGAAATGTCTCTCTGCCACTTCTTGAAACAGTCCATTTTGTCCACAGATTTGCAATGATTGAAACAGAAATAACATTCTGGCAATACATTCATCTTTATAACAGCAATTCGACCTAACAAGGAAAGCTTCAAGTTTGACCATATCTCTAAATCCTTTTTCACCTCTGACCAACATTTCTCATAGTTGTCTTTAAATAAGTTTAAATTCTTAGCAGTCATGTTAACCCCCAAGTATTTTACTTTCTTAACCAATGTTAAACCTGTCTCCTTCTGAAACCTCTCTTTCTCAATCGAAGTCAAATTTTTCTCAAGCACCTTGGTTTTTAACTTGTTCAACTTAAATCCTGCCACATGACCAAATTCCTGAATCATTTCTAAAACTCTTTTAGTACTAGATTCTGGCTCCTGTAACGTCAATACTAAATCATCTGCAAATGCTTTCAATTTGTACTGTTTAGCTCCGACCTGTATACCTTTAATCAAACGGTCCCTTCTAATCATATTTAGCAAAACCTCCAGGACCGAAATGAAAAGCAATGGGGAAATTGGGCAGCCTTGTCGTGTCCCTTTCTCTATCTTAAATTCCTCTGTTACCACATTATTAACTATTAGCTTAGCTTTTTGTTCTGAATATATTGCACTTATACCATTTTCAAACCCTTGACCAACTCCCATCCCCTGAAGATTTTTCTTCATGAAACTCCAAGAAATATTATCAAAGGCTTTCTCCGCATCAACAAAAATTAAAACTGCTTTGGTATTGATATTCACTTGCAACATCTCCAAAATGTCAATTATATTCCTCGTGTTGTCAGACAAGTGTCTACCTGGGAGAAAGCCGGCTTGGTCTTTATGGATCTCTTCTACTAATACCTTTTTAACCTTTTAGCCAAAATATCTGCAAAAATTTTGTAATCCACACTGAGCAGGGATATGGGGCGGTAGTTCTTAAGTTGCGTCTTTTCAGTCTCATTTTTCGGTATTAGTGTAATATAAGCTTCTTTCCACGACTCTGGCGCTTTTTTCCCCTCTAAGATTTCGTTACAAACCTCCTTTAGTGGTTGAATTATCCAGTCCTTCAAAGATCTATAGTATTTGGAGGTTAAACCATCTGGCCCTGGAGATTTGCCCAACTGCATGTTCTGGATGGCACCTTCCACCTCCTGTTCTGTTATTTTATAGTTCAACATTAGCTTATTTTCTTGAGAGATTTTTTGAAGCCCATTTGTTTTTAAAAATTTGTCTAAATCGCACTCTTTCTGTGGCCCTTGTGTGTATAGCTGTTTGAAGTACCTCTGGAAGCATTTTCTAATTTCCACTGGATTCTGGATGTTCTTTCCTTCCACTTCCAAGTTGGTAATAGTGTTAAGTTTTGTCTTTTTTCATTTGCCAAGCTAGCAGTTTTCCACATTTATTAGCCGATTCAAATGTCCTTTGTTTCATCTGTTTAATTTTCCATTCTATTTCCTGATTCATCATCTTCATATATTGAACTTGGTATAACTTTATTTCTCTCAGAATCTCTTGTGATTTTGGTTTCGCTCTCAGTTTCTTCTCCCCCTCTTTTATTTTTTCCAAGATTTTTTCTTTTTTCTCTTTTTGTGTTCTATTCTTAATTGCATTCTTTTGAATTAGAAACCCTCTCATAACTGCTTTGCTTGCGTCCCAGATTACTCTTTTTTCAATGGTGGTATTCATATTTATCTCAAAGTAGTCTCTCAAGGTTTTTTGGGCCTTCTTGGTAATTTCTTGATCTCTAAACAAGGTGTCATTCATCCTCCATCTGAAGGAGCCGGTAGGTGTTAGTTTCATCTCCATTTTCAAGGCATTATGGTCGGAGCAGATTTTAGGGCAAATTTCCACTTTTCGAGTCTTAGGTGCCAGTCTCTAGTAATCCAAATTTGGTCAATTCTTGTCCATGTCATTTTGGCTTCAGAGAAGAAGGTTCCCTCCCTAGCCAGGGGGTTCTTTATTCTCCAAATGTCAATCAAGTCCATATTGTCAGTCATCTCAAAAAAGGTTTTTGGTAGTCTGCCATCTTTGGTAACTACCTGTCTCTGCGACTTGTCCATGTTTGTGGATACCACTCCGTTCATGTCTCCCATCATTATAATGTTGTAATCCATATAGTCCATCAGTGTCACATGCAACTTCTTGTAAAATTCAGATTTCCCCTCATTTGGAGCGTATACTCCTACTATCAGAAATTTTTCTCCTTGTGTTTGAATTTCAATTGCCACATATCTTCCTTGATCATCTTTAAAAATAAATTTAGGTGATAGGCTCTCTTTCGCATAAATTACAACTCCTCTCTTTTTGACATTGTCCGATGAAATAAACTCCTGGCCCAATCTTTTATTAATCAGTACTTTCCTGTGGAGCCTTATCACATGCATTTCCTGCAAACAAATCAGGTCCAATTGTTCCTTTTTCAATAGATGAAAGACTTTTTTCCTTTTCTCCGGGGAATTAAATCCAAGAATATTCCAGCTTAAGAGTTGCAGAGACATGATGTATCTATTTTACTTTTCCTCCGACTGCACCAAGTAATTGCTCTTGTTCTGTTGGTGGTATCCCCTTCTCTAGCTTGTCCAATCCTGAAGGTAGTGATACTATGTCCTGTATTCCTGGTTTTAAAGCTCTGGGCTCTTTTCCAGATTCTTTTTCTAAGTCTTCTTCGTGATCTTTCAGATTTTTATTTTTTTAAAAAACGACGAGGTTGCCCCTCCACTTGCCGGGATTCTTAAGTGGGGAGAGGGCAGCTGTGGCTGTCAGGTCCTCCTTTGGGGGTTCCGCCTGGGGCATCTCGGGGGGGTGGCGCTGGGAGACCACAATTCTGGACTACGATGAGTCCCCTCTGGCTGGATCTCCCCACTGAATCCCAGACTGGCTTTTGGGGGGGAGAGCAGGTCTCCAGTACAGCAGGGAGGGTAGTATCTCCTGCAGATGAGAATATCAGGAGGAGGAAGGAGAGACTAGAAAGCGGACTGGATCCGGATTAGGCAGTGGGCAGCCCCTCCGCTCTCTCTCTATTGCCCACCCACATTCTGCCCACCCCGACTTGTGGCACTCGGGGGTACTCGGGGGTACTCACCGAAGCAGCCCCCCAAGAGGAGCAAGAGCGGTCCCCACCAAGGAAGGAGCAGCAGCCGCCCCATCGGCCTCCCCCCCTCGCCAAGTCCCTCCTGCCCAGAGGAGGAAGCCCCCCCCCAAATCCGGAGCAAGAGGCGAGATGGGCGGGACCGAGATGGAGATCCGCTCAATGGGAAAGGAGCCCGGGAGCTGCGGTGGGAAAGCGAAACTGAAAGTACTCCGCCGGATGACGTGTTTGTGGGGGAGGAGTAAGTCAGGCAAGGAGGGGAGTCCACGGCGGGGGGGGGCAGCGATGTGCCCTTATTTTGGACGGAGAGGCGGGCAGAGGGGACTCCGGGTATTCCCACAGGCCGCTTCTCTGCAGCGCTTGTTTCTTTCTTCTTCTTTTCATGGGGTTCCTCCCCTCCCCCCGTATTGTACTCTGTGAACCGCTCTGAGATCATAGGATGGAAGGGCAGTCTATAAATAAACAAAACAAATACATTAATTGAAAAAGCGAAGCTTCGCCCTATATGTCAGCACACCCTATATTTGTCGCCTCTCTCTCCATAGCCAAGAGGGGGAGCGAGGGAGGGGCAGCCCCCCCAAAGAATCAATAAAGGTAAAGGACCCCTGACAGTTAAGTCCAGTCGGGAACGACTCTGGGGTTGCGACGCTCATCTCGCTCTATAGGCCAAGGGAGCCGGCGTACAACTTCCGAGTCATGTGGCCAGCATGATTAAGCCGCTTCTGGCGAACCAGAGCAGCGCACGGAAACACCGTTTACCTTCCCGCCGGAGTGGTACCTATTTATCTACTTGCACTTTGACATGCTTTCGAACTGCTAGGTTGGCAGGAGCAGGGACAGAGCAAAGGGAGCTCACCCCGTCGTGGGGATTCGAACCGCTGACCTTCTGACCTGCAAGCCCTAGGCTCATCTGCAAAGAGGCTCTGTAACTTGTGTTTCCCTCCGGGCTCTGGAGGAGGTGAATCACAGCCCTGCTTTTTTCTCCTTTCCTCGCTCCTTCTGCGCAGAACGTCTCCTTTGAGCTCCGTCCCAGGGAGGTGGTGGCGCTTGTGGGAAGGGCAGTGGGAAGAGCACCTGCGTGGCACTGCTGGAGCACTTCTATGAGCCCCAGTCCGGGGAGATCCTGCTGGACGGGGTCCCGATCCGGGATTATGAGCACAAGTACCTGCACAGCAAGGTGAGCAGGGAGCCCACAAAGTGTGGCTGATATCAAACTCCTGTTTCCCCTTCATTATTTATTATTTATTGAATTTATATACCCCTGTATACCCTCAGGTCTCAGAATAAAATCATAATATAAAACCACACAATCCATAATCCATTCTTCCTTGTGGAAGATGCAGAAATGGCGAAACTCTACTGGAAGAATAAGAAATCAAGATGACAAGGTTTTTTTGATAAAAGAATGGAAATGGTTTATGGAATATTTACAGATAAATTGTAAACAGATAAAAACAGTGGCAGGATTATTGTAATAACCTGCAGCTACATAAGAGTATGTAGCTACAGGGAGTTCCAAAGGATTTTGGGATTTTAGAGAGTTGTCAGTGCCACGGGGAAGGCGGTTCTGTTTTTCACTAAACAGGAAGCATCTTCTGCAAAAGAGGAAACGACAGGGTGTGGCTGAGCACTGGAGAGGAAATGTGGGTTGCAAAAGGCCATGCCCACCAAATATTCGTGATACACAAACACATCCCAGCCTGGTACTTAAGCTGTAAACTGGCTTTTTCCAGGGGGTGTGACTGGAGATGATTCCCACAAGGAGATGCTTGCAAGGAGCAGTTGCGGCTGTGGAGCCTTGAGAAGGGATGGTTCAGAGGGGATACGAGAGCCTTCTTCAGATATTTGAAGGGATGGAAGGACCTGCCCCTTCCTGTTCTTTCAGCTTCTCATCTTTCCAACTTTGAGTTCTGTACCTTAATGCAGCAATTTGTGGGTTTTGCTTTTAAAAATCTGCATGAAAATTTTTCATTATTTCAGTGCAAATCTCTCCTAATGAACATGTTATTGTCTGCAGATTTGACTAATGCACACATTTTTGCAAGCAATTTCTCCTAATATAAAAGCATTTTTGTAGGCTGTTTTCACTAACATCTTCATTTCTTGCACACATGTTTGTAACGCTGAGTTGGAAAACAGGGTTGCAAAATTCAGAGAATTGTGAACGTTGAAGGTTCACCTGTGTTTCGGTTCTTATATTGTTTGAGAAGGTGCAAATATGGTGGAGTGTGCTTTAAATGCAAACTGAATCCAATTTCCCCCTAGTTGTCACACTTCATTCTGCCTGCAGGTGGCGCTAGTGGGACAGGAGCCGGTCCTCTTCTCTGGGTCCATACGGGACAATATCGCCTATGGGGTGCAGGATTGCAGCCAGGAAGAGGTGGCAGCTGCAGCAAGAGAATCCAACGCCTTAGGCTTCATCAGTGAGCTGGAAGGAGGGTTCGCCGCAGGTGGGTGAAACCTCTTTCCTCCCGTCTCCTTTTGCCTCTGCAAAACTCCACACTCCTTCCAGAAAGGGCAGCTGGCCTGATTCTTACTCTCTCTTCTCCCCACTGAGATAACATGAATTTCTGTGGCCCACTGAATTCCTCCAGGAAAATTGGTGGGGCTCCAGTCTCTTGTGACGAGTGAGAATTCCAGACTCTGAGCCTCAGCTCCTCTTGTCACTGTGCCCGACCCTCCACCCAACGGCTCACTCCATTCCATCAAATGAACCCAGGAGTTCGGGATCCTCCTTTACCTGCAACTCGCCTTTGCACCCTGCCACCACTCCCACTCCTCTGGCAAACAGGCTTTCTTTAGTCTGGCGGTTTTCCCCCTCTTCCCACCCCTTCTCTCTCATTCCTGCCTCCCTGCAGATGTCGGGGAGAAGGGAGGCCAGCTGTCCGCAGGGCAGAAGCAGCGCCTGGCCATCGCCTGATCCGGAACCCCAAGGTCTTGGTGCTGGATGAGGCCACAAGTGCTCTGGATGTGGAGAGCGAAGCTGCCGTGAGTGTCGGGGGAGGGGGAAATTGTGGGACTTGGTTGACGTGAGAAGCGTTAGCCATCAGTGGGTGTGGTGGTTTTATATTATTGTAGGGACACGGGTGGCGCTGTGGTCTAAACCACTGAGCCTCTTAGGCTTGCCAATCAGAAGGTTGGCAGTTCGAATCCCCGCGACGGGGTGAGCTCCCATTGCTCGGTCCCTGCTCCTGACAACCCAGCAGTTCAAAATCACGCCAGTGCAAGTAGATAAATAGGTACCGCTCCGGCGGGAAGGTAAACGGCATTTCTGCGTACTCTGGTTTCCATCACGGTGTTCTGCTGCCCCAGAAGCGGTTAGGCCTGCTGGCCACATGACCCGGAAAGCTGTCTGTGGACAAACGCCGGCTCCCTCGGCCTGAAGTGAGATGAGCGCCACAACCCCATAGTCACCGTTGACTGGACTTAACCATCCAGGGGTTCTTTACCTTTGCCTATGTTATTGATATTTATAATATTAATAAATGGACTTGCATTTTCCAGTGCCAGTTAGCTTTTAGACCTTATCCTTTCAGTTTCTCTATCATTATTTTTCCAGTTTGGCCAACCTTAGGATGACAAAATTATATCTATCCTGGACTGCATGCTATTCTGCCGCCCAAATTCTGGGCTACCTAACATGGGCAGGGTAATAATAATAATAATAATAATAATAATAATAATTAAAAAAAATATGTGGCGCACTCAAAGTTCTATATCCTTGTGTGGGAAAACAGCAGGATTCATAATGCTTACAAACATCTCTCTCAATCTCTCTCTTACACACACACAGCCAGTGGTTAGTGTGTTAGACTGGGACAGCGGGTTCAAATCCCCACTCAGCCTTGAAGCTCACTGGGTGACCTTGAGCCCATCCCTGCCTCTCAGCCTAGGCTACCTCGCAGGGTTGTGAGGAAGAGCCCCATATACGTCACCTTGAGCTTCTTGGAGGAGGGCTGGGATAGAAACCTAATAAATAAATAAAATAAATCTAATAGGGGTTTCTGGCTTCTTCCCCCAGATCCAGCAGTCACTGATGAGCGGCCGGGCCAGGGCGGTGCTGGTGATCGCTCACCGGATGCAGACGGTGGAAGCCGCGAACAGGATCGTCGTCCTGGAGGGTGGGGAGGTTGTGGAGGAGGGACGCACTCTGAGCTGATGAGCCGGAGGGGCCCCTATTACCGCCTGGTGCAAAGGAGCCAGGCTGAGTGACTTCCGCACAGGCTGAATGGTCTTCTGGGGTCCCCCTCTCGAGGTGGTCATGTGTGTGGCATAACTGCGTTTAGAAGGGGGTCTCTGTGCCTTCTGCTGAGTGGGACCTTGGGCCACAGCCCCAAAGTCCTGCCATGATGGGGCTACTAGGAGACTCACCTAATTGGCTGATCCTTTCTGAGTGCAGAAACTCTGGCTTAGCAAGAAAAGTGGGTGTGAACCCCACTTTGGAGAGCAATGAAGTGGGGTGCAAAAAGGACTGTGTAGCACCCCTTGTAATCACGATGCAGCTGTTAAATAGCAGACAATTTGGAGTATCAGTATTTGCCCCAGGAGAACTTAAGCTGTGATTTTGAAAGTCTTGTTCCCAAGCTCCCATTTTTGAAGCCCCCCTCCCCCAAAGCTTTCCAAGTAGCCTTCCGCTCAGAAGCCCTACTGAGTTCAATAGGGCTTACTCCTAGGTAAGGATTTCATCTTGAGTTGCTTAAATAAGGAGTCTGGTGTCTTTCCCAATCCTGTCTCTTGGTCCCGTATGTCTTAGTGTTTCTGAGTGTGTTGTAAAATATCTTAAGGCACTTTTGGTCTCTTGCTGTTGATTCTCCAGGACTATGAGGGCCTGAAAGCAGTGTTTTGTAAAATAAAATGTGTGCATGTGATAACTCTTTGAGGTTTGAAATTTTGTGTCTCGCAGGGGTTTCAGAATGATGCCTCTTTTAGGGTATGGGAACACAAGGCTGCTGGATTAGGCCAAAGGGGGCTCCTCTTGTCCAGGGCTGGATCTACACAAGATCTGAGTGCTTGAGGGACACCTTGGCCTGCCAAATGGCTGCCAGTTTCCTCAGCAAGAGGAGATCTTGCTTCAGGGGAAGAACACTCTGCCTTGTACAGAATGAGGCCATCTAGCTCAGTGTTGTCCACTGACTGGCAGAGGCTCTGTAGGGTTTCAGGCAGGAACCTTCATCTCAGCCCTAACTGGAGACGCCAAAGATGGAACTCAGAACCTTTAGCTACAACAAAATTACCAAGATATGAATCCATTTATTCATTTTCTGGGTAGCTGACAGGTGCTGTCTAGGGCTGGGCAATATACCATCCGAAAACCATTTTGAAGTCCCTATCATATCAGTTTCATAATTTTTGACCTAGCAAAGTATTTCTGACATAAGCGGCCTCGGCCCAGTATACTTGAAGGAGCATCTCCACTCCCATTGTTCTGCCCGGACACTGAGGTCCAGCGCTGAGGGCCTTCTGGCAGTTTCCTCCCTGCGTGAAGTGGGGTTACAAAGAACCAGGCAGAGGGCCTTCTCGGTAGTGGCGCCCACCCTGTGGAACACCCTCCCATCGGATGTCAAGGAGACATCTGAAGGCAGCCCTGTTTAGGGAAGTTTTTAATGTTTGATATTTTATCATGTTGTTAATATTCTGTTGGGAGCTGCCCAGAGTGTGTGCTATCCGAAAATGCAGGAAAAACCGGGAAGCCAGCCGACGCCTCTAAATAGCTCCACCCTTATTTCAGACATTGTGATATATCAATATATTGCAATGTTTAGCTGGTGGTATATCGTGATGTTGAAAACCAGATATTGCCCAGCCCTAATTATGTCCATGGCAACCCCAAAATGAGGCAGCAACACAATGTGCTGGTAATCTCCTCTGGGCAGAGTCCCAATGTTCTGCTCTTGACCTGTTTGTGGTTGAGACCATTGAGGCATCTGTGAGGAGCCTGGAGCACATGGGCCATTAGCCATTTCCATCCAGGAAGCTCCTCTTATGTTCGCAACTGTAAGAGTATTCCAACTCTTTTAAAGTTATTTTGGGTTGATTTAATTTGTTTTAAATTATCTTATTTTAAATTTTAATAATTCAAATCTTTTAAATGGTATTGCTTTTAACATTTTGATGTTTGCTGCCCTGAGCTCCTTTGGGAGGAAGAGTGGGATAAAAATTTAAAACAAATATTTTGGGCATCTTCTGTTCATCTCAGTGGGAGAACTTCCTCCTGGGATTGCGGACTTTCGGGGCAACTCCACCTTGGTCATCTCCCACCACCCCCTGCCCCAGATCAGATATCTGCACATTCCTTTTATTATATTTCCCAACCCTCCTTTCTTCCGTCCTGGAACCAAAGGCAGCATCCAGGTGGTTCCCCAGCCAGGCCCTGAGCAGACTTCACACCCTCCTGGCTTCAGCAACACAGCGGCCTCATGTAACTTAAGTGCACCCCTGCAAAACCACAGATTATGTCCCCATCTCACTTTGGACACTAGTTCTTCAGTCACTTTGCAATGGAAGAGCAATTGTTGGCACCTCCCTGCCAGAGTCTGTGAATATTCTCATAACCTCAACATCTCGGAACTCCTGTGATAAGAAGGCAAGAACCACTAAAGAAGGGGGTGCACTCTTATTTATTTCAATCAAACAGATATTACAAAAGGAGTAATAATAATAATTACATCCAGTGTCTTCAAAGCAAGATGCAGCAAATCCATTGGGTTAGGCAAGAAGAGTCCTGCAGCCCCTGGAGGTCTAAAAGAGTTATTGCATTCTTATTTCTATGAAAGAGTTTCCTGAAGGAATGCCAGTCTATGAGAAGGGAAGGAAGATGGCGGGAATCATATGGAAGGAACCGCAGAGAGGCAAAGTATGATCCTCAACCGACTACAGGTGAAAAAGCAAGAATGTGCGAGATAAAAATTAGGCAAATTGAAGGCAACAAAACTAGTTCATTTGAAAGAGTTTGTGTGGTCTGACTCCCAGTGGGTCACCCCTCCTAGAAGGCTGTGGGGACCAAGCAACAAGTCCCATGAACTGAAGGCCTGCAGTCAAAAGATGGGGCTCCTTATTTCAGATCAAACTCTGGCCATGAAGGTCCTGATCTGCCTCTCCTCCTTGGCTGTCAGCAGGATCAGACATTACATCCGCTTAGCCAAAGGCTGGGTGGCCCAAGAGGCAGGAACAGCTTAGCCTATATCCTGCATAATACACCTAAAGCAGTTCTCAGATGTTGTCTTTCCTTCAATTTGGATGGCAAGCGAGGGACACAAGATTGTGGAAGGGATTGTGGAGGGAACCACAGCAACAAAGAAGAAAGAGAAACCATCAGAATCACTGCAAGTCATGCTCAACCTCCCCATCCCTTTTAAAAGCTTTTAGTTGCGTATACCTGGCACATTTCTGAGTAATACAAGCACATTTCTGAAAATCAGCTGCAAAGCAAAATTGGCCAAAATCCATCCAAAAAACATGATTATCCTCAAATTCTAGTTACAACTGGAGTCACAATGGATGGGTAAGAGCCAGGATTAAGGAACATCATAAACAGCATTAAAGGACAGCAGGAGCTCTGAGTCTCTGCAATTCACAGCCAAACTTGTGCAGGCTCCTTCTGGTCTCATCTCACACACCAACTGAAGGGAAAAAGAAAAGGAGTGTTTCAAAGTTAAGCCAACATCATAGTGTGGGGACATCAACATTACAGAGCTAGTGGGAACCCAAAGGCCATCTAGTCCAGCCTCACAAGGAAAGCCACCATCCCACATCATGTCAAATCAGACCTAAGGAGCACCACCAAAATGGGCCTGCAGAGGGCAGCTCAAGCAAGTGAGCCAAGCTGCACACTTTGGGGGAATGCCAGGAGGACACAAAGCAGTCCTACTAGGAGAAATCCCTTCCAGAACCCAAAATGTGACTCTCATTCAGAACCCAAAATGTGACTCCCAAGGTGGGTAACAGGAAAGCAGAAGCTTTTCACCATTTGGGGATATTCCCCACGGAGTCTTCTGCAAGAGACTCCCTTTGCCCCCACCTGCACCCCCACTTACCCCTGGCGGAGCTGTCGGACCCCTGGTCACTTGCTGCAAAAGGGAGGAAATACAGGAATCAGGATCCCGGGGAGGGAGATCACATCCCCACAGCCCTTCTCCTCCCTCCTTCCGACCCCATCCCAAATCAGTCTCAATATGGGGAGGGGCCTAAGAAGAGTTCAGGGACAGGCAGCCCAGAGGCAAGGGGGCTCAAGGGCAGCAGTGGGGGGAGAAGCAGGTGCTGGAGGGCAGAGAGAGGGGCACAGCCTGGCATGGAGGCAGCGGGGGACTGAAGTGGAGGTGGGTGTGATTTGGGAAGGAAGAGGGCAGAAAGGCAGAAGCGGGGGGGGGGGAGCAGTGGTGCCAAATTCAGAGGGGAGGGTTCCTGACACCCACAGACTTGAGCCGACGAACCAATTCTTTAGCTTCAGGTTCCAGTAAATTAAACCCCCAGAGATCCCTCTCTCCCGCACCCTCGGCTCTTCCTCCTGCTCCTTCTTGGAGCCCCTCCCTCAGCCGACAGTCTCTCTGCAGCCTTTTCCTGGCCCTGAGGGACCCCTTGCTGTCCACAGACAGGCTGAGCAGACAGGCTTAAGCTTTCCATCAGGGTCTTGGGCTTAAGGACCAGGCCACCACCAGGTTTAGTTTTGTCTGTTTGTAACCTGTTCCTTCTCTATATTGGGGGGAAATATGTCAGACAGAGAGAGGGGAGGAGTTACTCACTTGAGGCTGCTTTGTAGGCTGATTTCTCACTCTGTTTCCCTGTGAAGACAAAAGCAGAAGGTCAGAGCTGGAAGGGACCTCCAGAGGCCACCCATCCCATTTCGACCATTTGGTTCTCAGATGCTGAAACCTTCCCAGCAGATGCTCCTCTTGTCTCTTCCAAAAACCTCCAAGGAAGGGGAGCCCAGAAGGTGAGCATTTCAAGGAACTCATTTTACAAAGAAGTAGAAAAAATTGAGGAAATTAAATAAAAAAGTCAACATGAGGAAACCAGGCAGTGGACAAATTCCAAGAGGGACATTATCCAGTCCCTTCACTCATTCATTTTTGGATTATTATTTTGGTGATTCTCCAAATAAAAATACAAAATGAGAGCACAACATAATAAAACAAAAACAAACCAGTAACTCACATTTAAAAGCTCAAGGCCTGGTTCGAGAGAAACGTTTTTGCCTGGGGCCTAAAGATGTGTAAGGAAGGCTCCCTGCTAAGTGTGCACAGGATTGAAGGCTTAGGATGGATTAAAACGTCAGGTGGAAAGTGAATTTCCTGAGCACAGAGTGAGCACAAAGCAATGAGCAACAGGACTTTTGGTTCATGTTCAAAGGGTGTTTTTGTTGGTTTCTATTTCCCTCACTGAGCAGCAACTGCAGTCACAAGACATTGTTTTGCATTCCACAGTCAGAGTTACTGTTGGATTCCCACAGGAATGGGAGACTGGATGTGACGTACACTGGTTTCCTGTTTTTCACTGTTCTCTCGGTGTTCTTTGTTTCCGAGAGGAGTTGCTTCTCTGCTCTCACAGAGGCAAGATGCATGTTTGTATTCTCTCAGCATAGAGTGGAAATAAAGTTAAGAATGTGGCACATACTGCTTATCCTTCTGCTGTGTGGACTACTCTGCTTGGGCTCAAGATGAGACGAGCCTGTATCAGCTTCAGATGGGCCGAAGCTGGTCAAAATCTCACAGTTTTATGGGGAGGGGTCTCTCTAGGGATACAAGGGGCAGTTGCTAGGAAGCTCCACCAGGACATTCCCAGTCGGAGGCCAAGACAGAAGGACATAGGAGAGGCAGCAAATGCATCCAGGGTTTACTTACTGCGGATGAAGAAGATGATCCCAGAGATCACAGCGACAAGCAGGACCACAACACCCAAAATAGCTCCCAGAATGAGCCACAAGTTGACTGAAAGGGGACAAGAGATATTTTTATTCAGACTGGCGGCAGCAGCTCCCCAAGGCCTCAAGCAGGAGATTGGAGTGGAGGTGCTGAGCTATGAGCCCGGGAGGATTTTACATGTGCAAAGCAAGCCCTCTCTCTCTCTCCTGACAGGCCAAGGTCCTCTCTGTAGTGGCCCCGATACAAGGGAGATTTTTTTCCACCAGAGTCCAGCATTAGAGGTCTTTAAAATAACCAATTCATTTAAGGAAGACAGTTGACAGGCACACCTGTTTCATCACAGACTCCAGACTTAAAAGCAGGTCTCCTCCTGCTCAGGCGCTTCAGCCTTCTCTGTCATGACCCTGAGAGGAAGGGATTCCCTCCCCTCTGAGACCCCCCAGAGCCCAGCATTACAGGCCTTCAGGGAAGGCACAAACCCTTAGGAAGAAGCATCTTGTGTAGGGTTGCCATACGTCCGGTTTTTCCTGGATGCACCCTCTTTTTCAGACTTAAAATGTCTGTCCAGACAGATTCTTAAAATGAGGAAAAATGTCCAGGTTTTTTTGTTTGGGTGGAATCTCTGAAGTCCGTAGCGCTAGTGAGTGAGCCCTGGTCCCCTCTGCCCTGCCTGTGTGAGTCTTTGGCTCAGGGGCCGCTTCCATAATTCTCGCTTGCCTGCCTGTGAGAAGGGGAGTCTGGGGTGTGGGTGGGGATGTGCGTTCATGTGCTCCTGCTGGGGAAAAGGGAGTCTTGCTCTTAGACTTTCTGCTTTGGTTCCTGCAGGCACAGCTTTCCTGGCAGTGTGTGAGAGACAAGCATTACTAGAAACACTGCTTGCTCTTCCCAACGGTGTGCGGATGTTTGGGCTGAGTGGAGATGAGTATCAGTTTTCGTAGCTGGGCGTGCTTGTGAGGAAGAGCGAGTGAGAATCTTTTTCACTGTGAAGTACAGTCAGTCTGGGACTCCCTCTTTTAAGTTCGTTGCTCCTTTTTCAGCCGCAGTGACTGTGAGTAAGTTTGATTCTGAAGCAGTAAAATATGTGCCCACATTCTTTGACATCACAACTACTTGGGCTTAAAGGCAAAAAGGTGACGGCTAGTTTTTACCTACGACATCCAATTTGAATTCAAGGCCTATGAGACACTTGCCAGAAATGGCTGCATCTCTGTCGAAATCTACCGATTCTGATTCAGTTAGTTCCCTCCAGAGACATAGACAGGATCCAACTGGGGCTCCCCATCTGAGCTGCGCTGCTGCTGAAGGGAGGAGTTGGGTGGAAATCCCCCTCCCAGAGCCCACCCCTTCCCCTCCTGTCTGTCTGTCTGTCTCTCACCAGGCTCCTTCTCCCAGGCCACGTCCAGAGGCTTCTCCAGACTGTCATGCTCCACGCGGCACCGGAAGCGCTCCCTCTCCTCGGGGTCGATCTGGACACTGAGCAAGAGATAGTAGGTCCCGTCCGAGTTGGGGGCGACCAATCCTCGGAGGGTGCCCTCCTGCCAGACCTCCCCGTCCTTCACCCAGTTGGCCTCAATCTCCTTGGGGTAGAAGCCGTGGACTTGGCAAACGAGGGTCTCCAGGCCGTCATAGTCTGCCTTCCTGGTCACCTTCACCACCGGAGCCTCTGCAAAAAGGGCCGCATTGGGGTTAGCAGAGAGACATCCATAGCAGGAGGTAGCTCAGGCTGATCCTGGTTCCTCTCTCGAGGGGGAAGAAATGCTGGACTCGCTGCTCTCTGTTCTCCGGGACTTTTCAGCCCAATAGTTAGTGAACAAAGCCAACAGCCCTGGGAAAGACAGAGCTCCTTTCTAGTTCTCCCGCCTGCCCTGAAAGGGTCCCTTGAGGTTGGAAAGGGCCCATCTCCCTTCTCCACGGCAGCCTCCCCTGGAGTGGAAATGGCGGCTAATACGTATGTGTCAGGCCTCAAAAACGGAGGGTGCTAGAATTATTTCATTTTTAATTAATGTTCACATTAGCAAAACTAATACGAGACAGGAAGAAAGCCAGTCAAAACACTTGATCATTTGATTGGCACCTGTGCCAAATTCCTGAAGGCAGAAGTGTGGACTGCACCATTTCAAGGCACGGGATTGAATGTTCCCCATGGGAAAAAGTAAAATTCCTCACAAATAAAAAATACAAGAAGGTAGAAGAGGGACTTCCCATACTCTCTCACTATGTGCAGGATTTCTGCTTCTAGGCCACGAGTGGCTAACCTACAGACTTAGTGAGGGGGCTCCCCACACATTTTCTATTTTAAAGAAGGTTAATTAATATAGTTTTAAAGACTTTCCCCACTTTCCCCTACCCAAGTGTAAAGGCAAAAGGCTTTTCATTATTCTGCCTCAAATCTGTCCATTTCAATTTTCTTTTTTTACTTAATTTAAAATGCATTTTGCTTTCCTGGCCCCTTCCCTGCTGTTTCTTTCTTCCCCCTCCCCCCATTTGTCTTTTGCCATCCCTTATTCTAGGCATGGGGAATCCGTGACCAGGGAGAAGAGTCGGTGGAAGAAGATTGGAAGAAATTCAAAGATTACTTACGGAAATATTGCAAAATTAAAGAATGTTAGAGTGATGTTGGATTGAAATGAAGTGGCTTCTAGCTGTACAGGCTTTAAAGTTATATATAGATCAAGATTAAGGATTAGGATCAAAAAAGTTAAAAGAAATGGAAAATTGGCTTTTAATAGGTTAAAATTTAATGTTATATTATATTAAGATTAAGGATTGGGATTAAAAAGGAGGGAAAGGAATTGCTGAACAAACAAATTGAATTGGAATACAAAAGAGGGAGGTATGAGGAGGTCCGGGAAATCAAGTTAATGTAAAAGTTATAATGAAAAGATGGAATTGTTTTTAACTGTTTTTTCTTTCTTTTTCTTTTGTATTTTGTATTTCTCTTTTTACTTTTAAATTTATTTATTTATTGTTTTTCTCTTATTAAGATGTCTCTTTTTATGTGAAACTTCAATAAATATCATTTAAATATTTAAATATCATTTAAAAAAAATAATATAATATTGATTAGTTATGCCATGCATAAATCAATTTTTTTATTATTTGACTCATTTTGGTACATAAAATATGAGATTGAATTTTTCTGCATCAATCTGCCCCACTTTCCCCTACCCAAGTGTAAAGGCAGAATGTTTTTCTGTATCCCGCCTCAAATCTGTCCATTTCAATTTTATGTTTTTACCTAAAATGCATTTTGCTTTCCTGGCCCCTTCCCTGCTGTTTCTTTGTGTCCCCTCCCCCCATTTGTCTTTTGCCATCCCTTAGTCTAGGCATGTGGGGCTGTTTTTAAGCATCTCCCCCCCCACATCATACTCTGAAGTGACCCCTTTTCTCCTCCCAGAGGCCCCAACTTATTTCTGCCACCACCACCAAGAAAAGTGTTTGCTGTTTGGTCCAGAAAGGAAGATTGTTAAGGGGGGGAGGGGAGCTTGTAGGGAAACTGCCCCACTGAGCCCCCCTCCCCTCCCCACTGCCCCCCCTCACCTGTCCTCAGCAGAGTCTCCTTCCCGTACTCCAGGTATCTCTGCAGCCACTCAATGCACTCCTCCTCCAGGTAGGCTTTCAGGTACTCGTTCCGGGCGTTGTCAGGATCCCACTTCCTCTTGGTCGCTTGGGCCCCTGTATCAGCTGCCGTCCAGGTGTGGGTCTCCTTGTCAAAGGCGATGAAGTCTCTCCCGTCATAGCTGTACTGCCAATACCCTCCTCCTTTGCGCCCGTCTGACCTCAGCTCACAGCCAGACATCCTCTGAAGGGTGTGGATCCCTGGAAGGACCAAAGGAGGCCCAGGAGGTCAAGGGGGGTCAGAGCAGCCCCTCCCCCATCAGCAAAAGAGCCCAGGAAAAAGGATTTATTTCCCTCAGACTCAGGGAAGAGGCAGCAGTCAGAAAAATCAACCAGCATTGCATCTTTCTGAAGGCTCATCCGCATAACACGTTCACTGAGGGAAACGCTACAATCCTGAGCCTATAAAACCCCCCTTTAATTGCCCTCCTCTCTCTCATCGCCTCACAGTCTCCCCCCCTCCCCCAATTCCTAGTGGATTCTCCCAACTCCCTGGAGGCGGGGGAGGGGTGGGGAGCATCCCTTGCAGGTCGGAGGTCACAGTCTGTCCCTCTTTCCCCCCAGCTCTGCTCCTCTGGATCTTGCCCCTTTGGGAGGGATGCCTCAGATGCCCCCCCCCCATAAAGAAGAAAGGGGCAACATGGAAGGGGGACACCCACACATTGGGGGCCCTTTCAAGAGAGAAGGTCTCCTCTTCCCCTCCATCTCTCTCCCCCCAGCTTCTCCATATCAAGGACCTTTTCCCTAAAAGGAGGGAAGTCATGGAAGGGCCTTCGGAAAAAGACGTTTCCTCATAGCCGCAAGGGGGGTTTGCCCCACTTCAAAATGGCCCCCCTTCTCAGCAGAAGCCAGGCTGCCCTTGTCAAAGATGGGGGGTCCCTGCATCCTCCTGCCCACCCCAGGGGGCCACCACCAAATCTTCAAAACAACAACAACAACATTTAAACAATCATTTTGAAGTCCCGTAATCCCTAAATGGGACAGATCATTTTGATTCTCTCATTACATGTTTCATATATTTGTCTTTGCATATTTACTTGAAGGTAAGTCACACTGAGTGGGCTTGGACTTACTTCCAAGTAAACATGCAGAGGACTGAGCAGTTACAATTGGAAATTAAAATAAAATAAAATCGGTTTGTGATCCTGGCTGCCCACACACCAGACGCCTAAAACCAGCTGGGAAGAATGTGACTAGCCCATTTCTGAACTCTCTTGTTGAGGGACTCTTTCCTGGCAGTCAGTTCCATGGGGTAAGGCAGGTTTTTAAGAAGAGCAACTGCCAGATGTGGGGCCCCGTTCTCTATCAGCCCCCCAGAAGGTGGGGTGAGCAGTTCAGACAACCTGATGGATTCTGAAAGGCTCCAAGGAGAAAGGGGGGCTGACAGCCAGCATCCCTGTGGGGGCCCCCATCTCCCTATGGAATATGGAATAGGGACACTATCCTTCCTTCCTGTCGTCTCCAGCACTGCAGAACCCGGCCGCCCCCCACCCCCAGTTCACCAGGGCAGTGGGGAGGATGAGGAGGCAGAGGGAAGACGTTTCATGGGGGGGGGGGACTCATAGCTGTGCTTATTCTGGGGTCATGATTGCAGCAGACTGGGGGGGGCATATTGGCACCTCAATAATGCAGCTACAATAAACTTGCTGCCTGGGAAACCCCCCCCCCCATTTCAAAATTGGCAGTGCCACGGCTGGATTTCCAACTGGATTCCCAGCTCTTTGCTCTCTTCCAGGATCCCTCCCTATTACTCCTTTGCCACAAAGCCAATGCCAACGGTGCCAGGGAGAGAGCCAAGCGTCAGCCGGCATCCTTGTTTTGTGCCACAAATAACAGGCATGGGGGGTGGAGGGAAGACATCTGTGCCTGCCACTGCAGAGTCTTCTTCCGTAGAACTTTCCATTATTGTGTCCCCTCTGCCCTGCAATACAAGTACTTTTGTACACTGGTGCCCAGGGAGGCCTCACTTCGGACAACCGTAAGTCTGAGTATGGGCTGAATGTAAACTCCTCGCTCTGGATTAACCTGCAGTCTTCAGATCAAGTAATTCGCTTAGTTAGCTTATGTGGGTAGCAATTTAAGATTTGAAGGAGGTTTTCTCACCACTGCTGTATCGCAATCACCATCTTTTTCCCCGTGTTAAATCTTTTTTGCAGTTTCTAAATGAAAGGCTGTGATATACAGTGGTGCTTTGGTTCTCAAACGGCCTGGTTCCCAAACGCCAAAAACCCAGAAGTAAGTGTTCCGGTTTTTAAATGTTTTTCGGAAGCCGAACATCCGATGCAGCTGTCGGCTCTTGTTTGCGGGGCACCTGCACCAATCAGAAGCTGCGTCTTGGTTTTCGAACATTTCGGAAGTCAAACGGACTTCTGGAATGGATTCAGTTCGAGAACCAAGGTACAACTGTATTTGGCGCTTTTGTTTTTGCTACAGTGGTACCTCTGGTTGCGGACACGATCCGTTCCGGGGTGCCGTTCGCACCCCGAAATGTCCGTAACCAGAGTGGCGCTTGTGCGCATGTGTAAATACTTCCGGGTTTGCCGTGTTCTTAACCTGAAAAAAACGCAACATGGAGCGTTCGCAAGAAGAGGCATGACTGTATTTATTTTGCGTTTTTGTGGCTTTTTCGGTTAATTTGTTTTCGTTACTGTGTGGAACCCAGTTCAGCTACTGATACGATTTATTGACTGTGTGACTGCGGAAATGGATAAAAGCCCCCCATCCAAACAACGACTATCATCAGTGCAGGTAAGGAAAAAAGTAATAATTTTAATTTTTATCATCTACAATACTGTCTTATTTGTTTTATAGTACAGTACATTGATTATTGCTTTCATTTTATGGACCAATGGTCTCGTTAGATAGTAAAATTTGGGTTAAATTGCTGTTTTAAGGGTTGCTTTTAAAAGTCTGGAACGGATTAATCCGTTTTGCATTACTTTCTATGGAAAGCGCACCTCGGTTTTGGAACGCTTTGGTTTTGGAAAGGAATTCCAGAACGAATTAAGTTTGAGAACCAAGGTACCACTGTATAATATTAAGCAAGTGATGCATTTGAGGGATTTGAACCCAGGTTCAAGGACAACTGAAAGGTAACTGTGCTCATGGAGTGGAATATAAAGATATAAATGATGGAACAAACAGATGTTTGTAAATGTGTGCCTAAACCCACTTTGGCTATATACTGAATCCTTTGCTCCTGGTGAAAATAATTAAATGCTGATGTTAAGCCAACTTGTTGCTTTTCAAAAGGCCATGCCTCTTCCCTTTGATGCTCAGCACCATCAGGGCAGTCTATGCTGTGAAGAGCTGGGAGCTTTCCTGGGGAGAGGACAGAGCTGGAGGACAGACCTTGCTTGGCTGCTCATTGCCCCCCAGAGCTGAGTGCCCCTTCCCTGCCCCACCTCCCTCTGCTCCTGCAAGGGCCGCATCCAGAAGCGCAGGAGAGAGGAGGAGAGACCAGGAGTCTGTGTCCTGTGGCTCCCAGGCCAGAGAACTTGGAAGTGAGGCCTCAAGGGGTCTCCTGGGGGCACAGGGGAAAGAAGGGGGCACAGCACGTCTGCCAGGATCTCAGCCAAAGGCAGCCTGGGGAGCCGGACATTCAGACAGAGCAGTTTCCTCGCGGCTCACTTTTCAGAGATGGCACTTGGACTGGATGCATCATCCAAGATCTGGGGTGGTATCTAATGCAACCCCTACTCAGAGTAGACCCACGGAAGTGATTTGGCATTTCTGTTTTTAATGCACTGATTTCAATGGGTCTACTCGAAATATAACAGTATTGGATGCAACCCTGTGTGTACTAAAAATGTCAAACACCTGCCCTAGCTCTCACTTTCAATAAATACTGAATTTTTGGTACCTGCTAAAAAAAAATCCTGTTTAGACAAGCCTACCCAGATGCCTAGAAAGTTGAGGTAATTCTAATCTGTTTTAGTAGTTTAACTTCCTGTGTTTTAAAGTATGGTTGTGAGTTTTTCTTAATTTTACTGGGGGGGGGGTTTACAATCAATAAGTGTATGTATTTAAATAAATAAATAAATAAATAAATAAATAAATAAATAGTATTTATTGATGTTTTATGTACATTCTATGGATTTTTTCCCTGATTTTTATTATATCTTTCCAGGTTGTATACTATCTTGATACAGTTTTGTGGGAAATACATATTGTAAATACTTTAATAAAACCTTCAGTCGATTGATAATAAAAGAAGAGCTGGTTTACATTAGCTAGTTGATGTCCAACTAATAAATCCTTCATCAAAGAGGGCATGATCCTTATCTCTGCTACTCTTCATGCTGCACCTCCAGTGTCCCATTTTACAGATCCACAACGTTAATGCTCGTGGCTTTTAAATGTGCTCTTCAATTTCAGTATCTGAAGGATTGATCTGGTGTTTTCACTTGGCAGGTGGCATCACACAGGACTCGATGAGACCCCTGGCAGGGCCCACGGGTGCTGAGGACCCCAGCCCTGTCTCCTCTAGGCCAGCCAGCAGGGTCAGCAGACAGCCATTTGGATTTCCCACAACAAAACCATGGAGAGAAGCTACGTCCGGCACCCCAAGACAGGATGGGAAATGGCAATGGTTGCTCCTGGCCATGTACAGAGTTCTGCTGCTCTTATTAGAGGTTACTGCCCCCACACTTCCGCTGCACTTTTACTGCTTGTGTGGTGGCATCTCAGTCAAACCACTTCTGACTGTTTGTAGCAGAGTTTTCCCCGGAGGCAGAGGACAAGAACAGGAGTCAGACTCAAATTCACAGTCAAGAGCTTCTTTATTGCTTGACTGGTTGCACAAGCATGTCTGTTACTATTAGATACAAGCCACTGACATTCCTCCTTATATCTCCAGCACAATATCATCTCAGTCCAGTAATTAACAATCCTGACACAGCAAAACTCACAGTATCTGCAGCAAACATTGTCTTACTTCCAACCTTGTTGTCAGGGTGCGTGCTGAGTGTGTGTGAGTGTGAGTGTGAGTGTGTGTGAGTGTGAGTGTGTTTTCCTTTTGCGGAAATTGCAGCCTGCAACTTCCTCCCTTTATTTGCACCTCCAGCTGACACCAATCAAGCCTAGAGTGCCACTCTTACACACTAAAGAAAATTCTGGAACCCTCTTGAAAGCTTCCAGGAACCTTTATCTGTTTCTTAAAGAATGTTTTCCTAACAGCTCTTTGAGCTTCTGGGTAGCCTGAGGGAGTTCAGCAATGGAGGAGAGGCTGTCCCAGAGGACACCAGGCTGCTCTCTCCTTAATTCTGGCTTCCTCTTTCACCTCAGGAGCCTTTGGCTCACAGCTGAATTGAGTTGGGGCATATAAAGCCCTGGATGAGAGCAGCCTCTCTTGAAGGAAATACTGCTTTTCTGGGCTGGATTCAGCATAACACAGTTAGTCTAGCAGGAGCCAGAAGGAACAAGTCTCACTCACACAACTGGGGCTTTCTTCCCATCTCCTTCCCATGTGCTACCCAAAAATCAGCTTAGGGGGGGTCGGGAGAAGCCCCAGAAAGGTGTGCAGGGGGAGGAGAAGGGAGATTGCTCCCTCTGGCAAGTAACAGATTGTAACAGAACTACTACTTTATAGTCCTCCCTCTAGAACTACTCAACATATATAATAATAATAATAATAATAATAATAATAATAATAATAATAATAATAAATAAATAAATAAATAAATAATTAGTATCTTCTACAATGCCATGTCCCAAGGTGATATAGTTATTTTTATGCACTCAAACAATGGTTTGTGGTTGGCCTACGAAAATAAACCAAACCAAACCACAAGCCCCACCAGCTGGTCTGGATATGGAGCTTTTGCTTGGAGGAAGTTGCTTTGTCTCATTGCTTCTTCAGCATAAGTTGCTTTCTCCCTCATTTTATAAATGAAGCTCACTCCCCTCCCGTTTCCTCAAGATGTTAAGTGAGATCAATCCCGATACACCTATACCTTCAACATTGTTTTTAAATAGGATCAGATAACATTTCCAGGGCTGTCCGTGGCACCTTTAAAGTGGCTACCTCATTAGTTTGGGATTTTCTGAGCTAAGCAATTGCAAGAAATGATAAGAAAACGAGAGGCGCCCCTTGGTGACATTTATGGGGCATTTTCCATGGACAGGTGCAGGGGCTCAGGAGGGACCCAATCCCCATTTTTAAAAGGGGGAGAAGCAGAATTCCCAGGAGCCCAAGACGAAGCCTGCAAGGCAAGGCCAGGCCTGATCCCACGGCAAGAAAAGCAGACCTGCCCATTGCAGCGCTGGCTTGGTCTCAGCTGACCCCCTGGGTTTCTTCCTTGCAAGCCTGACAAGGCCAACGAAGGCCCCAGAGGGCTCTGGACACACTCCGGCTGACCCCTTTGGCAAGGCTCCTTCCACCTCCATTATTCTGTGTCCCAGGTGGGGAATCTCTTTGGCTTCAGGGCCAGATCCTGATCAGGATTGTCCCCCTGGGCCAAAAGGGGCAGGAGCCTGAAGCTGACATCACAGCATAGCCCACCGGTCAATCTCACCCACCTTTCTACCCCTCCACTGCAGTTATTGTTTGAAGTGCTGGGACACCTGTGGTGCTGTTAGGGGCAGGGCTAAAGTCCTGAAGCAGGGAGCCTGCTTAGGAAGTGAGGGAGTAGAGAAGCCTGGAAGGTAAAGGTGCAAACTCATAGAGAGATCTCCCTCCAGACCCAGCAGAGGCTCCCACTTCTGAAGTTCTGCTCCAAAATTGCAATTGGAGGGGGGAGTCACTCAAGTTTGGGGCTAAACACAAATGCCTCCCCCCACCCTTCCAGCATGCTGGCTCCTTTCACACAACTAACATCTCAAAAGGATGAACATCTTTTGACTCATTTCAGAAGAAAGTTTAAAAAGCAAAAATGTGTGCCAAGAGGCTTTTGCCAGAGGTCTACCAGCTTTTACTGAGTTTAAACGATTCCTGTTGTAACAGTTCCAAGGTTGGATGAGGAAGGGGGGGGGGAGTGTGGCAGAAATCGTCATAACTGGACAAAGGGGGTGGAAGACCTTTCTAAAGGTCCTGCTATTCTTTCCTAAGTGTAGACCATTAGAGAATAAAGTAAGTCCACATGTATAATGAATGCTGGAGGTATGGGGGTCTTGGGGGCTCTTGTCTACCCCTCCACTTCAGGTGCCCACCCTGCTTATGGTTTTAACCATGTAGTTGCCACTCTGACCCCCCAAACCCAGTCCATTCATGTTCCTTAAAAAGGCTTCTCTTTCAACACTGTGCCAGGGAGTGGGAGGGGCTTGGTGATGGTCAGAAGGGTCAGCCAATCAGCACCTCTGTCTGGGCAGCTGGCTTCTCCTTTAGCAGGACCAGAACTCAAGGCTTGCTTGCCTCAGCCTCAGGATCCCCTCCCTTCTCTTCCCCGCCCAGAGGAAAATGAACTAGACAGATTTCTACCTCAGAAGGCCTAAGCCAAGCCCAGCATGGAAGGAAGGGCAGGCAATGGAGACATTTCCCTGGTAGGATGTGCAGGTCCAGAGAGGGTCATACTGGGGGGCGGGTCTCTCCCCTCCAAGTCTTGTTCTCTGTCCCCCCCACCCCACACCATCCCAGCCCCCATTAAGAACTTCATTAAGGGAAGGGGAGATGCCTCTGCCCTGGTGGAGACCCTCACCCTCCATTTCCTTTCCTCCCAGCAGCCCCTCCCTGCAATTCTGGCCCTTGGAGGAAACATTATTGGGGGGGGGAGAGGTGTGACTCTTTGCCTCTCCTGCCTTCCACTCACCTCCGCTCTGGTTGTAGCGATTCCGCAGAGTCTGCAGACCCACCCTGAACACCAGCTCAGAGCCCTGTCTTTTCTCAGTCTCTGTTTTCCAGTACTGAGGAATCTCCTTTTCCACCTTCCTTATCCAGGGGACGCGAGGCAGATCCTCCTTGGTGTCACTGTCGTACTGATCAATTTGCTGGTCATCCACGTACCCCACAGCGATGAACTGGGGCAGCCCCTGGCCAGGCTCAGACACGGCTGTGTGGAAGTAGCGCAGGGAGTGAGAAGTGGAGCCTGGAAAGGAAGAGAAAAGGGGGCAGAGAGTTAGGGGTCCTGCAGATGAAGGCAGCATCCTAATCCTGCTGTATCGCAGGCAGCAGACCTAAATTAGGAGATCTATGGACTATATGGAACTTGCCGAACTGACTGGGAGACTCCGAGACCAGAGAGATGAGACAGTGGAAGACGATTGGAAGAAGTTTAAAGAATATTTGAAAAAATATGCTAATGGAAGTGGATATAGGCTGTAGGGTTAGAAGTAGAACATAGTGTCTTTTAAAATATTATTACTTGTAAGGGATAAAATGTGAAGATTTTTATGGTAAAAGTAAGTGTGATTAAAAAAATGGTTAAAAATTATGATATATGTAAACTGTTAAAGATGAGGTAAAATGAAAATCAGATACAGGGGACTTGGGGAAGCTCACCTAACAATGTTTAGAAAAAATAAGGATAAGACAAGAATTTGTTTGTATTTTCTGTTTTTCTGTTTGTGTTGTTAAGTTGTGTTATAAAATTAATAAAAACTTTTGGGGGAAAAAATAAATAAATTAGGAGATCCAAAGTTTATCAGGCTTTGGGGGAGTTTGTCCTACCAAGCCAGGATTATAAACTGTGGTATGAAATTGGCATGATCAGACACACTATAGGTAAAACTAACTACAGTTTATCTCAGTTCAGACATAACACAATGTTAGTTGAAAGTGAAAGCACATGCTTCCAATCGCCTCCTTGTAGCCACATGCAAAGAGAGGAATGCATGAACCCAAAGCTTAGTGCGTTATGTCCAAATGCAGCTAGTGTTTCAATACATAGCCTGTCCAGAGGTGGTGGGCTTGCTGAGCATTCTTGTCTTTTGGCCTGTGCTTGCATCTCTCATAAATTATGTTACGTCAACTTGACTTCTTTTTACCTTTCCTCATTGCCAGTAATCAAGATTCTACCGACAGAATGAGGCTGACAATCTTGCTGAAGGGAATTCAGCTCGACATCCCATATATGAACCAACTCTGTGTGTGATGAAGAATAAGTCAATTGTATGTCAGGGAGAAAAAGAGTAAAGAGACTCGATTCTGACATCTATGAATCAGGAGCTCATAAGAGACCCTTGTATGTAGTCTCATCTATAAAATAAATGGATCAACTTCAAAAAACAAACAAACAAACAAACATTAGCCCATGGAGCAGAGGGGGAGAAAAAGCTCTGCCAGGCAGCACTAAATCTCTGCATGTCTCTGCTGAGGCTCCGTGTCAGGGAGAGAGAGGCCAGCCCCTCCCCTTTTGCCAAGGGGGCAGGAATTGCCCCCCACTTGCAAGCGCCAAGCTGATGAGAGCTCCCACAACATGGTCTGAAGGCTCAGGATGCAGGCACCGAATGGAAGCTAAGCAGGCTCAGGTCTGGGAAGTGGATGGAGGGGAGACCAGACGAAGCAAAATCCATATATTGGGAGAACAGGAAGCTGCCTCCTCCTGGGTCAGAACACTGATCCAGGTAGCTCAGAGTTGTCTGCCCTGACTGGGATGGCTCATATCTGCAGAAACGGGCCTAGTGAAGCCACTGCCTCAGAGCTGCCCCACCACCTGACCTTCTGGAGCCAGGCACTGAACAGGTCTGACCTGGGTCTTGCTTCCTGGGCTCTGGGAGGCTTTGGAAAGATCTCCTGGGAACTCAGGAGAGCCCCACAAGATCCTGTGAGAACCTGCCAGTCTGTTGTGCAAGGCAGAGAGCTGCAAAGCTCTTTCGGTACTGGGAAAACCTTGCACAAAAAGAGCTCTCTGCCTTCTGCATATATAATTGGTGTGAATCCAGCATACAGTTGAAATCCTTCAAGTTAAATGCATTCCAGTTTCCTGCACTTTCCACCAGTTTTCCAGGGACAGATGTCAAGTTAATTGGCCTGCAATTTCCGAAATCCTTCCTGGATCCCCTTTTGAGAATCGGTGTTTCAATGGTCCAATGCTGCAATCTTTCAATGGTCTGAGCTGCCACCCACAGAGCGGGTTCCCCAATTGAGAAAGGAGGCCCCCCAGGGATAGCAGGGGCAGGAGGGCAAAAGCAACTCTGGAGTCAGGTCTCAACATGTGGCCCCACATCCCCTTTCCCCCCACTTGCCCCTTCACGAGATCGAACACAGGAAGGGGGACAGAGCTCTGGCCACCAGGGGGCCTAATGAGTCTCCACAGCAGATCCCCATCAGAAGCAATTAACTTTTGTTGACGTCCATCAGCAGATTTTGCTGTTTCTGCTCACTCCCCACACTCCTTAACCCTCTTCCCAAGTCACAGTGAATGTGTACTAAGGGGGCTGTGTGCCTCCTTTGTGCATTGGGAAAGAGCCAAGGCTCCATGGTACTTCTCTGGGGCCACCGCTGTACAGGGTACAGGATGAGCCCCACAGAGAGGGCCCCCCAAGACAGCTGCAGCCCCTTAATTCCCACCCTGGGCTCCTTTGGGAGGAAGGTGGGGGTATAAACTCAATTTTAAAAGATGACTCTGTCAGTACCAAGAAAGGCCTCACAGATTTGGGCGTAAAGATGAGGCCTTCCTTCCAACACATTCTCTGCCTAGAGATTATCCAAGACCCACAGAAACAGCTCACAAAGACTTGGGGAGGGAGGGAGCTGATCATAAAATCTGTGTGGGGCATTTTCCTGGCGGAAGGTAAAGGGGCACAGTGCTAAAAGGGGCAGAGGAGGCTATTCCTGTTTTGCCTCAGGTAGCAGAAATGGGACGTATAATTATTATTCTTTATTGAATTTATATACCGCCCTACACCTGGAGGTCTCAGGCTGGCTCACAGAACAAAATCAAAATATAAAACCACAAAATATTCAATAATAAAAAAGCCAACCCCCCAAACCCCCCCCCCCCCACTTTTAAAATGATGTCAATCAAATCAACCAAAGGCCTGGTTAAAAGGGAATGTTTTTGCCTGACTTAGTCAACAGGTGTATAATGAAGATGCCAGGCAAACTTCCCTGGGGAGAGCCTTCCACAGACAGGGAGCCACTGCAGAGAAGGCCCTGTTCTCGCATTGCTGCCACCCTTCGCCCTCCAGACCTCTAGAGGAGGCGGCACAGGAAGGAGGACCTCAGAAGATGATCTCAGGGTCCGGGTGGGTTCATAGAGAAAGAGGTGGTCCTTGAGGACCCTGTGAAAATTGTCTTGAATGCACTCTGGACAACTTCACCCTCAAGGAGGAAGAAGCCCGCTTGAGTTTGGCCAGTGACTCATCTCAAAACAACTAGGAAACTAAAATAAAAATCATAGACAGGACTCTGAGGCTCCAACCCCCCTGCGATGCTGGCATCTCGACTGCAGCATCCATGGCAGATGGCCATACAACCTCTGCTAACAAATCTCCAAGGAAGTAGAATCTACCACCTGCTGAGGGAGATCCACTGTGGAAAACAAAGTTCAAGGAAGCGTAAACCTGCAAGATCAGTTTGCTTGAATTACATACGCCTTGATGGTGTGTCGACTCTGCTACCTCCCTCCGGCTCAGTTTCCTTTCAGGCAAGATCAAATGGGACCCACTTCTAAGACCCTCCCCTCCCAGGACAGGGGCTTCCCCCACTTCAAACCACAAGAGCTCAGAGCAAGGCTGCCTCTGGTTGTGGCATCTGGCTAAACAACACAGGCAGTTCTGCTCAGTGGTCGGGAGACAAAGAGCCACAAAATGAGTCACACGTGAGACCCCAAAGTGAGGAGGAATCTGAAGGAACCAGTGGTCTCCGCCACCCTTTGCCCAGCCCTGTAGCAGACACAGTGAGGGGGCAGCCCCCCATATGGAGAGGGTTTAAGAGAGAAATAACAGGTCTTACTCTTTAGTTCTTAAAGCTTTTAAGTTACTTTGAGAATTTTTATGCAACAAGCAACTTTTAAACTAATGTATTATATTCATACCATTTTCCATTAGAGAACCACAAAAGCTATTTACAATAAAGATTCAAGTAGGTAGCCCTGTTGGTCTGACGCAGTCAAAATAAAAAAATTGTCCAGTAGCACCTTAGAGACCAACTAAGTTTGTTCTGGGTATAAGATTTCATGTGCATGCACACTTCTTCAGATACGAAGTGTACAAAACGTAGTGAAAGGGGCTGTACAGAAACGGCAGAGAGGAGCCCCCTGCATAATTTACAAAATCTACATTTCTGACAGGCAACAGGAAGGGGTTTTTTGGGGGGTGAGTTACAATTGTAAAGCAGGAGAACCTGATTATGAATGTGGCTGTGAAAGGGAACTCCTGAACAACACAACATTGGGAATTGCGGGTGGGGACCCCTTATTCAGACGTCCTCCCTCCCCGCAATGAAGTCAGCTCTACACGCGTCCAGCTCCCACCCCCAGGCTGGTCTCCAGGGTTTTTAGCTGAGTTTTCAGAGCGGCTGAGGGTTAGAAGAGGGAAGGTAAAAAATAGAAGAGGGAAGACCTGTACTCTGTCTGTCTGTCTGTCTGTCTCTCTGTCTGACACGCACTCACTCACTCACACACAAACCAGAGTCAACACGAAGCTGCGGGGGGCGAGACAGGCGAGTCACTTTGCCCCCCATTAATCCTGCCAACACCTTCAAGTTTTGTTTTGTTCTTTGCTTGAGCCACGAGCCAAGGAGTGAAGCGGCCCCTGCCCCGGGCGGCATACAAAACAAGCCCCATGTCTGGGAAACAGATGTCTGGGAAGGGATCCGGCTCCGCTTCGGACAGGAAACCCCCCGATCGCCCTTTCAGTGCCCACGAAATGCAATTCACAAAGTCTCATGTGTCCAGTCCCCCCCCCCCGCCCCAAAGCTTAGTGGAAATGATTTTCTCCCCCCGCCCCAGAGCACAGTCCTTACCTGCGCAGTCCAGGAGCAGCAGCAGGTGGGCAGCCGCCCCCAGGATCAGGGGGGGCCAGCGGAGGAGGAGGACCCCCATCTCCCCCCAAAACGAAGCTCCTTTTTCCTCTTCTTACTCCAGCGACGTCCTTCTCCCTCCGACTCTGAGAGCCGCTCTCTGCCCCGCCTGCGGAACCAGCAGCAGAGCGAGCCGGGATTGGGCGAGGGGGTAATATTCCACCAATCGGAAATCTGCGTGCAGATTGCGGCATCAGTCGCCAGGCAGAAGTCGAGGCGCAAGTCTGGCAGCGAGGCTGGAGAGGGAAAGAGAAAGTTCTTGCAGCACCTCGCTGGGAATCGCCGCCTCCCTCCCTCCCTCCCTCCCTCCTTCCTCCCCCCGGCAGCTCTTCCTGCCCTGCCCTGCAGGAGGGGCGGAGGGGGTTTCCCAGGGGAGGACCCCAGGTTCAGTCCCCGCATCTCCAGGGGGGTCTGGGAATGCCCCCCTCTCTGAAACTGGGGAGAAGGGCTGTGAGATCCTGAGCGAGGTGGACTCCTGGGCTGAGTCAGTGCAAGGCAGCCTCCTGGGTCCTATTTTTAAGAAGCCCTTGCATGGCTTCAAAGATGGCTCCCTTCTTCCTCCACTACCAGAGGCAGTAAATGCATTAGCATCCCACTCGCTCTGTGTCCCTCGTGTCCTCCTTGCATGCTTCCTTACTGGGACATCTGGATGGCCACTGGGAGACCGCCATGCTGGACTCGATGGGCCCCTTTGGGGTGATCCAGCAACCTGGCTATTCTCCTGCGTCCCTCTATCTAGTGGCAGGGGGTTCCAGCGTTTAACTGTATGCCTTGTAAAGAAATGCTCAGGTTTGCAACTAGAGCTGAAACTCAGGGTTGAAGTCAAAACAGAGAGAGAGAGCGTGTATGACCACACAGAGAAGGGAAGCAGGTGCTGGGAGGCTGACAAACACGTTTGCTATCAGCACAGGGTCAGGCCAGAGCCCACCAGCTTGCCACAATTTCCTTTCTCCATGTGCTTTTTAAAGGGGCATTTTATATCCCCACATATCTCTGCTTCCTTCTCTCGTCATACTGGCCCCAACATGAGTTTCTCTCCCCCTGCCTGGGACCCTCTTAATCCTGCAGGCCCTGGGTGTTGGGGTCAGGGAGGCCCCCTTTGCACAGCCAGCAAGACCCAGCGGCTGCCAAGCCTCTTCTGGAAGGCCCTGAGCCAAGGCTGGGTGCTTGGCCCAGAGAGTGCTTGGCCCACATCCCACTTCCAGAAGCCTGAACGTTTGAAACCTGAGCTAAGCATGGGACACATGCAGAAGCTGCTGCCTTTTCCAAGAAATCAGGAAAGAGACAAGTAGTGGCCGCTCCTTGCCCAGGTACAAGGAAGCTTTTGGCTTAAGGGGGGGCGGGCTGTGAAGTCGGAAGAAGCAAGATCTCCTGCGGGGTGAATGCTGTGAGCCCCTCCATCGAAGGCTCATGTGGTCTATAGGTGCAAATATACCCCACACCCTAAAGACACCGCCGTCTCTTCCATCCCTCATTCTAAAGAAACCCAACTCTCTGTGTAAATGCCTGGATCCCCTGAAATCTCGCCCCTCTCGGAGACTGGGGTGCTGTGTGACAGTATAGTCAAGGCATATATGAAGAAAATAGCCCCCATAATCATTTGCAGAAAGGCGGAGACTGTGGGGCAGCTGGACCAGCGACTAGAGTCAGTGATGGGCTGGATGAGGGTCAACAAACTGAACCTCCCTTCTCAAACAAGGCGCAAATGCTGTTCAGGGAGATGCCATTCGCCCCGTCCTAAACATTGACAAACGTGACAAATAGCTCATGTTTTGTTCTGTTGCTGCAGGATATCTCTTGGTGGGATGATGGCCATAGATGTCACCTAAGTACCCTCACTAGTATAACCAAAGAAGCCCCTGTGAAGAAGGAGGTTGGCTGTTTTGAGGGGGGCTCTCCTAGACCCACTTTGGGGACTAAATGGGCTCAGTCACCCCAGGGACGTCTTAAGCTTCACTTTTCACCTGCTCCATCCAGTTTTTCTGGACAGGGATAGTCTGTCCACAATGATCCATATTCTGCTCACCTCCTGACAGGATTATTGTAACGTGTTGTTTTCCTCAATACACTAGGGATGCTTCAGCTGCTACAAGATAAACCTGAGAGGACTTTCACTGCCACAGCTCATTTAGGGCCAAATCTCACCAGGGCCAAAAGACCCTCTGCCTGTTTGTCTGGTTCTGAGTTCAATTCAAAGTGCTAGTCTTGTTTTAGAAAGTCCTCGGTGGCTTGAGGCTCCTTCTCCTCCCCATGTCTCCTCTGTGGAGGCTTTTCTCCCTCTCCTTTCCCCTCTTTGTGGAGATGGAGTGGGCGACAACAACAACTAATGGCCAGGAGGAAAATGTTTTCTTCTTCACAGACTTTTAAAAAAGTTTTCAGGACTTTAGGCATTGCCTGTAGCTTTGTTTTCCTGCTGGATAGCCTTGTTATGTGGCTTTAAACCACCCTTGAAGCAATTTAGGGAGATGGTGGCATGTAGATGAACAAATAACAGAGCAACTGCTTGACGCAGCCCCTTCCGGAAGGAGAAGGCAGCCATTTCCCCTCCCTTTTTGCTTCACTGCCAGCCCTCCACAAAATGGCTTCCGTCCCCGACAAGCAGGCCGGGTGGGGCTGCCTCAGCCTCCCTGCTTCCCTCCCTGCAGAGGAGACCTTTGGTGCAAGGGAGAGCAGCCAAGCAAGGCAGAAACCGAAAGCCACAGATCAGGTTGCCTGACTGGGAGATCGGCAGGCAGAAATGTCACTCTGGGGAAGACATTTTCTTTCTCCCCACAATGTCCCTTAGCGCCCAGATGGGGAGACCTTTGGCATTTGTCCCTCTTGGCCTGGCCTGGATCCCCTCCAACCTTGGAAAGACCCGTCTCCTTCAGCATGCAGGACAAAACCCTGAGCCTCCCCAGCTCTCTTCCTCAAGGCCAATTGGGCAGGACGCCTGGGTCCCCTTTGGGAGGAGACTCGGCAGGAGCCAGGACTCCTGGGTCCCGTTTCTGGCAGGCAAAAGCCATCTTCCTCTCTAACTGACTCTGCCTTCAAAAAATGAATATTTACATCCAGGTGGCACTCCTCATAATGGCCCTGACAGGCCCAAGGTCCCTGAGGGAGCTTCATATCTGCATGGGGATTTGAACCCAGGGCTCCCAGGCTCCCATATCCCAGTGAAACGACAGCCCCACACTGGATCCTTGTAGGCTTCTCCACCTCTCAAGACCTGGCCTGCAGGGACATCTCTCCTGACATTGTTTTTGTCCCGTTCTTGGTATCGTGTGGAAACAGCAACGAGTCTTCTTGCCCCTTAAAGGCTAAGAAATAGATGGCATAAGAAACATCCTTGGTGTGGTTCTCTGTTCCAAACTGGATTGTTTCCCAGGGGACTTTGCCCCTTTCTGTCTCCCTCAGCAACCTCCGAGTCAGGCTGGAAAGTCCCAGGGCAGTTCCCAGAACAAGGCCTTTTTATTTTTAATGTTTGTTTTCATTTTTACTTGTAAGATGAATAGCTGAGTGTGCAGTAAACAGTCCTTGGCGAGTTACAATAATCTAAATTTCGTTTCCATCCTTCATTAACACTGGTGTTTGTGTGTGTTTGTGTTTCCTGCCCTCACGCTCTCTCTCTGCCACAAGACACCCTCGCCCATTTCTCCACAGTCCCTAGTTGTATTTTCTCATTTTCCCCTTTTTGCGATCCTCCGCTGCCCCCTGCCGGCTGCTTTCTTCCCTGGCTGAAGTGGAAATCAGGTGATTTCTAGGAAATCCTTCAAGGGACCAGTTGAAGCAAGTCACGGGTTGCAAAAAAATGGTCAAGGTTCCCACATATGTCACAGCTTTGGAATCGGTGCAAGTGGGTGTATGCCTACCTATGGTATGGGAAAGTGGAAATATATAAAACTTTTACAAATCACGTAATTAGAAAAAAACCTGTTTAGAGTATGGGGAAAATATAAAAACTTATTAGAAAGAAAAACACCACTGCAGATATCCCCAGTGGAAGCTACAACCAGGAAAAGAATAAATATGGATAAGCAGTGGTTAACTTACAGTGAAATTTAATCTCTTACAGAACAGGAACCAAAACTGAGAAATCCCGAGGAATCAAGAAATCCGGTTACGGATTGGCTACAGGTTGTTAGGGAAATTCTGGGAGAGAGGATACTCGACAGTCCCAGCTGGTCGGGCAGAGCCCGTGGTTTCTCTCGGTCAGCAAAGGAAGGGGTCCCAGCCACAAACCGGAGCAAAACACCATCAGTAGACATAGATCAAAGTTTATTGCGAAACAGGTTCAAACAATGGAATGAACCCCGAGAAAGGGGCGACACTGACTTTTAAAACTTCCCACCACATCCCAGAATCCAGTTCGTACAGCATCATCACTACATCATTGCGACATCACCAAAACGTCAAGAAAAAGGGAGGGTAACATGGGATTAACATAAGGAAACTGAGTCAAGGTTTGCATAAGCAAACATATCTCAAGTACCCACCACCCACAGAACAATAGTCTTTCTTCGCATGTCTGTACCCTAAGGCGAGTCCGGTGATGGGCTTTGGAAACTGCCCAGCAATTGTCACTCATGGGCACTTCCTTGGGTGGGGAGTGCTTACTGTTCAGGGAAGTTTTTAATGTGTGACATCTTAGTGTATTTTTGGTCTTTGTTGGAAGCCGCCCAGAGTGGCTGGGGAAACCCAACCAGATGGGCAGGGTACAAATAAAATAAAATATTATTATTATTATTATTATTATTATTAGTGACTCCTCCCTTGTGGGATCACGGCGGGACCGAGGGGTTTTAAAGTCCTAGGCCAAAAGAGTGCAAATGGCGTTGCAGTGAAGCAAACCGGTGGCACTAGTGATTTTATATGAATTTCTAAAGTTTTGAGGCTTTTCCTAAAGCTGATAGTCTGGCGGAAACACTTTTGTTTTTGCTTGCAGCATTGTAGCAGGTTTAGATAGAGTTAACAAGGTAAGGAGGTTTCGATAGACTGAGTCCATTGTTCTGGCAGCGGGGCTCCACTCAGCTGCTTAATGAGGGTGGAAACAGCTGGAGCAGAGCTGCCTTGCAAGGCAGGGAAGGCAAACATGGCAAAGGGCGAAGCTTGAGAGCGTAGCTTAAACTCAATTGGCTAACCGTCAAATTCCAATGCTCCTGATTGGTTAAGGTGCATCAGCATGCAAATACACAGTTCAGTCATAAGGTATACCAACTTAGGGTGTAGGGTAACAGAAAGGAAAGACAAGACTTTATTGAGGGAATTTATCTGCTGTTTGGTGCAACTTAGTGAAGGGACGAGGTCTTCTTGAGCTTATCCTCTCATGCCCTCAGTACCTGTGGCGGGGGAGACAGAAGTCTCTCCCCCCCACCCCCGTCTCTATTGTGTAACAAGCTACATCAGATTGATGAACTGTTTAAGATAGATAGGGAAAACGGCTTTGCTGAGCAAAAGTCTCAGTTTACCAAAGACTTATTAGATACAAATATAAAAGTATTATCAAAAATGTACAAACTGCTCTTGGAGTGGGAAATTAAGAGGAATTGGTGAAATCAAGCATGATTAAGTGGGCACAAGATGTGGATCACAATATTGATCATGAATTATGGGGAAAGTTGTGGAAAAGTAAATATGAATTTTACGGCATGTTATGCGAGATAAAAGAAAATATGATGAAAATGGCCCACAGATGGCATATAACACCCACCAGATTGGTGAGAATGTCTAAAAAAAGAAAAAAGTCTATGTTGGAAGTGTAATAAAATTGAGGGATCTTTTATTCACATGTGGTCTTGTAAAATAATTAAGGAATAATGGGAATTTAATGAAATAAAAAAGATACTTAAAAAAACTTTTCCCAAAACACCTGAGTTTTTCCTCTGGGGGTGGTAACAATGGAGGGCCCCCCAAAAGCAAGAGAGTTTATTAATAGACGCCACCGCCAGTTTACTGGCACAAAAGTAGAGAACAAGCATTTATTATTATTATTATTATTATTATTATTATTATTATTACTACTACCCCGCCCATCTGGCTGGGTTTCCCCAACCACTCTGGGCGGCTCCCAACCAAATATTAATAACACAATACAGCATCAAACATTAAAAACTTCCCCAAACAGGGCTGCCTTCAGATGCCTTCTAAAAGTCAGATAGTTTACTTCCTTGACATCCAATGGGAGGGCGTTCCACAGGGCGGGTGCCACTGCCGAAAAGGCCCTCTGCCTGGTTCCCTGTAACCTCACTTCTCGCAACGAGGGAACCGCCAGAAGACCCTTGGCGCTGGACCTCAGTGTCCGGGCAGAACGATGGGGGTGGAGACGCTCCTTCAGGTAAATAATTCTTTTTTAAAATGGGTCCCCACCCCACAGAGGCTTGTTTTCAAGGTGGGCATGCACCCCTACCCATTCTCCCATTTAGCACTGTAGGAGCTGGTGGAGCTGCCCAAACTTTAACATACAACACAGTCTACACCCTTGTAAGATTATACAATAAAATTATAATACAGGAATAATAATTCGGGATGCTTTGCAACCATCAGTTCAGTTCTCCATGTGTTGCCTAGACGTACTATTATCTGCGCGTGTACATGTGCAAATCATTGTGCAGTGCTCCAATGTCACCTTAAGTTGTGTTTTCCGTGAAAGATTTCTATTCAGGGCGGAGGGAGAAAAAATGCATATATTCTCAGGAACTTCAAAATCTCTGGAACCCCTGTGATAAGAAGGCAAGAACCACTAAAGACAAAGGGGATGCACCCTTATTTATTTAAGTCAAACATATATTACAAAAGTTAAAAAAAAAATTACATCCAGTGTCTTCAAAGTAAGGTGCAGCAAATCCATTGGGTTAGGCAAGAAGAGTCCTGGGGCCCCTGGAAGTCTCCTTCCTGGCTTCCTCCTTAGCTGTCAGCAGGATCAGTCCCTCTCATCTTTGTAGGAGAGTAGCTACACCCCATCCCCTCAGCCTCTCTACCGCCTCTCAGTTCCCTGCTTCTCTGTTTCCCCCTTCAGCTGCTTCTTTCCCTCCAGCCTGTTTCTCAACTCACTGCCCCAGGGCATCATGGGAGGCCCAGGGTGGAGCCCCAGAGAACAGCAGCTGGTTGTCCTGGACATGGAGCTCCATGAACCAGGCTGGAGAACTGGAGCCTTGAAGGTATCGGGACAGAAAGAGGGTCTGGAGGAAACTGCCTCAGCAGCTGCCATTGCCATGGGGAGGGTCTGAATGCCCGTTGGAGCTCCTCATTCTCTGCCCAGCCTGAGGATGTTTGAGAAGAGGCCTCAGAGGTCACCTCTGGACCACTCTGGATCTAGTCAGACAGGACAGTGAGGTTCTGTGGATGTAGAAGGTGACCCAAGAGGGCTGGTGATGAACGTCCCTCCCATCTGCAGGGGAACTGGAGCACGGCTCTTGGTCAACACAGACAAAACCCCTCCATATCCAGATGTTGTAACTGGAGATGATGCCCTCCTTGGCTTCTACGGGATCAATGGCCAATGTCTGTCCTTCATCTTCTGAGGCAAACTTGCAAGCTTCCAGATTAGAATCAAATCTCTCTAGTCTTCAGACACTCTGTTCCTTCTCTTTTAGCTTCAGTTCCTGAGCATCTAAGTATCCGTGCCAAACATCCCTCCTTGCCAGTTTCTTCAATTCCTCACACAGAAGGTGGGTGGAAAACACTCAGCCAGAGCAGTTAGGCTGCTTTTCTACCTTCCATGACATTACAGCCGTTTAGCCAAAGGCTGGGCGGCCCAAGAAGCAGGTCGGTAGTAACAATTTAGCCTATTTCATGCATCATGCACCTAAAGCAGTTCTCAGATGTTGCCTTTCCTTCAATTTGGATGGAAAGTGAGTGACATAAGATTGGGGAAAGGCTTGTGGAGGGAACCACAGCAACAAATAACCAAGAGATACCATCAAAATCACTGCAAGTGGTTGTCAATCTCATCCCTTTTTTATATTATGATTTTTAAAATGTATTTCTATTAAAGATTTCTTAGTTTACAAAAATATGTGCAATGTCTCTTATTTCAAGTTGTGTTTTGTACAGATCAGTTTCATTTGTTGTGAGACATTAGTCTCCACATTAATTTTAAAAGCTTTAAGTTGTATATATCTGGAAGATTTCCCATTAATACAAGCACATTTCTGCAAAGCAAAATTGGCCATAATCCATCAGAAAAGCATGATTACCCTCAAATTCAAGTTACAGCTGGAGTCAGAATGGATGGGTGAGAGCCAGGATTAAGGAACATCCTAAACAGCATTAAAGGACAGGTGGGGCTCTGAGCCTCTGCAATTCACAGCCAAACTTGGGCAGGCTCCTTCTGGTCTCATCTCACACACCAGGCTGGTATGAAGCTGGAGAAATAAAGAAAAGGAGTGTTTCAAAAGCCAGCATCATGGTGTGGGGACATCAGCATTACAGAGCTAGTGGGAACCCAAAGGACATCTAGTCCAGCCTCCCAAGGAAAGCCACCATCCCTCATCATGTCAGATCAGACCTAAGAGATGCTGGGAGCGTCACCAAAATGGGCCTGCAGAGCAAATGCCTGCAGAGGGCAGCTCCAGCAAGTGAGCCAAGCTGCACACTTTGGGGGAATACCGGAAGGACACAAAGCAGTCCTACTGGAAGGAAAAATCCCTTCCAGAACCCCTTCCAAGATCTCTCATTCAGATCCTGCGTAGAACCCATTCGTCAGGTAGAGGAGCTCAGATGAAGAGATAGAATGAGTCACAAGAGTGATTTACAGCTCAATGAACACTGCAGATTATGTCACACTTGGAAACCCCAAGGTGGGTAACAGGTGAAGCTTTTCCCCATTTGGTGATGTTCCCCACGGAGTCTTCTGCAAGAGCCCCACTTTGCCCCCACCTGCACCCCCACTTACCCCTGGCAGAGCTGTCGGACCCCTGGTCGCTTGCTGCAAAAGGGAGGAAATACAGGAATCAGGATCCCGGGGAGGGAGATCGCATCCCCACAGCCCTTCTCCTCCCTCCTTCCGACCCCATCCCAAATCAGTCTCAATAGGGGGGGGGGCTAAGAAGAGTTCAGGGAGAGGCAGCCCAGAGGCAAGGGGGCTCAAGGACAGCAGTGGGGGGAGAAGCAGACGCTGGAGGGCAAAGAGAGAGGGGCACAGCCTGGCATGGAGGCAGCGGGGGACTAGAGCGGGGGTGGGTGCGATCTGGGCAGGAAGAGAGCAGAAAGGCAGAAGCGGGGGGTGGGGGTGGGGAGAGCAGTGGTGCCAAATTCAGAGGGGAGGGTTCCTGACACCCACAGACTTGAGCCGACGAACCAATTCTTTAGCTTCAGGTTCTAGTAGATTAAACCCCCAGAGATCCCTCTCTCCCCGCACCCTCGGCTCTTCCTCCTGCTCCTTCTTGGAGCCCTCAGCCGACAGTCTCTCTGCAGCCTTTTCCTGGCCCTGAGGGACCCCTTGCTGTCCGCAGACAGGCTGAAGCTTTCCATCGGGGTCTTGGGCTTAAGGACCAGGCCACCACCAGGTTTAGTTTAGTCTGTTTGTAACCTGTTCCTGCCCCATATTGGGGGGAAATATGTTAGACAGAGAGAGGGGAGGAGTCACTCACTTGAGGCTGCTTTGTAGGCTGATTTCTCACTCTGTTTCCCTGTGAAGACAAAAGCAGAAGGTCAGAGCTGGAAGGGACCTCCAGAGGCCACCCATCCCATTTCAACCATTTGGTTCTCAGATGCTGAAACCTTCCCAGCACATGCTCCTCTTGTCTCTTCCAAACACCTCCAAGGAAGGGGAGCCCAGAAGGGGAGCATTTCAAGGAACTCAAGTTACAAAGAAGTAGAAAAAATTGAGGAAATTAAATAAAAAAATCAACATAAGGAAACCAGGCAGTGGACAAATTCCAAGAGGCTGGAAGGAAACATTATCCAGTCCCTTCACGTATTCCTTTTCAGATTATTATTTCACTCCCAGCAGACCCCGAATCCTCAAATTTGCCCGGAGGGCAGGGGGGAGGAAGAGATAATGAACTTTAACAGTGCAATTCTAGGCAAGTCTACTCAGAGGAAAGTCCTATTCAGTTCAATACAGCATCCTCCCAGATCAATATTTATTTATTCATTTACTGAAGATGGCAGGGCGGTTCACAACATAAAAATACGAGAACACAAAATACATAATAAAGCAAAAACAAACCAGTAACTCTGCTCCCACAAACACATTTAAAAGACCAAAGCCCTGGTTAGAGAGAAATGTTTTTGCCTGGCACCTAAAGATTTGTAAGGAAGGCTCCCTATTAAGTGTGCACAGGACTGACAGGACTGAAGGCTTAGGATTTATTAAAACTTCAGGTGGAAAGTGAACTTCCTGAGCACAGAGTGAGCGCAAAGGAATGACCAACAGGACTTTTGGCTCATGTTCAGAGAGTGTTTTATGGGGAGGGGTCTCTGTAGGGATGCCAGTAGAAGTTGCCAAGAATGCTCCACCAGTCAGAGGCTAAAACAGAAGGACACAGGAGAGGCAGTAAGCGTGTCCAGGGTAAACTTACTGAGGATGATGATGATGAAGATGATCCCAGAGACCAGCAGGATGGCAGCCACGACACCCAGAATGGCTCCCACAATGACTAAAAGGGGGAAAGACATTTTTATTCAGACTGGCGGCAGCAGCTCCCCAAGGCCTCAAGCAGGAGATTGGAGTGGAGGTGCTGAGCTATGAGCCCGGGAGGATTTTATGTGTGCAAATCAGGCACTCTCTCTCTCCTTATAGGCCAAGGTCTTCTCTGTAGTAGCCCTGATACAAGGGAGTTTTTTTCCACCAGAGTCCAGCATTAGAGGTCTTCAAAATAACCAGTTTATTTCAGGAAGACAGTTGACAGGCACACCTCTTTCATCACAGACTCCAGACTTAAAAGCAGGTCTCCTCCTGCTCAGGCGCTTCAGCCTTCTCTGTCCTGACCCTGAGAGGAAGGGATTCCCTCCCCTCTGAG